TGCCAAGGGAAATGGAGGAATCTTCTCTGGAGAGACAACTGACGGAATTGGGAAAGAACTCTCGGAAGATTGCTGCTTGGACATTAGACAGAACCACCATCAGCATCTCAAGCCCCTTGCACCTCCTTTTCTCCCAGGGATGCAGTTTGGGTAAAGGACTGGTGTCAGGATAACCTCACACCAAAGTGGAAGGGGACACCAACAGTCACTCTGACCACTCTAACAACATCTGAAGTGGAAGGGATCCCCCACATGGATCCACCACTGCGTGACCTCCGATTGGAGGTGTTCCAGGGACCCACATGTGGAGACCGAGGTCATCCGGATGGGAAAAAACAAAGCCGACCTTCCAGCTGGATGGTACTTCATCCTCTTCCTGCTCCTCCTTCTGATTGGACCAACTTCAGCTGAGATGATGGATGAAATCACAAAGAGGATGCAGGAAATAGCACGTGTGTCTGCCTGTCCAACCCGGGAAGGGATGGAGTCCAGGGGAGGAATGGGGAGGATGGTTCTGAGCCTTAGGGAATCACAGATTTTAATGGGAGCATTTATCACCATAATTGGGGCCTATTGGGTTATTCCTTGCTTGCTGCCCTTGCTAACAAGAGTCCTTAACACCGTGACAGACTGGCATGGATCAAAGAATGACTTTTGAAATTCTGTGGGCCAGAGGGCATCAGTGAATAGAAAACAGAGTGGTATCAGGCGATGATGTAAAAGTTAACACGAAGCTTTTCATGCAGAGCCTCAAAGGGGGAATTTGGGAGGAAGGAACCCCCGCCCCGGGTTTCCTTTACCTACCAGCCCTGATGGATTTTGCAAAAAGGCATAATAGCCCTGAAAGTCCCGCCAGAGGTTCCCTGCTCCCAAAGTTATAACTTCACCTGACTCCTCCCACCGCTGAAAAGCTGCCCACAGAGAAGAAATGGTGTAGGAATGAGAGCAAAGCCCTATCTGGGGCTTGGTGGGATGCAAGTTCCTTGCAGAACTGCCTGAAATCCAGTTGCTGTTTGTCCTACTCCACGTCTGAGGGCTCTGTATGGGAATCTTGCCTTTTTCCAGCTTTGCCTAGGAATACAGAAGTTGAAACTAAGCTGTTTGGTTCAAATCCTCCTTCTGCCACTTCCTAGCTGAGTAATCTTGGGCAAACAGTTCGTCCTTTCTGTGTCTCAGTTTCTTCATCTTTAGAAGGGAAATAATTGCCAGGCATGATGGTGCATGCCTCTAATCCCACATCTTGGGAGCTGAGACAAGAGGATCACCATGAGTTTGAGGAGAGCTAAGGTTCCATAGTGAGTTTAAGGCCAACCTGAACTATATGGTGAGCCCGTGTCTAAAAAAAAAAAAAAAAAAATGCAGATAATAATAGTACCTACCATATGTGAGGAATATGAGAATTTGGTTTATTCATACTGCTAAAGAAAAGAAGGGTTGATAATATGAACATAATGTGTCAGGCATGGTGGCACACACCTGTAATCTGAGCACTCAGGAGGCTGAAGTTGGAGAATTTCCATGAGTTCAAGGCCAGCCTGGGCTACATAATAAGACCATGTTGCATAAAAACAGATTACAAGGGGCTGGGGATTTAGCTCAGCGGCATAAGTACCTGCCTTGCAAGCAGGCGGTCATGAGTTTGATCCCCAGTACTGATAAAAAGAAAAAAGAAAAAAAAATAAAGAAAAAACAGATTACAAAATGAATGTAATGCATACCACTTAGTTTAGTGGTCATTGCTACGAGATTTGGGGCCAAGATGCTTGCCTGACTGCAGGATGGAAAACATAGAAGCCTAGAAGCTCAGGAAGTTCCTGGAAGGTCTCTAAAGTTATTTCCCAACCCTGAAAAGGAGAGGCTTTGAGACTAGGGTTACCAAAATCAGCAAAAAGATACTTATTTTGCAAATTGGAGAGATCGAGAGAGAAGAAATAGAAGTAGTATTATATAAATGCACCAAATCTCCAGGACAGATGCAAGCATTATGTACTGCAAAACTTATAAAAATGTTACAAAATTTTTAAAAAAGAAATACAAGCTGCTCAGTAAAATTTAAATTTCAGATAAATAACAAGAAAAATCTTGTATGTTCCCAGGCACATTTGCTCAAAAAATACTTTATATTGAGAAAAAAGAAGCCAAGCACAAAAGAATTTGTGCTGTATGATTCCATTTCTCTAAAACTCTGGAAAGTAGTGACCTAATCTCTAGTGACAGAAATCAGAACAGTAGTTGCTTAAGGGTGACAGGAACTGACGATAAGAAGATTCGAGGAAACTAAGTTCTGGGGTGATGGAAATGTTCCCTAGGTTGTCTTGGCTGCTGGTTGCATGAGTCAATCCAATTATCAAACTCACTGAACTGAATCCTTAAGATCTGTGGCATTTTATGGAACAGAAACTGTGCCACATACACAAAACAAAACTGGGTCACAAAGCTGACTCTGAGCCAATCAGAGGCAGGAAGGTGGGCTACGCCTATTGGTTGATTCCCAAGCCACAAACTCACTGAGCAATAGGCACAAGTGTCAGCTTCCCCCAAAGCAAGGGCAACTGCCACAGAAGGGAGCTTGGAAATGCATAGCATGTATATGTTTGTCTGCTATAACAAAGACATCCAGAATAACAAAGATCCCAAATCACAGTGGCAAAAGCAATACAGATGCTTATTTCTCTTTCACAGAAAAATTTGAAAGAAGAAAGAGCAAGATCTGATCCAATGAAGCATCAAAGACTCAAGCATCATACTCACCACAGTGTCTCTCTCTCTCAGCACAGAGCCTACCCTGCCAGCAAGAAAGAGGAGTCGCTGTTACCTTATCCATCTTGAACATCGTCCCAAAGCCCCTGTAGAAAAATTTAGCTCCCAGGGAAACACTATTAGAAGGTTGTGGAAACCTTAAGAGGTCTTCAGGTCATTTGTCAAAGCTCTTAAAGGGGGCTTTTGCTTCCCAATCATAAGGTGAGCTGTTCAGCCCCACCATGATGTGTCACCCTGCCACAGATCAAAAGAGCAAAGCCAATCAATCACTTCCAAAACTGAAGAAAAAGATATTTCTCTCTTTACAAGTTATCTCAAGTATATCACTGTAGTAACAAAAAGCTGACTAGGGCCAGGGGTTTAGCTCAGTGGCACAAGCGCCTGCCTGGCAAGCACGAGGTTGTGAGTTCGATGCCCGGTACCCCCACCCCCCAAAAAAGCTGACTAATACCACCCTTTAGGAACACAACCCAAATCAGGCACAGTGATGCACGTCTGCAATCCCAGTTACTCAGGAGGCTGACAGGAGGATCTCAACTTCAAGGCCAGCCTGACCACTTAGCAAGACCCTGTCTCAAAATTAAAAATAAAAAAAAAAAATTGAGGATGTAGCTGAGTGCAAAGGCCCTAGTCAATCGCCAGTGCTGAAAGACGGAGAAAAAGAAAGAAGTGGTGGAGAGGGCGGAGGGGAAGAGACAAGAGCATATACCTGTTTCAGTTTTGTGTATTTGCCCAGCATATGGAGTGGGTACTCCTCCATTTCCAGGATCAGTACTGCTGACTGAGCCTGAGCCTAGGACAGCTCATATCCATCAGGAACCTTTCAGCAGCAAGTGACAGTAATACAACTCAAACTTGCTTGGAATAAAATTTCTCAGCACATGCAATAAAAAATTATTATATGATGGGGCGCAGCTGGGTTCAAGAGTACTGAGAACGGGAAGTGAATGTCAACACGCCTTGGGCCGCTACACTGTGACATTTTTATTCCCTCTTCCTCTAGACACTGTCTTCCCTCAGATGGGGGCAGGGTGGTAAAATGCTCACAGTGTGTATAAGGAAGCACCGAGTCCTTTACAGTTCACTGCCCTCAAAAACTAAGGTCCCAAACTCCGAGGAAGGGCTCTCACAGGTTCTACCTATAGTCTTCGGGATGGGGCACAATGATTGGCCCAGTTTGACTCACTTGCCCATTCTTCAGCCAATCACCCATGGAGTGGGAGGAGCGATAACTAAAATAATGTCAGTTCCTATTCCAAACACGGCGTTTTCCAAGCACCAGTAAACGGACACTGTAGTCTCTGCTAATCTTCGCATTGTTTCTCTTTCCTCCTATGGCTGGAAGTCTGGGATAAGGAGTGAGGCTGTATAAGAGATGACAGAATGGTGAAGAAGTATGGCGTCCCAGACCAACCAACCACAGGTTATTGCATACAGCAGGCGCCCAATTCACGTTTATTAAATGAATGACTGAGTTCATGCTCAGCTCCCACAGGCCGTCCTGGGATGGCTCCGATTTCACAGACCCTGAGCGGATCAAGGGCTGCACACTGATGGCGTGCACCTGAAGTCACAAAGACTCGCAGGAAGTGGCAGGCAGAACCTTTGTGATGGGCAGAATCTTGAACACCCCGCCGCTGCAAAAGGCCCAATTGGGGCGGGGCTTCCAGAACCAGGGTTTTGGATTGAACCATCTTCCGTTTCTTAAGAGGGGAGAGGCAAGAAAGTCTTCATCTTTCGTAGCCTTGTACCACTCTCAGGCCACAAACGCAATATATTTGCATCTCTGAAACCCACAGAATTCCTCTTTCGCCTCGCTTTGCCTCTTAGCTCCACTTAGCTAACCACTTAGACTTCTCCACCACCATCAAGCAGTAGCTCGTCCCAGTTTGACGCATTGCAGGGAAAGCCGGACCAATCGGCGCAGCGCTCTTATTTCCGCTATGGACCGAGCCCAATCCTGGCGCGGTTCACAGAAGGACGCCTCACGCACATCCAAGTGATAGCCCTCCGCCAGGGAGGAAAGTGGAGTTGACCCAGGGGGCGGCGGCGCGCGGCGACGGAAAGTAGTCCGTGGCGGGGGCGCGAGCCCGTGGCCAGGCGCAAATTCCACCTCTTTGCTGTGTGAAGACAAGCGATCCACGCGCCAGTGGTAGCGGAACGGGGCGCGGAGGGATCCGTGGGAGCCGCAGTGCGGTAGCGCGCGAGCCGGGAGGGGCGGGGCCGGGCGAGGCGGGGCACGCGCGGCGGCCGGTGAGGGACCGTTGGGGCGGGCGGTGGTGGCGGCGGCGCGCGCTGCGGGTGTGAGTGTGGAGGCGCGGACGCGCGGCGGAGCTCGAGCTGCTGCAGCTGCTGCGGCCGCCGGAGGAACCTCGCTTTCCGTGCTCCGGACACCCTGGGCCTCGCCATGGTGAGTGAGGCTGAGGGGTGGCCGAGGTGCCGGGTTCTGTAGGACGGGAGGACCCCCGAGGGGGCGAGAGAGATCCGAGTGGGGGCGTCGAGGACCCGACGGGAGCCTCGAGGCTTTGAACCTTCAGAAGGACGTGTGGGTCCCAGAAAAGGGCTTTGGGGCTTTCACTAGCAACGTTGACCCCAAGTAGCGTGTTGAGTCCCTAGATGGGTGTCTGAGCGTTCCGAAGGGACAGTTAAACCCAGAGTGAAGCATTTGGGCCCCCGAGGGAAGCGTTCAGACCCCTTAAAATTATTTTTCGGTTTAAGACGGAGCTTGTGGTTTCAGGTTTGGGTGTGTGGAGCCCCAGGAGGCGGATATGAGACATAAGTGGCCGAGGAGGGAGCTATGTGGGCCCAGATGAAGGCTTTGGGTCCTGATGGAGGAAAGAGGGGACCGAGTGAGGCCAGACTCCTGGACGGGTGGCCTCGGGCGGCTCCTGGGTGCAGAGGGGAGGATCGGAGGTAGGGGCGACTTTGGCACCTTAGATCCTTGGGAGAAGGGTCTCCAGCAACCAGCATTGCAGAGGAGGAGGGAAAGGTAGGTGCAAGCCAAGGTGAGGAAGAGCCTGAGGTGGGTGGCAGCGGAGGATTGGAGATGCTTTTGAAGCCTGCAAGGACTGAGAGGGATTGGGTGGCAGATGTAGTTAAAGGGGGTGTCAAGGCTGCTGCTTGCCCGTACTGGGGGAGCAGGGAGCCTTGTGGTTGATTTGAGGAAGCTGGAAAAGGTTTTTAGAAGACTAGTGGGTTAAGATTGTTGAACTAAGGGTTTTTTTTTTTTTCCCCTTTCTTTTTAATGGGAAGGAGTTGGGTTGGGAGTGTTGTGTTTGGGTTCCTGAAAGGATAGGTTTCCAAGGTGAGCGGTCAGGAGAGATTTTGACTTCAGTGTAAAGAGGTGAGGTCGAAGGGAGCTGGGAGTGTAAAAGGGGATGATGGATGGCAGCCAAAGTGGGCCTAGTTTTGGAGGGGGGTGTGGGGAGCTCCCCACCTGTCTCTGGGAAAAGGCCCAGATAAAGACGGTGGTTCTGAGCGGGTTGGGGGGGCAAGTGGAGTAGGGGGCTGCAGATGCTGGAGGGAATGGCTATGCAGTGTCCTGCTTCCCTGGAGAGAATGGATTGGTAGCACCAGGGAAGTGAGAGCAGGTGGGCGGAGTTGTTTAGGCCCTAGTTGCGCACTGAAGCCCCATAAAATGGGAATGGGGGATCAAAGTTGGGGTACATCAAATAACCAGCTTGTTTGAGCCTAGAAACCTTAACCCCCTGGCTACCCATTTAGACCAAGGTAGCTGCCTTCCAGATAGGGGGCTGCTTCCCTCTGATCCCCAGCTCCCTGGACCCTTCTGCATCTTCTCACAGGTTCCAAATGACAGTGCAGTACAGTACAGTGTGGCGTCAGTGACAGTCAGAAGCCTATTCCCATGCCTTCAGGGTGGGGACTGCAGCGCTTGCCCAGAGGGGACTTTAGGGAACCTTTCATTATCCTGAGGGCCTCGTGTTCTTTTTCCTGGTCCTCGCTGAGTGCTTCTGTGAATTCACCCAGCCAGAGCTTTGAGAAAAACCCAGCAGACTACTTCTTTCTACTCCTGACACCCACGACACCCACAGCCAGTCCACACACACACACACACCCAGCCTGGAACCGTGTGCAGCCATCTACCCTGGCAAGGCCAGAGAGAACAGGCAGCCACGACTGTGTATCAGATCTCATACTTGCTGACACAGACCTAATGGCTCCTCTTGCCACTATCCCATTTTCCCTCAGCAGAACTGTGCTAATGGGACTCTGCAGTGCTCACAGGTGCCGAGCAGGCCCCCCACCTCCAAAACAGGGCCCCAGCATTCACCCTGACCAGTTGCTCTTCCCATTTGTAATCAGCAAGGTATGGGTGGGACGAGGCACTGTTAACTGGCTTTGGACTTTGGCCTGAGCTCTGTGGCTCCTCCTTGGCCCCAGAAAGGGGCCCCTGGCCTTGGTTTCTGATCTCATCTGACACTACTGGCTGGCATTGGCTGGGGGCTGGAGCAGGCAGAGAAATAATACCCTCCTCCCTCCCCCACCCCAAGCTTTTTTTTTTCCACCCCTTTACTGGAGCTCAAGATGTAAGGACAAGGAAGCAGGAGACCAGCTGGGTTATTTTGGAGACAGTTTTTGGTGACTGTTTACAATCTTCTAGTCTGGAAAGGGTAGACACCCTGGGGAGGGGTCCCAGTGATCACTTCTCAGGCAGTTGGTTTTCTGGACAGCAGCCAGGCACTGAGATCTATAGCTCGGAGCTGGGACCTTTCCTGGGCCGAATGGGACAAAGAGCTCCTAAAAGGCAGGGAGTCTGACAAGCCCTCCAGGCAGAGCCACGCCTATTTGCAGCAGCCCAGGAACCAACTGCGCTCACCTGCAGCTTCTAGCTCTTGGGTGGGGACTGGCAGGCACTGGCCTTCAGCCGCGCTCCAGGGCATTCTGCAGCCTCTTGCAGTGCTGCCCCAGGCAGGCTTGGTGCAAGGCAGTGCTGCAACACGCCTGGGCTGGCGAGGGCCCTAGCTGCACTCTCTGTTTCCACTCTGGGCCTGGGGAGGAGAATGAAGAGCAGATGGAGCTGTAGCCCTCCTAGTCACCCTTCCTCCGGGACCGCTCCTCTGGCTTGTGCCTCTCCCCCTTCCCCAGCCGCGCTGCCATAACCAAAAGCCCATCCATCCCCTCCTCTCACTTTCCCCAGCAGCTTCCTCATGTGTCCGGACAGAAGGGCGGGTCTGAGCCTCTGTCCGAGGGAGCTGGGGGAGGCAGTGGAGTCCGTGCTCACGGGTTGGCATTGGGCCTGCATCCCTGAGTCTTTGCTGATAGCCTTGCAGAAGAGTCTCCATCTGACCTCCTCACCTTCCTTTTAGATGTTGGGGTTTTCTAGAATATGCATGTGTGGGGTTTTTCTTCTGTGCCTTCCTTCTGTTTCCAGGACTCTCAAACTTAGGACCAGAATCTGCTGCAGAGTTGGAGCTAATTGGGAAAGGAAGGAAAGGGAAGGGAATGTTCATGGGATCCACCATAGCCTAGGGATATAAGGAGCGGGGCCTGCTTGTCTTTTAGCTGTCCGAAGTACCTATCCTGCACTCCCGCAGGACATCTGTGCAGGAAGCTCAATCCCTGTGCCTCCCCGCCATCTGCCCCAGCCCAGCCCAGCCCACATGTAGCATGGGCTGCCTGCCACAGCCGCCCAGACCCCAGAGTGGCTCGGCTGGAAAGGGTTAAAAAGTGCAGTGCTGAAGCTGACTTCAGTGTTTGCCACTGCTGCAGTTCTCTCCCTGATACTCATCCCTTCCACTGGAAAGAAACAGATCAGGGTGGTACCCCGTGCCTACCCTGGTTGCTAGGGGCTGGAGTAGCGACCTCCAGCCTGACCAGGGTTCTTCAGGCACCAGAGCAAGCAGGTCACTGGATAAGAGAATTTTTGCCACTTGGGTGTACCCTGCCTGGGCCTAGCACCTCCAAATAGGTGACACAGAAACTAGCAGAGATGGCCCCACACATCTTTCCTCTGCCCTACCCACGGACTGGCCTGTTTCAGTTTAGAGTCTTCTAGAGCTGCTTGGTTGGGCCTCTAGGGCAACCGCTCCTTCATGCGGCCTCTGGGGCTCCTAGCAGCAAGAAGAGAACCCATTCTGCTCCATATTGCTGCAGCTGGCTTGGGACTGGAGCAGGCATTGTCCCTGCCATGGGCCTGGGTTTCCAGCCCACCTGTCCCCAGCTTCTGCAGCTCCACGCCTCGTTCTCTGCCCAGCTCTGCCTCAGACCCTCACTTGGTCCTGTCTCTTGGCCAGTGGAACACCATGTGGCAACCTTTGCAGAGGGCTGGTAGGGTGGGGGAACCCATCCTGGCTGCTGGGCAGCTGGCCCAGGACTGACTCTCCTTCTTCCTTTCCAGGCCGACCAGCTGACTGAGGAGCAGATCGCAGGTGAGTTTGCTGACTCTTTCCCGTCATCTTGGCTGAGAGAAGTCTGTATCCCCAGCCAGAGCTTAGCCCCAAGACTAAGCCAGCAGAGGAGTGTATGTGTCCCTGTGTCACCCAGTGCAACACCTGTGCCTGGGATGGTAATACGTGTGCTTATGAGCTCGCCCTGCCAGCGCCATGGCCCTAAAGCAGACCTCAGACCTCTGATGGGTAGCAAAGGCTGTGTCCCCCTGCTGGCTGCTGGTCATTCAGAGTCTTGAAATCAAGGGCCACAGGACAAGCCTAGCTCTTTGCCAGTGACATCCAGCTAGGCCTAGAAGGTGAGCTTGATGTGGGCCCATGGAGTCCTGTCCCACTTTAGGAGCTGCCCCTGAGATGACTGTCACTCCCACCTCTGCGCTCGCCTGGCTGTGCGCCTCCCTTGGCACGTGCCTGTGTGCCTGCGCTTGCTTTTTCCTTTGCCAGAAACGCTCCCCTCCCAGCCCCTACAGGGCAGCTCCTCCCCCTCCCTCAGGTCATAGCTCTGCATCCCCTGGGAGAGGCCTTCCTGGCCCCCTAACTAAGTAAGTAACCTCACTGTACGTCCTTCCTGGCATTTCTTGCTGTCTGCAACTTGTTATTGTCTTTACCTGTAGTATCATCTGTCACTAGAAAGGAGTCCCTTGAGCCGAAGACCTGGTCTTGCCATCTCCTCGGTATCTGAACTTAGGTGATGCTGCATACATGCTGCCAGCTAAGTGGTGATCAGAGAAATGACTGTGTCCCTCCATTGTGTCTGGCTCATTCATTTTTGTAGATGCCTCCCCAAGATTCCCCATGCCTGGAACTGCTGTGTGACTGTCTTGTGTTCCCCCTACCCATTCTGAACTGCCAGAGAGTGGGGGGCCGTGGCTTATCTCGCTGCCTCTGAGTGGAGGGGGCAGGAATGGCCTCATCCATTGCCCCTGTCCCTGGTGCCCACACAGGTCACACTCACAGCTTCTTAGCTTTAGCCCGGGGCAGGTGGAGCCTGAGGAAGAAAGAGAACTGCGTTTCCTGATTGTGAGCAGGGGCCCACATGACGAATTCTCTGCTCCCCACCCCTACCCCCACCTCCAGCAGCACAGGGAGCTGACCCTGTCCCCAAGCTGCCCAGTGATGTGTATCCCTCCCAGTCTATTTGCCACCAGTGCCCTAGCATTGCTGTCCTGTGCCACACCCACCCTCCTCTTCTCACCCTGTCCCCGTTAGCAAACTGTCAGCTGCCTCACCCCAGCTCACACCCCCAGGAATAGGCTGCCAGGCATCTGTTGTCTGAGGGTTTGCGGGTAGGGGAGCACCAGGTGCCAAAATGGCCCCCGTGGGAGGGCAAGAGCCACATGCTTCTGTTCCTGACTCGTCCCCAGCTGTGACCTTCCCACCCGGCACCACTCACTGCTCCAATTCCCGGCCCTGATGCTGCCAGCCTCTTACCTTCCGCTGGCGCATCAGCCACGCTCTGCTGCCAACTACCCCCACGGTCACCACCTCGAAGGCCCAGCCCTTCGGGAAGCCAGCAATGCCCAGCACAAGTAATTCCGGGTCTACATTTCCTCATGCTGTCGAGCTGTGTCCCACAGCCTCTGCTCTCCTCCCCTTTCCTCTGCCAGTTGACCTTGGCTTCAGAGGAAGAATTCACCGAGCTCCCATCTACTGCATGACTTTAGCCCATGTCATCATTTGAGGAAGAAGCTACAGCCAGACCAAAAAAGCCCACACAGTTATCTAAGGGCAGCGTCAGTCCACTCTCTCCCCAGCATCTTCCCTGAACTGAGTTGGCTGAAGAAATTGGGGCACCAAGAAGAGGCTGGGCTTGGGGGAAGTCAGGCCCCACACCTTGTGGTAGGGCCGACTCCATTGCTTTCTCCATGGAGATCGGGCACACCCTGTGGCTTCCTAACCCAGCCCCGTGCCCTCTGTTCCCCCAGAATTCAAGGAGGCTTTCTCCCTCTTCGACAAGGATGGAGATGGCACTATTACCACCAAGGAGTTGGGGACAGTGATGAGATCCCTGGGACAAAACCCCACTGAAGCAGAGCTACAGGACATGATCAATGAGGTGGACGCAGATGGTAAGCCCCAGAGAGTCTCCCTCAGGGACAGATGGGACCATGTGTCCTCTCTGGGGTCTCCAGGCTCATCTGCCAGGGCCCAGGCCAAGGGCTACTCTTTCTTCCCTTCCACCTGCCAGGGAATGGGACCATTGACTTCCCGGAGTTCCTGACCATGATGGCCAGGAAGATGAAGGACACTGACAGTGAGGAAGAGATCCGAGAAGCCTTCCGAGTCTTTGACAAAGTAAGTGGTCCTCTCGCTCCAGGGTGCTGTGAGTATGGCCAGAGCCACTAGCTGCTGCCCAGGACAGCCTCAGCCCCTCCAGGCCCCAGCCACCTCTTCTTGCCTTCAGTCCTGCCTGCTTCCACTCCTTTTCCAGGGGAGCTAAGGCAGAGCCTTTGTCCCCAACCTCCAGGACGGGAACGGCTACATCAGTGCTGCAGAGCTGCGTCACGTCATGACGAACCTCGGGGAGAAGCTGACCGATGAGGAAGTAGATGAGATGATCAGAGAGGCTGACATCGACGGCGATGGTCAGGTCAATTATGAAGGTAAGCAGTGCTGGCACCGCGGCCCCTGGCCCTGGTGCTTGGAGGCCACCAGGCTCCGCCACACTCACCGCCTTCTCTGTCTCTCCACAGAGTTTGTACAGATGATGACCGCAAAGTGAAGGCCCGGGCAGCTGGTGATGCCCGTTCTCCTGATCTCTCCTCGCGCGCGCTCTTTTCTCTCCAACACTCCCCTGCGTACCCGGTTCTAGCAAACACCAATTGATTGACTGAGAATCTGATAAAGCAACAAAAGATTTGTCCCACGCTGCATGATTGCTCTTTCTCCTTCCTCTGAGCCTCCCTCCATGGACCCCCTCGCTCCTTTTTGCCGCCTCTGCCTCCCCCCATTCAAACACTCCAGGCCTGATGCATTCATAAGAGGACCCTTGTCCCTTAGGGAGCCTCTGCCCCCCTCCTCCAGCCTGGGTGGCTCTCCTCCCCTGCGGTTTGTTTCGTCTGTCCTCTTATTTGGGTGCCGGGGTGACTACCAGCCCTGTCCCGGCCCTGTGGGTGTGAAGCCCCCACCCAGGCAAGGAGCATGCCCATGGCGCCTGCATGCAGCCAGCCTGTGATTCAGTGTGCAGATCCCTGCAGCCTGGGGCAGGGGGCCCGGAGGGGTGTGCGGAAACCCTGGGGGTGAGAAATTGTGGCATTGACCGGAAGTGGCCCAGGAGGGGGCAAGGAGCCCTTGGAAGCTGGGGGCTTTTTGTACGGGAGGGACCGGCTTGGAAGGGAGCAGACAGAGCGGACGGCACTCAGGTTCTGCTGGCTGCTGTTCTGGAACCATCTGTCTGGCTTTCTGAGGTGTGGTTGGGCAGGGCTGCTCATTAGGCCCCTGTCCCTCGGGGTCCCAGCTGTTCTGTAAATACCTGGTGCTAACATCCCATGCCACTCCCCTACGGCGCACCGCCCCGGGCGTCTAGGAATGGATGTGGGGTTGGTCGCTCTGTAATGTGCTGGTTAGCCTTTATTTTTCTTTTTTCCTTTATGTCCCTTAAAATTTTGATTTTGGTCCCAAACCATGCCAGGCCAGCCGAAGGGTAGAGAGAGGGAAGCTCAGCCTCTCCACACCTTCACAGGAATAAACCCGCAATAAAACCCTCATGCTAATCCGCTTCACGCTGCCTCTGCCCCTCCTGCCCCGGCCCCAGCGGAGAGCATGATCCGCGTCCTCGCTTCTGACTCACCTCTGGGACAAGTCAGTCACCGCGGGCAGTCAGTCTGGGTTCTTTTCTGTTCTTTTCATCTGGCTCCCCCACCCCAGGTCGATCAAGTGGCTTTCCTGGGACCTGCCCAGCTTTTGGGACCCTTCTCCTCCACCCTGTGGCACCAGCCTCCAGGGAGGGAGGGAGGGACGGGCCAGGTGGGAGACCCGGCCAGGAGTTGAGGGCAAGGGCAGGTAGGCGTGAGGCTGTGGACACTTCCAGAATGTTTTGAGTTTTGTTTTTTTAAACCGGGCAATATTGTGTTCAGTTCAAGCTGTGAAGAAAAATATATATCAATGTTTTCCAATAAAATACAGTGATACCTGATGTAGCTTGCTCCTCCCATCTTGTCTCGGATCCTGAGCCTGCCCTGCCATGGACTTGGCCCGTGTCACTTCCTGCAGAGTGGGCAGCTCCGTGTCACGGTCCCTGACACAGTGTGACTGCAGGGTTGTCGAGCAGGACAGGGCTCTTGAGTGCTGGGGTGGGTCAGAGTGGTGGCACACACAGTGCCAACTGCACTCTGTAGAGGCCAGGAACTTGGTCACACTTGACACTGGGCAGACAGCAAGGCAGAGCCACTGCACCACAGAAGGACCCAGAGACTGCAGTCAGGCGGGCACCCTGCTGAGGTGGAAGCTGAGTGCACGTGGCCAGGGATTTAGCTCCGTGGCACAGCACCTGCCTGGCAAGCAAGAGGTTCTGAGTTTAATTCCAGGTACGCAAAAAAAAGCTACAAACAGTTGTGAACTACAGAATTGCATTGACTTCCCATTCTGCGCAGGCTGTCATGGAGGGATGTGTCCCTATCCTGATTCTCCCAGGGCTTCTTGCGGAGCAAATCCCCCAGACATCTCTGGGGTCTTCTGCGGGGCTGACGCTCGACACTCACTTCTGGACAGCTGGGCAGCAGTGGACAGAGACAGCATCCTCCGTTTTTGCTGGCCAAGAAAGGGCAGTGGCTGGGGTACCAGGCATGGCCACTGGGGGAATTTCTATGGCGGGGTTGAGCCTTGGCTGGGGCGTCCCTGTTATGCCAGCATCAGACCTCAGCCATGGCCGGAGATGCTCGAAGTGGCAGCTGTTTCTCCAGAGCCTGCATCTGTGTTGCCTTTGTCGCCAGCTGCGTAGGGCGTGGTATTTGTGATGCAGTAGACAGAGTGTAATGGAAAGGCGTCTGGGACTCAACCCTCCATACCTCTGGACAGGTGACGTCCCTGTGGGCTGCAGATGAAACTGGGCAGCCAGATGAGCCCAAAAGCCTCAGTGGGCATCAGTCAGTGTTTACTGGGTGTGTCCAGCCTCACAGGTCATCTTCTAAGCTCCACATCCGGGACCACAGTAAAACCCTAAGCAGCCATTTGGCTGGGTATCATGAGTCTGCCTTGTGCTAACTGGTAGACTTGAGACCCAGAGAAGCAAGGTCACTCCTCCTTGGATCTGGTAGAAAGGTTTTCTTTCTTCTTTTTTTTTTTTTTGAGGTAGGGTTTCACTCCATGGTTCAAGTTGGCCTCAAACTCGCTTTGTAGTCTAGGCTGGCCTCAGACTCACAGTAATCTTCCTGCCTCAGCCTCCCAAGTGCTGGGATTACTAGTGTGCATCACCACACCCAGCCACTATTGTGGATTTTTAACTTGCTGTTTTTTTAAATGCTGACTTCAGGCCGGCCAAAGACAGAGCCAGCTGGGCCTGAGCAGAGACTTTAGCAGCATGGGACTCTGACGTGGGAGTGGCCTTCTTAGCAGCCTGTGGGAAGTTCTGGTCTAACAATTGATTGATTTTTTTTTTTTTTTTTTTTTGAGACAAGTTCTCACTAGGTAGCCCACCAGGCTGGCCTCAAACCCATGGCCATCCCCCTGCCTCAGCTTCCTGAATGCTAAGATTACACAGGTATACCATCATGCCCTGCTGGTCAGGCACCCGATGGGAAGCAATCCCACAGAAGGAGGCTCCTACCCCAGCTGGACCACTCACCAGAGTGAATGAGTCTTGGCCCTCACTAAGCCTTAGGGACCACCTCGGCCACTTCTGACTTGATAATGCTACAGAGGTGATTTTGTTACTCCAAGCCTCAGTTTACCAGCCTGAAAAATGGAGAAGAAACTAAAAGAAAGATCATAAGGATAACTGCCTCGGTGGATAGGGTCACCAGACCATTTAATTCTGACCCAAGCCACATGGGTCTCTACTGAATTTCAGCACCTGCTAGTACTCATGGTATGCATGCTCTGGCCCAGGCAGAATAAATGATTACCCAGCTCTGACAGGAGAGAATGGCAGTGGGGCAGATAGCGCCTACCATACCATGCTGTACCTTTCTTGTTTGGTTTGGTTTGTACTGGGAATCGAACTCAGGGCCTCGAACTTGCCAGGCAGCCACCATGACACTGAGCTAATCCCAGGCCCAACGCTGCACTTCTGGGAGCTGTACTTTTAACAGCTGAGCTGGATCTCACAACTGGATCCCATTTGCTCGGATCCCGAACACCAGGCTTTTAACCACTGCATTCCTTGCCTGCGCTCCTCAGGGCTTTTATCATCCCCCCAGGCCTGTGTTTTGGAAGACTTTTACCCCCAGACAGTCTTCGCGATTAAGTAATCATGACTTCCTTTCCCATTCTTTATTAATCAAAGACACATGGAAGGCACTCAGCTGCTAATGGCCCCTGGGCAGCACTGAAGCTGTGGACTGCAGCTCCAGCTCAGCCTTGCTGGCTCGTGATCATCTCCTTGGGGGCTCCCAGCTCTGCCAGAGCAGCTCACAGCCTGTCCTGACAAGGTGACCAGACAGGGGGACTGCAGAGGCCCCCTCATTTCCCAGAGCATAGCGGGCCTGCTGGCTTAACTACTGTGGGGCCGCTTCAGAGTGCCACTCCCAGTGTGACCAGCAGGTGGAGCCATGGCGACAAAAGGCCCTGGATAGCCGCAGCTCCCAGGACCAGCGAGGGGATGGAAGTAGGTGGTGTGCCTAGAGAAGGCCCTGCGTGGGTTGGCCTCCCACTAGGGAGACAGAAATGAGTAAGGACTCATTCCCAACGTTTCACTTCCTGACCCCCGCCCCAGACGAGGGTCGGCAACTCACACTGGCCCCTGCATATCTTCCTTTCACAGCTTTCGATTTTGCATTTGAGCTGCTGCCTCCGACGTGTGATTATTCAGTTGTCCCATGATTCATGAGCCAAGTAGGACCAAGGCTGTCATTGTCACTACTACATCCCCAAGGGACACAGCAGTCAGCCCACAGCAGGCTCCAGGAACTTAGTTAAGGAACTTAGGAAAGGCACAGGTCTCCAGAGCCGGAACCAGAAGAGCGAGTGACAGATTCCTCTTTCCTCCATCACTTTCCTCCAAACTCTCTGGCTCAGCCATCACTCCTCCAAGGAGCATCTCCGGGCCTCCCTAGGCTCCCCCAACCACCACCCGCCAAGCCCCACCCACTCTGAGGACAGAACTGTCTTCACTGGACAGTGAGGGTCAGGAGGGTATGGCCAGGGCTGTCCCAGTCACTGTCCTGTCCCCAGCATCATGGGCGGAGCCCTGCCGATCAAGAGATGAGTCTGTGCTCAGGCAGCCTTGGGCTTGGCCTGTGGCCTCCAGGCGGCCGGCAGGGAGGTGACCCATCAGACAGCGCCCCCAGCCAGCGCTGTGATAGTAGTGGGCATCGAGGACAAACTCCCACACTTGGGACAACTCCAGCCAGGCAAAGAGTTTCTAACTCATCCCGGGCTGTGGGGAGGCAGGAGGCGGCTGTCTGAAAACCGCCAGCCTGACAGACGATGTGACATCCAGATCAGAAGGCAGGGTCCTCTCCCTGAAGATGGGACTGATGGCCTCTCCGGGGTTGAAGGACTGAGCCCCACACCAGCATTTACAAACCCTGAGGGCAGCGAGAGAAGTGCCTCACATGAGGGATGACAGTGAGGAGGGGAGTGGTTCCCCATCCCTTTGTGGCTACCTTCTGTTCAGTGGGGGACCTTTGGATTTGTTCCAGCTGAGACCAGGCCAGGTTTGGTGACAAGGGCAAGACTCATTTTGCTATTCTGGATCAGTTTGGTTTGGTTTGGTTTTTACAGACAGGGTCTCATTATATAGTTCAGGGGGGACTTGAACTCACTATGTAACCCAGACAGGCCTAAAACACTGGACAATCCTGCCTCAGCCTCCAGAGTGCTGAGATTACAGGCATGCACCATCACACTTGGCTTTTTTTCTTATAATTGGACTTTTTAATTGTTAGATTCACCCAAGATATTATTACTCAGTTACAATTGCTATAAAAGTCTCTAAACACCCTCATCTTTTTCGGTATTACATGTGGTTTTTTGGGGGGAGGAGGTGCGATTCCCATTATACAAAGGTTACTTTTTGCAGACTTTACAGTTGATTACAAAGTTGGTGGCATTTAGTACATTTATATTGTCAACAACTGTTCCCACTCACATTCCAGAACCACTTCGTTACCTCCAAAGAAAACCCCATATCAAGCCGGGCATGGTGGTACACTCCTGTAATCCCAGCACTCAGGAGACTGAGGCAGGAGAATCATTTGCAAGTTCAAGACCAGCCTGGGCTACAAAGTAAGCCGAAGACCAGCCTGAACGGCATAGTGAAATCCTGTCTCAAAAAGACAAAAAAAAAAAAAAAAAAAAAAAATTAAATAGAAAACAAAGAAAAAGAAAAACCCACACCTTTTAACTGGTCACCTCAACCTGTTTGTTTTGCTTTATAGTGCTGAGGATTAAACTTAGGGCCTTGCATATGTAGGCAAGCGCTCTGCCGCTGAGCTACCTCCCCAGCCCAACTGACTGACTGATTGTCTTTTTGAGACAAGGTTTCACCATGTACCCTAGGCTGGCCTCTAATTCTTGGCGATCCTCCTGCCTCAGCCTCCCTAGTGCTGAGATCACAGACATGCAACACCATACCTGTTTGTTTGGTTTTTTTTAAACAGTACGGGGGGATCAAACTCACAACCACATGCTTTCAAGGCAGGCGCTTATGTCGCTGAGCTAAATTCCCAGCCCCTTATATTTTATTTTGAGATGAGACAGAATCTGGCTAAATTCCCCAGCCTGCCCTTGAATTTGAAATCTTCCTGCCTCAGCCTTATGACTAGCTGGGATTATAGGCGTGTATCACTGTGTTCAATTTTGATCTGTTTTTAACTCTCCCCCAAACACTCTTTGTTTTGCTCTTTTATTTTTGGTGTTTTGAGTTGAGACAGGGTTTCATTGTGTAGTTCACCCTGGAACTCAGGGCAATCTCCTGCCTCAGACTCCAGGGTGCCAGGATTGCAGGCATGCATCATCATACCCAGGGTACCCCTTGTTTTTCTTGAACGTGCTTTGAAATATAGTGAATACAAATAAGTAAATAAAAGTGAAAATAATGATCCCATGCTTGCTTCATTTGGTTTTCAGGTCATGTTTGCTCAGATAATAACGGAAACAATAATGGCAGTAATAGTAATGTCCAGTGCAGCCCCTCTTGTAAGCCCTGCACTTCAGAGGGATCTTCAGAGGCAAGCTCTCTCTCATCCTCACAGCTTGAAAGCTAAGCACCTGATTATAGTCAGAAAGGGAGCAAGGCACAAAGGGGTTAGGAGTTGCAGCCAGCAAGCTGGGCCCCGCAGTGGACTAGACCATCCAGCTCCATGGCCAGCAGTTGGCTCCACTTCCGCCCTGCTGTGTGACCCGGGGCAGTGATTGCCCTCTCTGGGCCTTGACACCAGTGTACTCCTAGCGGCTCTCATCACAGGCTGCGCGGTGGCTGGAGGGTGTGCCTTGCATGCAGGACTGCTCGCTTGCCACCAACTTGCTGATGAGCTCTCAGGTATACTTCACTACCCTTCCCCAAGTGCAGCTTTATTGTTTTGGGCCAGGGGCGAGTGAGGAAGGGGAACTGAGGCAGGCAGTGTGGGGTGGGAGTGGGAAAACCCTCCCCCAGGTCTCCATACCAACTTACTTCTGTTCCCAAGCTCCCTGGATGCCCACACCTGAGAAGGAGGGGCTGGCTGGAAATCACCCCAGCAGGCTCTGGAGACTTTTCTGTGTCCCTGACACCAGGTGGAGTTGGCACCTGCTGTGTATTGGTTGCAAGAAAAAAAGAAAGAAAGAGAGAGACAGAGAGACAGAAAGAGAGAGAGAGAGAGAGAGAGAGAGAGAGAGAGAGAGAGAGAGAGAGAGAAGAAAGAAAGAAAGAAAGAAAAAGAAAGAAAGAAAGAAAGAAAGAAAGAAAGAAAGAAAGAAAGAAAGAAAGAAAGATCTTTGCAAGGACTCTGAGGACAGTGAGGTGAAGTCAGGCTCTGTAAGGAGGCAATACTTTGTCCCGGCCCAGAGGACAGCACAGGCCTGGGGTCTGTATTCCTGGCTGATTCCGGGATTCCCCCACCTCCACCCGTTGAGTTGCTGTCCTCCCAGCTGCTGTCACTGGCAGGTCACAACGCATGACCCATTACACTATGACGTTTCTTGGGTACCAGGCATACGTCCACCAGTGTCACCTACGACGCAACAGCCTCTCCTTCCTCCTGAGTTCCCTTGGGACACAAAACACCCAAGAATGATGGAGAACAGGAAGTGGGGAGCTTTCTGGGAATCCCTGGCTTGGGAGAAGGCAGGGCCTTTCCGTGGGAGCTGGGGAGGGTAGCTGGGACGCCCCTGATGGATAAGAAGGGGAGCAGGAACCCTAACCTCTGCAGATTTGAGTACCCTGAAGTCACTGGGAACTTTGCCACCTTCTAAATATTTGGACAGTGAGATGGATGGGGAGCCCAAGGCCAGGGCCAGCAGGTCAGGCTGTGGGCTATTTTGAGACAACTGTTCTTTCATGCTCCAGGGTAACTTTCTCTCCTCCCACAAACTACACGGCCACCCCAATGGAGGGCAATGGCAGCTGGTCACCCCCACAGTTCAGAGGCCAATGTGCTGGCTTCCATAGCATCGGCCGTGTCCCTTGTTTCCCGGCTCCTCCACCAGGAAGACAGGGCAGGAGGTCAGGGGCCGATGTCCTTGTCAGCAGAGAGAGCAGGCAACCGCAGCCTCAGCTTTGGACAGTGTCGCTGTTCCCACGGTGCTGCCGCCACCGGGCCGCGAGACCTGTGCCTTACTCCAGGCGGACAGGGGCACCCAGGTCCCTTCTTTGTCCTCCAGACCAGCAGGGATTCTGGGGTCCCTTCTCCCTGAGGCTGGCCGGGACTGGAGAGTCTCTGAGTCACCTCGAGAAGGCCGAGGACACAGACAGCAGAACCAGAGCCTGAGTCGCTGGAAAACAGCCTTTCGGAAAAGGATGAAGACCCAGGGGTCCAGGATGGGGTTGAAGGCATTGAAGCGGAAAGCAAGGAGGTCTCCCATCTCGCTGCTGTCCGGGGCGATGGCCTGGGTGAAGCCGCGAATCTGGGGTGCAGAGAGAGGGACCAGGAAGGGGCTATGAGTTCCCTCCCTGCCTCCTCACCTCACTCCTCATCTCCTATTTGTTCCTCACAGAGATGAGAGGGTGGCACATCAGAGGAGAAGGAAGCAAGATAAAATGAAAACAAAACCGCTAATGCATCTGGAGCAGAGGGTGGGGAAGCTCCAGGAAAGCGCCCATCGCCCTCCAGCAGGACAGACGGGCCAGCCATGCACCTGACCCGCCCGTGGCACCTGGGAGGACCTTGGGCTCACAGACTCTAGTCTGTGGGCTGAGTCCAGGTGCTGGCTGTGCCTCTAAGTCCCTGAGTCATCCTAAGCCTCCCAAAGGCTGAAGTAAAGACCCCCAAATCCAGCCCAGCACCTTGCATTTTACAGAAAGAGAAACTGAGGCCCAGAATAAAGATGAGAGGACCAGATGTCACAGACCCTGGTGCTGCTCCAGTGGAAAGGGCGAGGGTGGCAGCCTTAAAGAGCCCAGAACGACTGCAGGGTGGGGCTAGGCTGGAGGACCCGGGAGCACTAGATAAGGGGTGACCCTGGCCAAGAGATGCTGCCCGTCTCCATGAAGGGTGGCAGGGCTGAACTTTGCACCATTTCCTGCCCAGTGTTGCAGGCTGGGCGTGGAAGGTTGTTTTGAGGGTTATCTGAGGAGGTATTTAAAAGCCACAAAGCATCCGGTGGACAGAAGGCAAATTCTCTCAGATGGTAGGTCCCACTGTCACAGCTCAGGGGAAGGCAGGGCTGCCTGATTATGGAGGATGTAGACAGAGATAGGGCACTCAGTGGTCAAGTGAAGCAGAAAAAAATGGGGAGAAGTGTCGCTGGGAAGTTGGAAGCTGTTTGGCCTGGACCAAGTCTCAGTCTGACCTCTTCTGAGACTCAGTTTCCCCATCTGTGAAAGGGGCTCATCCAATGGTAGGGCTGAATGCTACTCTCCTGTCCTCTCCCTGCCCCCACCCCCAAGGAGACTCACCGTGAGTGGCAGAGAGCACACGGTCATTATGACTGTCATGAGGGCCAGCAGGATCAGGTGGTCCACCTCGTCCTCGTGTGTCCGGGAGCTAAGGACCAGCAAGCCCTGGTGGCGCCTCTGCTGGCGGTACATTCGGCAGAGGCTGAGAGTGACGGAGCCATTGCACAGGACAATAGCACTCACCAGCAAAGCCACAAGGCTGGCATAGGCCAGGGAAAAGGCACAGCCCCTGGGCTCGGCAGACCGCAGGCGGATGAAGCACCAGCTGCCCGGGCAGTACTGCTGGTGCTGGCCCAGGCCGAGCAGAGGCAGTGCGCAGAACAGCATGCAGAAGGCGTAGATGGTGGGCAGCGCCAGGCGGGCACAGCGTGGCCCATCCAGCTGGGCATACAGGTAGGGGTGGCTGAGTGCCAGGCAGCGCTCCACCGCCATGGCGAAGAGGATGAGCATGGAAGCTAGACCAAAGAAGGTCATGGCGAAGGCGAAGGCGTCACACAGAGCGGGGCCCCCTCGGGCCAGGCCCAGCAGCGAGCTGTTGCGAGCATAGGCCACGAACACGGCCGGGCTCAGGAAGCAGGTGCCCAGCAGGTCCGTCACCGCCAGCCCGGTGACCAGCACGGCAAAGGCTGATGGGCGGGACTGCCGCCGCGCGCCCAGAATGCCCAGCGCCAGCCCATTGCCCACCACACCTGCCACAAACATCAGGGTGCTGGTGGCCGGTCCCACCGAGTCCCGCACGTAGGTGAGGTTGCGGCAGGAATCGGCCATCACCTAAGGCAGCGTGCAGCCTGCGCTGGAGAGCTCCCAAGGGTGGGACCACTGGGATGCCGGCTGCAGGCCACTGTCCTTATGACAGCTGGGGTCTGTCGCCCCCTGGCCCAGTTCTCCAAGTGTGTGTCTCTGTCTGTGCTCCTCTGGACTCCTCTGGTGTCTGTGCAGTCTCTTTCCTTCCCCAGGTCTCCTCCTGTCCTCTCTCAGCGTCCCTAGCTCTTTCCTCTGTCGCCCTGCCCTTAGCTGCCTTAGCTGTCCCGATCCCAGCTCCCTCTCTCCAGCCCCTATCTGCTCTTGCTCAGCATTCCAGGACTCCGAAGCCCCAAGCCCTGCAGCCCCTGGCTTCTCCTCCTTCTGCTCAGCAGCATCTGGCCCCAGCGCGGTCCCGAAGTCTGAAGTCTGCGTTGATCTCTGTGTCAGCCTCTCCGTCCCTCCCCCTCCACGGCCCGCCTTCCCTCCCTCCCTCCGCATCTCGCCTGCTTTTTCATTTCCTCTTTGCCCCGCCCTCCCTGCACAGCCTTCTCCAGCAGCCCCCAGGGCTCCCTGCACCCTCCCGCCTTGCACCCTGTCCTCCCTGCATCATCCCCCCACCCCCGCCAGCAAGCGCCTGCCTCCCCTCTCTGCCTCTCTCAGGCCCCACAAAACAGCCACCTGCTTGCTCCGGTACTTAAGTCTGTCCTTCCTCCTCCTCTGGCCAGGGTGGGTATCACAGTCCCAGCGCACTCAGCCAGGAACAGAATGCCTCCGCTCTCCTGAGGTTGGCAGCCTGGGCTGTCTCAGGGTGGCCTTTGGGCTCTGCTCTGGGCTCCAGGCCTCGGGGTTGGGACATGGCCCCCGGGATTGAGAAATGACTGGGAAATTCCTCCTTGATGCAGTGTTTTCCAGACACCACTGAGATTTCTGGTCCCCGGACATAATTCACTCCTTCCAGAGGCTGAGGAAGGCGGTGGCCTGGCCAGGCCTTGTCCCCGGGATCCCAGCTTGTGAGCACAGTGTCCAAAGGAGGAGCGGCTCTGGTGTCCGGTAGTGGGGTCAGGCCCGGAAGACTTGGGTGGCCCCTCATGAGAAAAGCACGCTGCGGACCTCTTCCTTCTCACACAGCAACTGGTCCAGGCCCCAGGCCAAGCTCCGATGACCTTGATCTCCAGGAATAATATTTTGGCCACAGAAGGGTCTGCAGAATCACTGCCACATGGATGACTTCCATCCTCCCCAGACACAGCCCAGCCGCCTCCTCCCAGGTCAGTGTGGTCAGCCCACAGGTCACAGCTGTCAGTACAGCAGTGTGGGTCATTCCCACCTAGGCCACAGCTCTCCAGGGAGCCTTGGGGACCTTGGGGGGGGGGCTCATTTGTACCTGGAGGGTAGAGATTCCAGACTCAGGATTCTGCATCTGTTTCACTTGTGTTTCTGTCCAGAGAGAGAAACAGAGAGCGACAGAGAGAGTCTGTATTACCGTGAATTAAACTCAAGGCTTTCACATTGAGCTACATGCCTAGCTCTTTTAAAATGTTTAATTTTGGGGGTCTTGGTGAGGGCAGGCCTTGCTAAGTCAATAAATTGCCCAGGCTGGGCTTGAACTTATGATCCTCTCAGAGTACAAAACTGTCCCACTTTGACCACCTTCTTCCTGTGTGATGGTCCTGGTCAAGAACAGGAAGCTGGTGTGCCTCAGTTTCCTCTTCTGTGCAATGCCTCATACCAGCCTCACAGGCCTCTGGCTGACAGGAGCCAGCAGCATGGTCCAGGTGTCTGTGTAGCCAGGAAGGATCCTGTGCGGTCTCCCAGCTCCACGGCACAGGGCCGCTGCAGACCTCAGTGCCGGACTGAGGGCAGCTGTGGCCTTGCCCTCTCTGGCCTCTCTCCCGTGACCACAGCTCCCTTGTTCTTCTCCCATCTCCCTATCACCCATGCTCAGCTGGCACCCAAGCTTCCGGCAGGATCAATGCTCTAGCTCCAGACATACCAGGGATCCCCGAGAGACCACATAGCCCCACCCTAGGGGTGCCTGTGTGTGCCACCGTGCTCTCTGGTTCCCAGGCAGGGCAGAGGGAACTCAGGAAGTTATATCATACTAATGAGGGATGACGCCGGGCAAGCTTGGGTCCTGTGTCAGCACCAGGGGAGTTGTTGGGGGGAGGTGGGGAGCTCTGGTTCCCGGAGCTCTCTCCTGCTGGCTTCCCATCCCCAGTCCCCATCAGCATCACTAAGCATTCAGGAAGTTCCTTCTGCTCCCATGCCCAGGGGGACCTAGGACAAGCCCTGTTTTCCTCAAAGACTCAGTTTCCCCTTCTATGCCACTTGGGGACACAAGTGCTTGCACCGCCAGTATCAGTTCCATGCTCCTGCATCAGCAGCTGAAGAAGGTGACAGCTTCCTTCCTAATGAGGGGACCAAGGGCAGACGGAGGGGGGGGAGCCTGTGTCAGGCTTGCTGTGCGTCCATGCATTCCCTGGGCATGGCTGGCCTCTGCCTGGCTACAGCCCAGCAAGGTCCACTGCCAAGCCCACAGCAGGAGCCACTGGGATTCAGTTCCGCCCAGGTGCCACGGGGGAGGGAGGTGGCAGCCCTCACAGGGGGAGGGGTGTCTTGGGGGGGGTTCAGGGAGGAACTGCTGGGGTGTTCAGGGTGACTCAGCAGCTCTCTCATCCCTCCTCCACTGTGAGAGCAGGACTCATCCTCCCTGAGGGACCCAGGGAAGCTGGCAGAAGAGGAAGAACAGCCCGAGACTACAGAGAGTCATTGTGCCAGAAGGGCGGGCTTGGGGACCCAGCAGAGGGCAGGTGCTAGGACTGTGCATGGGAATTTGACATGGTGTCTATGTGCAATTTGGGGCCCTCCAGGACTTAAGTGAGCTTCTGTTTGTTTGTCTGTTTGGTTTTTCTCTGTGCTGGGAATGGAACCCAGGGCTTCATGCATGCTGGGCAAGTGCCCCACCTCTGAGCCAGCTCTTTTTAGTTGAGTCTTCCTGAATTGCTCCAGCTGGCCTTGAACTTGTGGTTCTCCTGCCTCCTAAAGCAAGCTGAGATTACAGGAGTGCATCACCATGCCTTAAGAGAGCATTTTGTCAGCACAATGATTGTGGGTGGTATGTGTGTATGTGTGTGTCAGCGATTGGAAAAACATAAACTATCTGTGTGGCTTCTGTGAGTGCATCTGGGTTGGCTATTTCTTTTTTTAACTTTTAGGGGTACATGTTTTCCCAGCTCTCAGGAGGCTGAGGCAGGAGGATCTCCATGAATTCAAGACCTTCCTGGACTACACAGTGATTTCAAGGGCAGCCTAAATACATAGCGAGACCCCTGATCTCAAAAAGCAAACAAACAGAAAAAAAATAGTACACAGGGGTCAGGGATATAGTACTCAGTGGCTCAAAAGCTTGCCTGGTAAGCGTGAGATGAGTTCGATCCTCAGTTCCAAAATACAAAAATAAAGTACACATTTGTAGTCCATAATGTTTACATTCATTTTAGGAGCTACATGCATATACTTATCACACAGTAATTCTTTTTGTTATTTACCCTCTCCTCTCCTTTCCCCCTCCCTCCATCTCTTTGTCCACTTTCTGTTTGCAAAAGGTCAATCTCCCTGTTTCTTATTATTTTTTTATTTTGTCTTCTAAATTATTTATTCTTTGGATATCTCATATCAGAGAAGCTATACAATATTTAAACTTGTTTGCCTGATTTATTCCACTTAACATTATGGTGTTAAAGTGCATCCATATCCCTGCAAATAACTGAAATTTACCCTTCTTTCTTGCAGAGTAGTACTCATTATAAATAAATCCTCGATTTTCTTTATCTGTTCTTTTTTTTTTTTTTTTTTAAGATCTGGTCTCACTATGCAGTTCAGGCTGGCCTTGAGCTCACTTTGTAACCCAGGCTGCTCTCAAACTGGAAACAATCCTCCTGCCTCAGCCTCTTGAGTGCTAGGAGTACAGTTGTGCGCCACTATGCCCGGCTCTTTATCTATTCATCTGCTGATGGACATATGGCCTGATTCCAAGCCTTACCAGTTATGAGCTGTGCTACAAAACACTTGGCTATGCGCTTATGCCGCTGAGCTAAATCCCCAGCCCCCTCTAGTTGTAGTTTTTGAGGATGCTCCATAGTGGTCTCCATTGTGATGTCACTAGTCTGCTTTCCCACCAGCCATGCGGAAAAGTTCCCTTTCCCATCCCAGGCAGCTGGCTGGTTTTGGTGCTGTGTGTGTGAGTGTTGTGAGCAGGACAAATTCTGTGTGCACGGACACGCCCAGATAGGTGCTGCCGTGTCCCATTTGTGGCTGGATCTGTGTAAGGACATTTGTGACACAAGCCCTGTGGGTCTGCAGCCGTGCTTGTATCCCCATGGTGCATTGCTAAACTGTGTGGCTTTGTGGGCAGTTTTTCTCAAAGAGCATAGCTGGGTCTACTTGTATGGCGGTGTGTGTTGGTTTAATGTGTGCTCACACATCTCCTTACGGCTGTGTCTCCTCCCTGTGTGTTTGTATGTGGAGGGGCCCTGGTTCAATGAGAAGAGAATGAATTTTTTAAATTTTGATTTTAGTTTTTTGAGACATGGTCTCCCTATGTAGTTTAGGTTGGCCTTGAATTCACTACATAGCCCAAGCTGGGCTTGAATTTGTGGTGATCCTCCTGCCTCAGCCTCCCAAGTGCTAGGACTATAGACACATGCCCAACAAGAATTTGAAGATTTTGAAGCTGTCTCACCACTCACAATTTGTCTTGTGACCCCAGGAAAAAGACCGCCTTGGAAAATCCTTGATTGTCTTCATCAAAGTGCCATCTTGACCTCATTGGGATGCTGTATGAAAATCAGGGGAAATTCACCCTGCCTATACTTCAGGAATCCCCCCAAGAGGTCATGGTGTTATCATTCATTCAACAAACCTAACAGTTTCCTGTGTACCAAGGACTGGGAAAGAGAGGCTTTGTGAGCACCAAGCAAAGGGGAACTGAGTATAAATCCACATGGCATGAAGACCTGGGCAAGGGGTTTTCAGCTGAGGTGTCCCTCACTCAGCTAGCACAGCCATCTGGGTGTGTGTCCTCAAGGCAGCAAAACTGCCAGGTGCGGTAGAATGGGCCTACAATTCCAGCATTTAGGGAGGCAGAAGCAGGATGATTTTACATTCCAGACCAAGTGTATGTACCCTAGTGCCACTAAGCAAGACCTTGTCTCAAAATAAAAGTTTAGGGGCTAGGGATTTAGCTCAGCGGCATAAGCGCCTGCCTTGCAAGCAGGCAGTCATGAGTTCGATTCCTGGTACTGATAAAAATGAGAAAGACCAAAAAAAAAAAAGATATAAATAAAAGTTTAAAAGGAGGGGGCTGAGAATGAAGGCCCAGGGCTTAGTCGCCACTATCAGGGTAGGGGACATGCCTATAATCCTAGCACTCAGGAGACTGAGGAAAACTCACCGTGAGTAGTTTGAAGGCAGCCTAGGCTACAAAGTCAGACCCTGTCCAAAAAAAACCTGAGACAAGCCATGTGTGGCTCATGCCTGTAATCCCAGCACTCAGGAGGCTGAGGCAGGAGGATTGTTGTGAGTTCAAGACCAGCCTGGTCTACAAAGTGAGCGCAAGGCCACCTGAACTGCATAGTGGAGACCCTGTCTCAAAAAAAAAAAAAGCAAACCTGAGACAGAGAGAGAGACCGAGAGCCACACTAGGTACAGAGCTGTGACAAACCTCTCCCATACCTGCCTGCCTCTGCCCAGGCAAGAGGTGCCACAGACTTGAGACTGCCGTGTGCCCTGAGAGTGACCCTCTCCTGCCTGCCCGGCTTCCAGCCTCCTGGCCCCCACCTGAGAAGGCTCACCCCACCTCATGCCCTACACATCTGCGTCACCAGCTGCCATGTCTCACCGGGCCTGCTGGTCTTTGGTCTCTGGCTGCTCCTGCTGCTGCCGTAAGAAGCTGTCCTGTGTCTGTCCAGACCTGCCGTCCTGGGCAGGCCCACTTCTATCGTCAGAGGCTGTTTTTCTCTGCCTGCCACACAAAGGGGCCCTTGCAACCCTCCCTGCCCGGCCCGGCCCTCTGCCTGGGGTGTGCCCCCACCAAGAGAGATGCTCACGTCCCCTCCTCCAAGGCCCAGCATCCAATCTCTCCTCACAGCCTCCATCAGACCCTTGCTCCAATCCCCAAGGCCACCTGGCCAGAGGATAGCCCCTGCTCCATGCCTGATTTCCACATCTGCAGGATGGGCATAAACACTGTCCTTGGGTGGCCTGGTCGTGGTGAGGATCCAGTGAGATGCGAATTGTGAAAGGGACTCCCAGTGAGTGGTGGCTGTCACTCTCAGCTCCACCAAGCACAGTGATAACACATAGGGTCAGAGTGTGGGTTACAGGGGTGTAAGGGAGTGACTGCCTGCCCTGAGTGGGGCAGTCAGAGCTTTGCAGTGGTGTTGAAGGGGGAACAAACAAGTTCCCCCTTCTGCTTGGCCTGGCCCTAGCCCCAGCCTGGGCCTGGCCCTACAGCTGACCTCACAGATAGGGTGCCTGGGAAGAGCCCTGAGTGACCAGACCTGGTCCAGCTGTAAGGCTAATAGGATTAACTGAGTCTGCACACATGGCAGCTGGCCACCCAGGGGCCTGCCCTGTCCCTTCTGGCTTCTGGCTTCTCTCTCATCCCAGCCTCCTCACCTCCCCCCTCCCTCCCCACCTCCCCTTTCTAGGTATGCCTCTCCTCCTGGTCCTTCTGTTCCCCCTGTCCTGGGTCCCCTACACCAGTCCCAAACAACCACCCTCATTTCCCCACAGATGTCCAGAGCCAAAAGATGCAGGCAGGAGGGTCAGCCTATGGAGCTCCCAGATTCCAGGCTGGGAGAGTCTGAACCCAAAAGAGCTAAGCTCCAGAAGTCCCTACCCTCCTGAGGTGCCCAGCTCAGAGTCCCTGCCAGACAGAGAGCTAAGACCCAGGGATCTCAGCCCCACAGGTTGGCAGACACCTTGGAATCCAGTCTTCAGAGGTGCCTAGATGCCTCTGTGTGTCAGGCTCCGGCTGCAGCAGTGCCGGGGCTGAGACTTTGGGGACGCTTTCCCACTCCATCCCTCCCTGGCATCCTCCCCCTCCCCCACCAGCTCTTTCTTGGCTCTCACCCTATCCCCCTGCTCCCTAGAGGCTCCCACAGACATGATGCAACCAGGCAGAGCCGCAGAGAGGTGGGAGGCAGGAGGGAGAGGTAATTATAGTCACTCCTGCCCCAGTCCTACAGGAAGCTCAGAGTAGGGCCCAGGGGACGCTAATTCAATCCAAATGGAGCATTTGCCAAACTCATGGAAGGCACGCAGGGAGGAAAGCTCAGCAAGCCACCTCCAGCCACACCCATGGGTCCAGCCTCGATCAGCCCCAAGCTGATAAGGAGGGAAAGGGCTAGGGGACGAGGGTAAGGAAGGGGCTTGCAACCCAGAGGCCCTCAAGCCAGCAGGTGAAGTGATTAAATAAAATTATGGCCCACCTGATCCGAATTTTCCTTTCTTCTTTCTTCTCCTCCTCTTTCTTCTCCTTCTTCTCATCCTCCTCCTCCTTCTTCTTTTCCTCTTCCTTCTCTTCCTTTTTCTTTTTTTTGTTTCATGAATTGAACTTGCAAACCTCATGCTTTCCAGGCAGGTGCTGTGCCACTGAGCTATATACCCGCCCCTCCTCCTTTCCCATTTTTGTTAAAAACAGGGTCTCTATATGTAGTTAGGCTGACTTTGAACTCACTTTGCAGTCCAGGCTAGCCTGGAACTCATGCTGGTCCTCCTGCCTCAGCCTCCCTAGAGCTGAAATTACAGGTATGCACCATCCCATCCAACTCTCCAGTTTCAATGGAAACAGAATATTACACTTTACACTGAAGCCCCAACACAGGCTGCATGATAAATGGACCCTGGCCTTCTGCTCTTCTTTAGCAGGAAGACGGTGGAGTGTGGTGGGGATTTCCGGCAGGCCGGAAAGCCAGGGTCAGTCTCATAGCCTATGTAACCCGATGGGTCAGTGGACCTTACAATTCATTTGGCAGTGTGGATTTTCATTCAAAATATCTCTATTTTTCAAATTGGGAACTGAGTCAAGAATGTCTTTAAATATCATGTAGGCTAAAAGTAGAAAGCCGAAAAGTATAACTGTTATTGCAGGCCACCAGTGTGTGTGCTGGGAAACAGCAGAATCCAGGACCGTCACAAGTCACTTTCCTCTGTCCTCAAAATTTTAAAAATAAGATTTTTTGTTTTCTTTTGTTTGCAGTACTGGGGATTGAACCCACAGCCTTCGAGCTATACCCTCAGGCCTTTTTATAATCTTTTGAGACAGAGACTTGTTAAATTGCCCAGTCTTCCTCCAACCGAGCTCTTTCTGCCTCAGGTTCCCAAGTCTTAACACCGTGCCCCCTCTCAGAAGTCTTCTCCAGGAAGCCCTCACTGTTCCCAAAACTGGGTCAGGCTTGCCAACATATCTGTCTAGGAACCCTAAGCCCCAGGAGGGCAGGACCAGGGCTTTCTAGGTCACAGCCACAGGTCCAGCATTATCCCAGCACAGCGCTGGTCACAGAGCAGGTACACAGAGAGTGAAAAGAGAAAAAGGTAAGGACACAGCCAGCGGAGGAGAGCAGGGGCTGGAGTCATGCAGGGAGGAGTTAGCCCAGCCAGAGGCACAGGGAGCCTGGGTTCCGCAGTCTTTGCCCCATTATCTCCAAGCTCTGTGACTTTCAGGCTCAGAGATCTCATCTGTAAGATGAGTATCATGGAGCTGTTCTCGGGAGTCGTTGGGACAATTTTTTTTTCCTTTTGGTACCAGGGATCGAACTCTAGACCTCGCACATACCAGGCAGGCGCTTAAGCCACTGAGCTAAATCCCCAGCTCCGTCGGAACAATTTTTAAGTAAGTTCAGGATAGGATTGTGGGGACCCTGGTGAAGGACAGCTTCTTGCGAGGCTTCAGTACCGCTGTGCACCCTCGGCATCCACGCAGTCCACGTTTCACACACACTCGTAAGCAAGAAGGAGCACAGGTTCGCTCAAGGCAGTCCCAAGCTCAGCGCGTGCCTCAATTTCCCCGAAAGCATAGGCACCACCACAATCACCAAATTTATTGGACTCGTAGTTTGGCCAGGAAGGGTAAGCTGTCGGGAGGGGCTCACAGAAGGACGCAAAAGAGGCGCTTGTCGCGGAAGGGATTCTCGGCGGCCGGTACCGGCGTCACCAGCGGGTCGTCTTTGGCGTGCGTCTCGCAGAAAGCCAGGAGCTCGGCCGCTGCCTGCGACACCTGCAGGAGCGAAGGTGGATGTATGGAAGCCCGGGCCTCGAGGCCCCGCCCCTGGAACAGCCCCGCCCCCGGAACAGCCCCGCCTCCTATAAGGCCCCACCCCCGCACGACCTCACCTCTCCCGGTAGGCCCCGCCCTTGCTTAGGCCTCGCCCCCGAATCCGCCCACCTAAGTACCCAGCCCTCTGTGGTGGGCCTCGCCCCCAAAGCCAGCCCGCCTGGACGCCCACTCTTAGCCTCAAGGCCAGGCACCTTCATACGCTCAATGTTCACTTCCAGCTTCAGTTGTTCCACCGTCTTTCGGGCCTCGGCGATCTTGGCCATGTTGTTGGACATGGCTGCAGCAGGTTAGAGGTTAACTAGCTGACAGGAGTGGGGAGGCCTGCAGGATGCCTGCGTCCCCAGATAGGGTTGGTGCCTGGTGGGACCCAGTCACAGGGGCATGGATGTAAGGTCACTCGAATGGGGAGTCTAGAGACGAGTACACTGGAGAATGAAGGGGTACCCAAATGGGTACACAGAGGCAAGTGTGGGAGGAACAGAGAGAGCCAGAGGAGAAGAGAGAGATGCACAGATGGGAAATGGAGAGGCCGATGGAAAGATCCCAGAAGGACAGGGCCACAGGTGCTGGATCAAGATCTATGGATCCAGGTGTCCTCACCCCCCGGGGATGGAGCAGGAGACAGGAAGGGGGAAGGGGCTCCCCAGGCCAATTAGCAGTGGCTCCAGGGAGAACTGAGAATTAAGATCGCGGCGGGAGGGGCGCAGAGGTGGCCTCATTAGGGCCTTAGCAGCAGCTGCCCCCTCTGCCACCCTCGGGGAGACCCCCCACCCCAACCCTGGCTACCTCAAAGGCTGCTCTGCTCATTAGCAGCCAGGAGAGAGACTGGGGGAGCTCAAGCCAGACAGACAGGAGAGGCAGGGCAGGGAGGATGGAGAGACCAGAGCAAGGGAGCAGCAGAGGGACAGGAGAGCTGGGCATGGGAGGACAAACTGAGGATATGGGTAGAGAGCCGGCAGGATACAGGGATGAGGAAGAAAATGAGCGGAACCAATGGAGGGGTAGAGGAAGGGGCAGAGTGACACAGGAAAGAGAAGCACAGAGGAGACAGGCACAAAAGAAGGAGGCAGGACGGAGAAACAACCGGCCAGAGAGAAATGGAGGGGCCAGGGAAGGATGGATGGAGAATGGGGAGAGAAAGGGGGCGGACGAAGGGACAGAGAGAGATCCAGGCTGATGGAGACACAGTAGTACAGTCATCCATTCACCCACTCATTCATTCATTCCCAGGCAGACAGATGGTGGCCCCCGGAACAGGTTGTCCGAACCAGGACCAGAACCTCCTACCTGTTGCTGCTTATGGCTGGGCTGGGATGGCTGCAGGCCTGAGGCTGAGAGCCGCAGCCGGGTTGGTCCCCTCCCCAGCCTGCCCCGCCCCCTCCCCTGGGGTGCAGCCCTCAGGGCCCGCCTTCTCCTGCAGCTGCCACCCTCACCAGCCCTGAGTCTCTCTGGGTCTTCTCTATGTCTCTCTGTCTCTCTTTGTCTCTCCCCTGTGTTTCTGTCGCTCCTGTTTTCTTGGGGTGTTTCTCACACTCACAGAAAGTTGGGCACCTCCAGAGGTACCCAGTGTTCCACAGTCACATAAGCCTGTCCCGTCGGTACCACACAGCCCCTTACCGCATCGTACACACCTCACCCTGTTGATGCAGTCACACTGAGCTGTCCAGTGCTACCCTCTCACTGGCGGCCTCTCTCAACAGCATACCTGGGAAGTCCCCCAAGTGAAGGGCACACAGTCTTAACGGGTACACAGGCTGCCTCACTTTCATGGGAAACCTGTGTCAACACAAGCTCACAACTTCTCTCCAAACACCACACACAGTTACCATCTCTCACCGCATAGGACGCCATTTCCACAACTGCAGATAGGCCATCTCAGGGTGCGAAGTGTACCATTAAGTTTTGTCACCCTCAGGCACAATTTCTCAAAATGCCACACGGACAGGCTTGCAGTTTAAACTTCTCCCGCAGTCTCAGTGCCCGACATAGTGACATGCCACCTGTACAACAGTGCACATGGACAGCCACATATCTTCTGGTACAATGAGATGGCACACAGTCCTACACATTTCCTCCACCATGGGACCACGGAGAGAGGCCCTGTCTGTCTGTCTGTCTCTCTCTGTCTCTCTCTCTCTGTGTCTCTCTCTTTTTCTCTCTCTCCCTCTCTCTCTCACACACACACACATACCATTCAGTGTCATAGTTACACATGGTGACTCAGGGTCTCATAGAATCACTCTCAACCTCAGAGCTTCGCACACACTGCTGAGCTTCATTTTGGGTCATACGTGGCTGTCACACTCATTCCCTGTCTCACGCATCCCCATGAAGCCATCTCCAGTGTTGTACATACTCACTTCAGTGGCTGTCACAACCCTGAAACACGTGTCACACATACTTTCTCACAGCCCGTCTCACACTGTCTGCCACCCCCAGGACCCCTGCATGTTCACCCTGCCTGCTGATACCAGCACTTGGTAGACCCCAGCCTTCACTCGTCCTGCCCCACAACACAAATGGCACTCTTGTCCCCCACCCCTCCATGTAGTGTCACATAAGGTCTCTCCAAATATGGTCTTTCAATGTCACAGAGTCCCCAAAAGGCATCTCTCTCAGACCAAACCACATGATCCCCCATGCCATCCAGGGTCACCTGCAGTATCCCTGTGGCACAGGCACTTCTAATCTCGCAGTGTCACACACGGTCATCGGCACGTAGCTCACACGTGCAGTTCCCTTCAATGCCCCCATGATCGCTCTAGGCCACAGTCACAGGGCCTCCCTTCCCGACGTCGCAGAGCACCTCCAGGTGTCACTGTCGGGCCCCACCGTCTCTCTCGCTCTTTCACTCTCGTGGCAGGCCTCGGGCTTCTCCCGATCTTCCTGCCGACCACACGGCGGCGCCCGTGGCCCGCGAGGCGCCACTCGACCCGCGCCGAGGCCATCAGGACCGGGAGCCCACCACGGGCTCTGCGAGAGATAGAAGCAGGGACTGGAGCTGCAGAAAGAAGTGGGACGGAGAGGGAGACCTCTGGAGTTGGAGGGGCCAGGGACCAGAGGCAGAAGATGGAAGATGAACAGCGAAACTCAGAGCTGAGAGATGCGGGAAAGACGGAGACACAGTTAGGGACACAGACGGTCACTTGGAGAGGTACAGACTTGAGGAATCAGAGATGGAGAGAGGACTGCAGAGCGACACGGGGACAGGAGAGACTGGACACACACAGACACAGAGGGTACAGGAGAAAGGCCCAGGGACGGCTGCGGGCAGACACCACGCGCCTTCCAACCCCGCAGGAACAGCAGAGCCGCGCAAGGGGCGTGCCTTGGGGGCGTGGTCAGGTTAGTTGGGCGCGGTCTCTGGGTGGGCGTGTCTAGAGGGCGGGGCTTCGGTTTTTCTCTTGGAGGGCCTCTGGAAAAGAAGTGGAGGAGGAGGTCCAAGAGGAGCAGACGTGTCCCCACCTCCAGCTCTAACCAACTCTCAGATTTTAAAACCTGGACTGGAAGCAACGCGGGAAGGGAGGGGACACTGGCTCCTGGTAGCCTCTTAATACCGGAGTGGGAGCCAAGCTCCTTTCCCCCTCCCCCACGGGCGCAGCAGGGCCAGGTTGGGTTGGGGAGCAGGGCCCACATCTGGAAAGCATCAGGCGCGCCGGACGTGCCAGGGCCCGGGGCCGGGCTGCGGGGGCTGGGGGAGCGGGAGCCAAGGCACTCCCCCACCACCGATCGGGGTCCGCCGGCGCCGAGGAGGGGCCTGGGCGTATGCCGAGCCCGGCGCCTCCCGCAGCTGGTTTTCATCAGCAGATCAGGCCGGGCAGGCCCTGAGGAGGAAACCCAGCTCAGAGCCGGGGAAGACAGGGTGACACCCCAGTCATGCCTCCCTCCGTCCCTCCCCTGGACAAAGGGCAGAGGCGGGGGAGGGTCACAGGACTCCTGCCGCCTTTCCATCCGGAGACAACCTTCCTTCCCACCTTGAGTTGCACTGGGACCGCTCCAGCCCCTTGACAACCTACTGCTCGGTCATATTATTGTCCCCCCTTATTTGGAGGTAGAAACTCAGATTCTGGACTCGGATTCAAGGAATGATTAATAAAAGGGAGCCTTGAATTCCCAGAGTCAAGGACCAAGGCCTACTGAATGTCTGGTGGGTATCTCGAAGTGTCAAAAGTCACCCCTAATTCCATCTGCCACACCCTCCCTTACTTCAGCTTTAAACATCTCAATGGGTGGTAATTTTTTTTTTTTTGGCGTGTGTGTGTGTGTGTGCATGTGCCTGTGTGATCCTTGACTCCCTCAGCTCACTCCACAACTCAGGTAGCCACAAATTCCAACAATGCAGTCCCAAAGCTTCTCCAGAACTAAATGCTTTTCCTCTGCCTCACCTTAGTCCACGTGGGCTATCACAGTGGCTTCCTTGTTGGAGGATCCTGGAGGCTCCTGCTGGCTTTTACACCTGGCCCTCACAGCCTGTTCCCCAGAGCAGTCAGAAGGACCCTGTGTAAATCTAAGGCCTCGTGTCTCAGATGTAATGCTGTATACCTGTAATCCCAGATTCTGGAAGGCTGAGGCAGGAGGATTATCAGTTTGAGCTGTCCTCAGTGAGCAATTTAGCAAGACCCTGTCCTCAAAAGAAAAATGAAGATAGGGCAGAGCCAGGCATAGTGGTGCATGCCTGTAATCCCAGCAGTTGAAAAGTGAGACAGGAGAATTACGAGTTCAAGCCCAGCCTAGGCTACATAGTGAGTTCAAGGCCAGCCTGAATGACATACTGAGGCTTCCTCTCAAAAGGTGGGGATGGAAATGAAGCTCTATGTGAAGGCCCTGGATTCAGTCCCCAGCACCACAAAAACAAAACTAAACCCCCAAATATGTAACTGCAAAAGTTAGTCTATGGAGAAACCAGAACCTTCATATATTCATGGAGATATAAAAAATGGTGCAGTGGCTTTAGAAAATAGTCTGGTAAGCCTGGCATAGTGGTATATGCCTGTGACCCCACCACTCAGGAGGCTGAGGCAGAAGGATTACCAAGAGCTCAAGGCCAGGCTGGGGTACACAGTGAGTTCAAGACCAGCCTGAACTAGAGTGAGACCCTGTCTCAAGCTATCCCTCAAAAAAAACCAGTGGGGCAGTTCCTCAAAAAGTTAAGCGCAGCTACCATATGACAAAGCAATCCCACCCCTAGGTATATGCCCAAGAGAAATAAAAACATGCCCACACTAAACATGGTCATAAATGATCAAGTCAGCTTCCTTCATGACAGCCTCAAAGCAGAAACAGCCCAGGCTCCACCAGCTGATGAAAGGGCAGAGGAAATGCAGGCTATCTAGGCAAGGGAATAGCATTTCACAAGGGAAATAAACCTGGGACTGACACACACTATCACGCTGATGAGCACAAAAACGTTATCTGGGTGAAAGAAGCCAGTCACAAAAGGCCACGGATTGTATGAGTCTGTTTATGCAAGACCTCCATCCAGGACTGGCAAATCTATACAAGACAAAAATAGATTCACGGTTGCCAGGGGCTGGGGAGGCTGGGAGATGACAGCTTAAGAATGTAGGTTTCTTGGGGATGATGGAAACGTTCTACGACTGACTGTGGTGATAGGTGCACAAATCTGTAAAATTACTAAAAACCATCAAACTGTATACTTCACAAGGGTGACTTTATGATACATGAATTACACTCAGAAGAGCTGTTAACCATTCCCTCCCTCACATACATGAAAAAAACCAGGAAGTCTTTCTTCTGTTCAGAATTCTCCCATGGCTCCCACCTTAGTTGGAGTAAAACCTAGAATCGTGCTCATGGCTTCCCACACCCTACACAATGTGGCAGTCCCTTCCACCTCTCTGGTTTCCTCTCAGTGCTCCAGCCGCATGGCCTTTGTGATGTTCTGCTAATATGCCAGGCACATGCTAGCCTCAGGGCCTTTGCACTGACTAGTCCTTTTGGTTGGGATGTTCTCCACTATGAAATCCACAGTCTTACAAGCACCACCATGCCCAGCTTTTAGCTGTCTTTCAAATGTGACTGCAAGTTTGAGGTCAGCCTGGGATAAGTAGATCATATCTCAAAAAATTTTTTTTGGGCTGGGCATAGTGGCACATGCCTAATAATCTCAAGAGACTGAGGAAAGCAAATTACTGAGAGTAAAAGGCCACCCAGGGCTACATGGCCTGACCCACATAGCAAGACCCTGTCTCAAAAATCAAAAACAAAATTTTTTCAAGTCACTTTCTCATCTGGGCATGGTGGAACATGTCTGTAATCCCAGCACTCAGGAGGCTGAGGCAAGAGGATCACTGTGAGTTCAAAATCAGCCAGGGCTGCAAAGTGAGCTCAAGTTCAGCCTGAGCTAAAAAAAAATTTTTTAAAAAAAGGTACCTTCTCAATGGGCCAGGGATTTAGCTCAGAGGCATAAGGGCCTGCCTGGCAAGCACAAGATCCTGAGTTCCATCCCTGGTATCAAAACAAACAAACAAAAAACAGCAAGACTACATGCAAAGTGGTAAGAATGGAGTCTGACATTAATAAGTAGTCAGTGTGAGCTGCTAGGTTTTTTGTTTGTTGTGGTACTGGGGATTGAATCCAGGGCCTCATGCATATGAGGCAAGCACTGTACCACTGAACTACCCCCCCCCTTTTTAAATCGAGACAGGGTCTTTCTTTGTAAATTTCCTAGTCTGGCCTTGAATTTCCAATCTTCTGCCTAAGACTCCAGTGTTACTGGGATTACAGGTGTGCACCACTGAATTAGCTGTTATTTTGGTGAGTACTAAAATCTTTAAAAGGTCATCCCTACTCATTTCGATCATTTTGACCACTAGGTGGCCTGTGTAGCCCTGGCCCAGTCTCCCCTACTCCCTGGTTTCAGCTGTCAATATGGAGTGGACCGGCACACAGCCCCCCCAAGACCCTGATAAGCTACCGCCTCTCCTGGCAAACTAACACTGAGCTAAAAACATGGAACCGAAGGCCTCGCACATGCTGTACCACTGAGCCACACCCCAGCCCCAAAAGTGATCTTTGCTTATTGCCTCTCCCACAGAAACACACGCTCAGCCCTCAGTCCTAGCCAGCCAGAAGCTCCATGCTGCAGGCACTTCCTTTATTTTGGTCCGTGCTGTATTCCTGGAGCCTGGCTTGGTGTTGAAAATCTAAGTGAACTAAAAAAGAGGTCTTGTCCTGTTCTTTCAGAGCTCAAATGGACAAGAAAGTAGCTCCTCCCAGAAAGACATGTAAAGCAATAAATATCCATTCTTCTGATGAAGTGCCCCTCTCTCCAAGCCTCTATTTACCCACCAATGTAATGGGTAAAATTCCTGGGCTTACCTAAGGAAAAATGGGCAAAGAGTGTGAACAGGCAGTTCATGTAAGAGGAAATGCAAGTGCCAATAAGCACACAAAATATGCAGGACTCCAAAGAAATAAAATGATGTAGGGCTGGTGATTTAGCTCGTGGTATAAGCGCCTGCCTGGCATGCATGAGGTTGTGAGTTTGATCACTAGTGCCACAAAAAAATAAATAGAAAAAGAAATAAGATGACATGCTAACTAGAATTTTTTTTTTTTTTTTTGTACTGGGGATCAAACTCATGACCTCACACTTGCCAGCCAGGCTAAATTTACTGAGCTAAATCCCCAGCTAACTAGAACAGTTTAATCACATAAGTTTGTCAAAATGAAAATGATCAATATTTTTTGACGAAGGGGTAGAAAAATAGGTACCATGGCTGGGGAATTAGCTCAGCAGCACAAGTACCTGCCTGGCAAGTTCAAGGTCCTGAGTTCAATCCCGGTACAAAAAGAAAAATAAAAAATCAAATTAGCCAAAAAAAGATTACTGTTAGCTGGGCATGATGGTGCACACCTGTTACTCCAGCACTCAGGAACTTGAGCCAGGAGGATCCCTCAGAGTTGAAGGTCAGCCTGGGCTATATGGTGAGTTCAACGCGAGAACGAACTACACAGTGAGACCCTGTCTCAAAAAAAAAAAAAAAGGTGTAGCTCAGCTGTAGACCGCATTGTTAGCAGATTTGGTCCCTGGGTTCAGGGCCCAATACCTAAAAAAGAAAAGAATGGAGAGGCAGAAGGGGAAGGAAGACAATAAAGGGAAAGAAAGAAAAGAGAAAGAAAAAAGGAAAAGAAACATTTGTTGCAATGTTCATGGAGGCATCATAGGGTCAATTCAAAATTTATATGCTGTAACAGTGGAGTAATTTTATTCCTGGATGGAGCCTAGGAAATTTGCTGGTCTGTGCACGAGAAGGCAAACCCAAGGACAAGGCTCCAGCCATGAAAGGACTGGGGCACTGACCATAAAGGCAGATTATGGGAATCCCTGCAATGCATCTCTGTGCAGCTCCAGTAACATAGGGGAAGGAAAGTCATCCACTTTTAGAGGAAATGGACACATTCCTGAGTGAATACAAACTAACAAAACAGACACTAGGAAAACAGGCTAAAAAGTACTATAAGGAAGAAATCTCCCCCGGGGATTTAGCTCAGCAGCACAAGTGTCTGTATGGCATGCACAGGTCATGAGTTCAACCCCTGGTACCAAAAAGGAAAAAAAAAAAAAAAAAAAAAAAAAATCTGACCCTTAATTTAAATCCTGTAACCATAAACCAGGTGCACTGATGCATGCCTATACTCCTAGCTACTCTGGAGGCTAAGGCAGAGGATCCTGAGTTCAGGGCCAGACAAAGAAACTTAGAAAGACCCTGTCTCGGAAGACCCCCCCCCCCCAATCTCCAAGCCTCCAATGCTGGTGCACACCTGTAATCCCAGCACTCAGGAGGCTAAAACTGAAGGATTCCTGAGTTTGAGGCCAGCCTGGGCTACAAAATGAGTTCAAGGCCAGCTTGAACTGCACAGCAAAACCCTGACTCAAGAAGACAGAGAAAGCCAGAGATTTAGCTCAGCAGCATAAGCACCTGCGTGGCAAGTGCAAGGTTGTGAGTTCGATCCTTGGTACAAAACAAAACAAAATGCATTCAATAGTCAAAACTAGCTGGGCTTGGTAGCATGCATCTGTAATCCCAGAACTCAGAAGGCTGTGTAATCTGTGGCATCTGTAATCCCAGAACTCGGATTGCTGTGCCTTCAAGACCTAGTGAAACCGTGCCTCAGAAAAGACCAAAAACAACAGTTAAAACTATTTAAATGCATGTTTGCATGTAACTATAGGTAATATAATTGTATATATATTTAAATTCATGTATGTGTGCAAACACGAAGGATGCATTCCAAATTGCTGATTATAAACCCAGTGTGGTAGCACATGCCTGAAACCCCTGCACTTGGGAAGCTGAGGCAGGAGAACTGCTGCAAGTTCCACGCCAGCCTGGGCTGCATAGTGAGATCCTGTCTAAAAAAAAAAAAAAAAAGGAGGAGGTAGTGGTGGAGATGTAACTCAGTTCAAAGGCCCTGCATTCAATCCCCAGTCCAGGGGAAGAAAAAAAATTTTTTTTTTAAAAAGAACCCATGGTAGGAATATGATGTTGATGTTGAAATGCAAGCTGGGACCTGCCATCTGGTTTTGGGTACTGCCCTATCCAAAATAAACAGAAGCTGCTCAAGAAATGTTAGCTCACAGGAAAAGGCGCATTTCTGCCATTTCTGCATTGAAGGAGAGGCCACCGAATATGTAACTTTGTGCATTTATTTACAAGAGGTTAGAGAAACACACAGAATCTGGCCCCCCTATGTACCGGGGAGTCACCATCGTCATAATAAATACAGTTATTCTTAGAAAAAAGAAAACTAATTGGAACATATGGTCACCTGCTTTCCCCTCCCTCTCACAAGGGTGGGACACGATATAGAAACCATTTTCCTTCCTCTCTTTGACCTCCCAATCCTCCTGTTCAGGAATAGAGGTAAGAGTCCTTTCTAGGTTTTGCCAACTCCTACTTGACCCTCAAAACCCCCAAGTCTGTGCTCCTTTCCTTCCTAGGGCACTCTGCAGGCACCGCGTGAGTCAGGCGCAGAGTCTCTGACCAGGGTTCCAAGGGGGTAGGATATCCTAGGAGTCCAGGGGCATGGAGGGGACACTTTGTGAATGACAGGGGCCCATATCTGGGCAGGGAAAGGAGGAATGAGAGTACTTGGTGACAAAGTGAAGGGCAACAAACCCGCTTCTACACTAAAATGGGAAAATTCAAGTCGAATCACCCCTTTGCATACATGGATGCCCATGATACAGATGAGGAAAGTGAGACCCACCCAAGGGGAACTTCCTTGTTCGAGAGCTCGCTTCTTCCCCTTCCACCCTGCCTGGAGCTTTTCTGTCTGAGACCACTTTTGGCCGGGGCGAGGAGGGTCTTTGGAAGCAGAGAACACGGTGGTCTTTTGAAGGTGGGTGTGGAAGGGTCAGCCATCAGGAGTGTGGAGGTGCAGAGGCCATGAAGGGGGAGCCCACGCAAACCCCCAAACTCACACTGTCGTCATGACCTTAAGAGAACCCGAACGGAAACGCAAGATCTTTTTCTTCAGCGCGTGGGAGGCCTTGATCTTCACGAAGACTTTGGCGGGGCCTGCGGGGGCCCCCCCACCCGCACCGCCCCCGGGCCCGGAGGCTGCCACCAGCTGCTGCGGCCACACGAGGCCACCGCTGCCGTCCGAGTCGCTGGAGGCCGAGCTGAAGGCCGGCGACTCGCCCTCGCTGGCACTGGATTCGCTCTCCCCATAGCCGCCGCCGACACCACCTGGGGGCCCGCGGCGGCCGAGCGGCCCCAGGCGGCCGGCAGAGCACTCGGAGTCGCTGCCTGCGCAGCCATAGAGCAGACGGCGCTGGGGGGCGGACGGGGACGGCACGGGCCCGGGGGCGCGGGGCGCGGGGGCGCGCGGCCGCCCGCGGCGCCCGTCTGCGGCGTCGATCTCGGCCGTGGAGCGCCAGCGGCGACAGGAGCCGGCGGCCTGGGCCGCGAGCGTGGGCGCCGGGCCGCGGCGGGGCCGGGGCGGCCGCGGCTCTTCCCGTTCCGCCGTGGGGTATTTGGGGGGCCCGGGAGGAGCCGCGGCGGCGCGGCCCAGCAGGCTGGTCTCCGACTGCGAGCGCGCGGCCTTGCGCGCCCTGGGCGAGCCGCGGCGGCCCGAGGCCTCGGCCATGCGTCCTCGGCGGCCCGAGGCCCGAGGCCGCTCCCGCGGCGGAGACTGCTCCACGCTGCGGCCGCGGGTCAGCGGCGGCGCTTTGCGGCGGGCGGCGCGGCCTGGGAGCCCGCGCGTGGCGGCCTGCGCGGCCGGGATGTACTGCGCCTTCACCAGGCGGCCCTCGGCGGGGCTGTCGGGCGGCGAGGGCGCGGCGGGCGACACCGGGGGCTCGGGCGCCGCCTCCGCATCCCACGACGAGGCCCAGGCGCGGCCCAAGGCGGCGGGGCTGGCGGCGCGGACCCCGGCGCGCTCCACCGAGGGCTCCCGCGCGGACCGCGCGCCTCCGGGGGGCGGGGACGCGTCGGGCGGCCGCTGGCGCACGCTGTTCTGGCGCCGCGGGACCCCGTCCGCGCCCCCGGGACTCGTCCGGGGCTGACCCGCCCCCCGGCGGCGGCGCCTGCGCAGGAGCGCCGAGATGTAGCCGTCCAGGGGCCGCCCCGCCCCCACCCCCCCGTCGGGCGAGTGGACGGGCGAGCGGCCGCAGGGGCGAGGGCTGCGCAGCGCCACGGCGTGCAGGGGGCTGGGCGTCAGGAAGAGGCCCGCGCGCGCCCGCCGCTCGGCGGAGGAGCAGGCATCGGGGCCCGCAGAACCCGCAGCTGTCGGGTAGGGCGCGGAGTAAGAGCGCGGCACCGCAGCCCGAGCGCCCACAGACTCCGGAGTGCTGGGACTGGCGTCTCCTAGGGAGGAAGCGAAAAGGAAGAGGGAGGAGAGGCTCTCAAAGTCCTTTCTCCTCCAGCCTGGGAGAGGCAGGCCTGACTCCCTCCCCACCTCACTTCAGCAGCAGCCTGGCTCTCCCTTCCCTCCTACAAAACCCTGCAGGGTTCGGCCTGGTTCTGTCTCTCTAAATCCCAAACCTACCCTGTCCTGTGTAGTTCTCCAGCCACATGGCCCCGCATGCACGGGATAGTCAAGCTCCAGCCTCAGGACCTTTGCACTTGGTACTCCTGCTTCCCTGGCAGTGTCTGGTGCTTGGCTTGGCCTATTGTCACTTCAGGGAGCTGCTCAGAGGTCACACTCTGTGACACCCTGCCCAGTCTTTTTTTTTTTTTTGTCTTCCTTTTTATCAGTACCGGGGATCAAACTGATGACTGGCCAGGCCGATTGCAAGCAGCCTTTATGCCGCTGAGCTAAATCCCTAGCCCCCCCCCCTTTTGTTTTTGAGACAGGGTCTCACCATGTAGTTCAGGCCAGCATTAAATTCACTATGTAGCCCAAGCTGGCCTCAAGCTCGAGGCAGTTCTGCCTCAGCCTCCCAAGTGCTGAGATTATAGATGTGCACCACTACACTCGGCTGGTCATTTTTTTTTTTTTTTTTTTTGTCTTTTTCCTTTTTATTGATACCGGGGATCGAACTCACGACTGCCTGCTTGCAAGGCAGGCGCTTATGCCGCTGAGCTAAATCTCCAGCCCCACGGCTGGTTATATTTTCTACAAGTCTTGTTCCTTCTCCAAACTCAAAGGGAGGCATCACCTCCTTTTTCCCTGGTTTAGTTCCCATAGTAGATTTATCAGTATCTAGTACCATAGATACCTTACTTGTTTATTATGTTTCTGCAACTAGAAGATCCATTCGATTTGCTGTGCCCCTCACTCCTAGGACAGTGTACAAGAGCAGAGTAGGGGCTCAGGGCGACCTACTGTATGAATGATTGACAGCAGTCCTGTTTAGCCAGGGGCCACCTTGTGGAAGTTCCGGTGCCTCAGGGCAGAGGCCCACTAAGTGCTGAAGCATCTGTACTTGTTACCCATTTGAACAGATGGACAAACGTAGGCCCAGAAAGCAGAGCTGCTCAAAAGTCACACGAAGAGGGAGGTCCCAGCCACAACTGGAGTCCAGGGTTGCCTCACAAGCGTCCCACCCTCTGTCCTCGTCCTGGTCTCAGGGCCCACACGCCATCCACCTTACCTAGGGACTTGGGCCTCTCGCTGGCATAGATGCCCCGGGGCTCAGAGGGACCTAGGCGTCCATAGGAGCCAGATCCGGAGAAGCCACTGTCCCCGCAGAAGGTCGAGGGTGGAGAATCTGGGCCTCCTGTGGAACTGGGGTCCTCGTAGAAGCCTGGAGTCCAGGGGGAAGCCAAGAAACCATCAGGGTTGGGGAGGAGAAGGGGGGCGGGGAGAGATTAGGGTCAGTGGAAACAACTGGGAAGGAGGGTATCCCAAGAAGACCCTCTCCTCCCCCATGCTCACCCGAGCTGCGCCCGCTCTCCTGGTCCAGGCCCCCTGACTCCAGGCTCAGGTCTCCCAGCTGCTGGCCCAGATCCCAGATGAGCCCGGGCAGGGCCTCCTGGGAACATGTGGGAAGCAGGGTGGTCACAAGGTCCCCAAGCCTCTGGTCACCCCATTCCCTCTTAGAAGGCCCATGTCTCGTCCCCTCCCATCAGCTGTCCCCCTTGCTGTGCTCACAGCTCTGTAACCCCTCTTGGATGATTCCTCTTTGAATCTAACTTCAGATCTTTCTGCTGTAGGGACACTTCAGCAGTGACAGCTGCTGACCAAGACCCAGCAGTTCCCTTAGCCTTGGCTCGGCCACCTCCTAGTTCCTGTTTTTGTTGTTTTCCTTGAGACAGTGTCTCAAGATGCAGTTCTGGGTAGCCTTGAACTTTTCTTGAGATCCTCCTGCATCAGCCTCCCTAGATGCTTCCATCTCCCCTCTTTGCCCCTTATCACTTGTGGAAAGTCCTTAGCCCTTCTGCAAGTCTTCCTTTAGTGTCTCCTGCTGCAGGTGGATTCCTTCCCAGGGATAAAACAGACCAATGCTACAACTCTGCGTGTTCACCTTCCAGTACCATAGCAGTGATCCCCAGCTCTTCTTGGCCAGGTGCCTTACAGTCTAGACACCACACACCACATCCCCCATCCTGGCTCCCTTCCCACCGAGATGCGCCCCCTCAGTGCTTCTCAGCTTCCTGAGTAACCCCTGCCTTTAGGGGGTGGAAGCCAAAACAGCAGGGACAGAGGTGGCACCCAGAAGCCAGGCCTTTGCCTCGGTGATCTGTGCCTTCGTGATTTGCCGATTTTCATGAGGCCTGAGGTAGCAGTGAGGCCTGAGGTAGCAGCCCGGCTGGCGGTTGACCCTGAGACAAAAGCAGCTTGTCTGGCCTCACAAGGGGAGGAGGGCCAGGGAGGGCAGGCACCCAGCCTGCCTATTTAGGGCAGAAAGGCTGGCTGGCTCCCACAGCCGCCTCCCAGCCTCTGACTCCTCAGGGCCCTGCCCCCTTCAACAGAAGCCCCCATCTGGGCCTGTTTATGTGAAGAAGGTTAACAAATCATCCAGTCCGGGCTCTGCCCTGGGTTAAAGAGAAGCTCACAGAAGCACAGAGATCACTTTGAACAGAACCCAAAGTGCAGCCCCATGGTGTAGTAGCATCAAGGGTAGCATAAAAGAAAAATCTCAGGCAAACCAGGTGTCTTGGGGATGTCTGTGATACCGGTACTTGGGAGGCTGAGACAGGAGGATCCCTGTGACTTTGAGGCCAGTCTGGGATATATAGAGAGTTCAAGGCCAGTCTGGACTACATAGTAAGATCCTGTCTCAAAAAAAAAAAAAAAAAATCACAGCAGCCTAGGTCCCAGGTGTGGTGGCCCATGCCTGTGCTCCCAACTTTTGGGAGCCTGACACAGGATAGCTAGTCCAGCCTGAGCAACTTAGGAGGACTCTGTCGCAAAATTTAAAAATTTAAAAGGGGCAGAGCAAAGGCCTTTTAGAGCAAAGGCCACGGATTCAATCCCCAGTTCTGGGGGAAAAATAAAACTGCAGGCAGCTCATCAGTGTCCCATGCCACACTGTGAATCTGTGCCTCGTCACCTGGCTCCCACCATGCTGGCCTCCTGGCCAGTCCTGAAACAGGTCTGTGTTCTCCCACCCAGGGAACGACTCCCCACAGACTCTTGCTGGCTCCCACCCCAGCTTCTTGGAGCCTTCTCCTGCCCTCTTCCACATAGCAGTAATGACCTCTCATGGGGAAATTATATATTGGGGTGACTCTTGTGTCTTGTCTCTCTCCCCAGGATGTCATCCCTGGGAGAGCAGAAATGGGTGTCTGTTCACAGCTGCATCCCCAGGCCTAGTACAGTGCCTGGCACCGGGAGATGGGGAGATGCTCGGAGCATAGCTGATGAAAGAATGAAGGTTTACAGTGGGCCACTACACAGCTGCGAAGATAAAACAAGGCAGAGTTGGCGCATGTCTGTGATCCCAGCACTTAGGAGGTTGAGGTAGGAGGATTGCTGCAAGTTGAAGGCCAGCCTGAATTACATAGTGAGACCCTGTCTTAAAAAAAAAAAAATGGACGAAGGCAAAGCCAAATTGCTTCAAGTACAGGTAGAAAGCGAAAGTGCAGAATGTGTAGCAGAGGAGCAAATGAATCAGAACTACAGTCATGTGTCACTTAATAGCGGGGATACATTTTGAGAAGTGCATCATTAGATGATTTCATCCTTGTTGCAGACATTGTAAGCCGGTTATAGTGGTGCATGCTGTGATCCCAGCACTGGGGAGGCTGCGACAGGAGGATCGCTGAGTTTGAGGCCAGCCTGGCTATACGGCAAGACTCCAAAAATCACAGGAAAGCTAGGGTCCCTAGGTGACATGATCTTCGAGGACTCCCATACTGTATAAGTCCACGGTTGACAGGTATGTTAGTGCCAGACACAGCCATACCTGGGGGCTTGTTAAAACTCACACTGAGTCCCAGTTGCAAAGCTTCTGACCCCCATCTGGAGTTGGGCCCAAGAATTTACCTCTGTAACAAATCCCATGGGATGTGGGACCAGACTCTGAGAAGCATAGCCTCCCCTAAGAAAGTGGAATTTGTAAAAACACACAGCTTTTTGAAGGACTCTGCATTGCTTTCCTGACGCATAAACTCTTTCTGCAAGTAGATGCATTGGAAGAGACTTAAAAGGACTTAAATCAAGGTGCCAAGGGCAGTGGCCCCAGGAGAGAGGCTGAATTTAGGGGGTCCAGGAGAGGGATGGTACAATCCACTGCTTCAGGAGGCCTGGCTTGGTGCCAAATTGCCAGGGTTCAAATTCAACTCTGCTAAGGCCTTGGATAGGTGACTTTGCCTCTCTAGGCCTCAGCTTCCTCATCTGTAACATGGGCATCATAGTACTTGTTCCTGGGGTTGGCCTGATGATTAAATCTCTCAAAAGAGCAATTGCTAGCCAAGTGCAGTAGCACAAACCTGTAACCCTGCTTGGGAGGCTGACACAGAATTGCAAGTTCAAGTACAGCCTGGTTGATTTAGTAAGACCCTGTCTTGCAATAAAAAGCACTGAGCATATAGTTTAGTGGTGTAGCATTTGCCCAGCCTATGTAAGGCCCTGGGTTCAAATCCCTAACTCACACCTGCATAGCAGTTGCTCTTAAGCACTTAAGAAGTGTTAACTTGGGGTTGGGGATTTAGCTCAGCGGCATAAGCACCTGCCTTGCAAGCAGGCAGTTATGAGTTCGATCCCCGGTACCAATAAAAAGGAAAAAGACAAAAAAAAAAAAAAAGTGCTACCTTATATTACTACATAAAAAGAATAATTAAAAATATTACATGCATAATTGAAAATAAATGTAAGATGATGGATCTGGGGGTAAATTGTGCAGGTCTCATTTCAGTTTTTCTATTATGGGGAAGGGCAGTACTTGGGGAAAGTGACAGTCTAGAGTCCTCTCCCCCAATATCTAGGCCCCCAAGGTCTCCTTGCCTGTACCCCTAGTTTTGCAAGCCTGACCTCATTCCTTCCAGCTGCCAAAGGATGAACATTTAAAAGACCAGAGATCCTTGGCCCAAATCTTGCTTCCTCTCTCTCCCCACAATGCTCCTCATCAAAAGGATTTTATTTTATCTTTTGCAAGCCCTTCTACATGCTGGCCATGGAGTTCAGAGGAGCTTCACAAGTTTGTGGTTGGGCCTGGGTACCTGAAAACTCCTTTGCCCGAACCACGCACTTGTTCCTCTCCCTACATTCCCTAGTTGGGGTCCAATGCCCTTTACCTTGTTAGGAAGTCCTTCTGCAAGTCTAACTTAAGTCCTGCTTGCTGGAAGGGACCTTTTTCCTTCCTGGGAGCACAAAGGCCCAGGGACCACTGCTCCCCAGGATCTAGGCCTCTTTCTGCAAACACCTCTTGTCTTCACCTGATATCCCATCATTCCCATTAGCAAGTCAAGTTTAGCTTCAAGTCTTTTTTGCTTCGAAGGGAGTGTATTCCTGGGGTGGGGGTGCCTGGTAAGTCCCACAAGACAGGCTCAGGGATCAGAGGTGGCCCCACTTCTTCAGAAGGCCCTAGGCACCCCCAACACTAGGGGAGATTATATTTAGCGTTTCTCTGCTCCTCCCTCCCCGTCGCTGTCTCCCTGCCACCCTTTACTGCCTCCTCCCTAGGCTGAGACTAGCTCGGCTTGGTGACCACAGCGGGGGACAGACCTCCCACTACCACCTCTTGCCCGGATGGGGGTGTTGAGGGTGGGGGAGAGGCAGAGGGCAAGGCTAGCCGGTCCTCATGCCTTCTCCCTCTCACGATGGGGCGGAGTGGGGTAGCAGCGAAGGCCCCCACAATCCGGCGCTAACTTCGGGAGGGGGCGGGGCCTCCCACAGCTGTTTCTGCTTGCAAGAAGAATGTGCAGGGTCCCACCGCCGGCCGGGGGAGGGGCTGGACGTCCGCGCCGTCTGGCTACAGTCCTCTGCCCCACTTCCCATTTGGGGAGGGGGCAGCCGAGGTCAGCAGCAAGGAGAGCCCCCTCCCCCCACAAACTCAGCTCAGGTTTCCCTAAACGGCAAGCTCCGGCCACACACAGACTCGGGACGGCGGTGCGAGGGAAGCCAGGGTCTGTGGGCTGGGGGGAGGGGAAGGAGGCAGACGTAGGGCAGGAAGAGCTAGGGGAGGCGGCGGGCGGACCAGGGAGGCAGAGAGGCTGGATTAGGAGAGGACAGCCGATCCTGGAAGTCTTGGAGATGCGACAGGCAGGAACAGAGGGAGGGAAAATAGGAAGGGAGGGAAGCGAGACCCAAGGAATGATGGACGGAAGGAGAGAGGGCTTCTTAAATTTAGAGACCTCTGGTCATTTCCAAAACTAGGTTCCCAGGGAGCCCAGAAGTGAGCCCACGGGATTCCCCTAACCCGGCTGCTTTTGGGTTAAGGTAGGAAAGAGGGGAAGTGTCATCAGCCGGTTAAGCTGCTAGTGGAGTCCTCGGGGGCCACAGTTTCTTCTCAGCAGTGGTCCCTCCCCCAGGAGGCCTAAAATCCCCTCCTCCCACCCCGCCCCCTCGGAGATCTCCAAGCACGCCGGGACTTAGGGAAGATGGAACCCGGCTGCGGGGTCCAGAGGGGTGCAGGTTTAGATCGCGGCTGTGTGACCTTGGGTGAGTCACTTCCTCTCTTTGAGCCTCAGTTTCTTTCTCTGTAAAATGGGGACTATCACCGTCTAGCTCCCAAGCTGAGAGAAGACAGCGCGTGCAAAGTACTCGTACTTGAGCCTGACACGTACTTGGTGCCTAGAGGGTTTTGTATGGGGAGGGGAGTAGGGTTTGGAACCCATGCATCTCAGGGTCCCCCAACATAGGCCATGCAGTACCCTCTGCCCCGATTGGGGGGCGGGGTAACCAGGTCCTGCTCGCCGCCCGGACTCCGGGCCTGCAGCCCTCCCCCTCCCTACCCACCTCTCAGGACCGGTGTCTGAGAACCCACCCGCGACAGACAGACACGGGAGAGGGTGAAGGGATGGACTGACACACGGTCCCTCACCAGCTGCTCCTCCAGGGCCGCAGCGGCCCGGCGCGCCGCTGCCGCATCCTCGTCCTCGTCGGCGTCCTCCTCGTCCTCGGCCTCGGCGCCCCCCATTCCGGGCTGGGCCAGCCGCAGCGCCTGCTGCACGCGGTACTCCTGCCTTTCCCGGAGCCAATGCAACTCGCAGAGCCCGGCCAGGCTGCCTTCCAGCCATCCCCGCAGCCGGCCCCGCTCGGGGCTCACCGGGAACGAGAAGGCCCGGATCATGGCTGCGGCCCCCCGCCCCAGCCCGGCCGGGCCCCACGGCCACCCCTCTCCCGTTCCCACCTCCCGCCCCAGCAGCCCGCCTGCCCGCCCGCCCGCTGGCCGGGCTGTCACCGTCTCATCTGCATAGGCGCCCGCCCATTGGGCCGCCCACCCGCGTCTTATCTGCATGGACACGCCCCCGGCGACACAGCAACGGCCGCCTATTGGCCAGTTCGCATCCCTACAAAGATGCTCCACTCTGCCACCCTGCCGCCCAACACGACGCATGCTCAGAGCAACCTACTCGCGCTTCTTTAGGCCCGCCCGCCCCGCCCCGCCCCGCCCCGCCCCCGTGCGCAAGCTTTTGAGCTCTGGCAACGCCCCCTGAGCGTCACAATGAAAGAAGTCGGCTCTTGCTTCAATGCCATTGGCCCATACCTCCCCAGTCGTACATCTGATCCCGCCTCCGCTGCGGACGAACTCTGGCTACCATTGGACGGTCCAGGAGAGACAGGATGGGTGGTCTATAAATAGAGAATAGGTCCAAGTGACAGTTTGGCACTGCTCCCCACCTCCCCTTCCTAGCTTGCGGCTTCTGAGGCTCCGCCCGCAGAGGGCTGGGTAGGAGGGTCGAGTTTTGATCTAACCTTCTTTTCCAGGAAGCCTTCCCAGAGCCTCGCCTTGTAAAACAGGACACATATCGTTGGATAAAACTATGCTTCTGAGTAAACCCAGCTCCACCAGCGTGGGACACTCGCGAGGTCCTTAGCAGGACCCTCGCACTTGGTTTAATGTTCTACAGTTGTTATCCTGAACATTCTTATCTTTTGAGCAGGGAACCATTTTGCACTGGGCATGCAAATTAGGTAGGCAATCTTGCTTCTGATAGTCTTAGATAGGTTGTTTCCCAAATGCTGGAAGTAGAAGGCCCTGGATGGAAGATGCCAGGATCTGACCAGAACAGAATCTAAGCTGCTTTTGTCTCCCAGGTGCTGTAAGGCTGTGTGCTCGATCGGTCCGCGGCTCCAGAGCCCTTTGTCCTGTGCTCTAAGAGGCTTTGTTCTCAGCCTTCTGAGATGCTCTGTTCCCCGCGTCCCTCCGTCCTCGCACCCGAGCCCGATCGGGGTTTCCAGGATCGCTCTACCGGCGGCACTAGCGCCCCCTCAGGCGGCCGGTTTGTGTCACTACGAGTTGCCTCCATACAACCTTCAGGATTCAGCTCCAATGCTCATACTCATTTCTGAATCACAGAAAAAGCAGGGGCCCGAAGGTCTGATGACAACTTCCCTCTTGGGATTCTGGTGCGCAAAGCCACCTTCTGGTGGGGAGTAGAAGGCATTGGTACCTAGAGAGCAAAGACTCCCCTGGCTTCGAACAGTTCAATGGGCACAGAGCTGCCTCTTTCCGGCTGTGCAGCCTTGGCAAAGGTACTTAGTAGCCTCTTCATCTACGTCTTAAGGAAAGTTTTTCCCTCCACCTTGAGATTAAATGAGATATTTTTCTAGTATTTATTGCCGTGTCTTCCGTGTTATGAAAGCTACAGAAGGATTGGACGTTTATGTTAAAAAATCCAGTGAACTCAAGGAGAAAAATTGAGTTGGACGGTGGTACAGACAGACTTTATTCAATCATCCTCTTGTTTCAAACGTATCTACAAAGCCTTAATGTTCCAACAGCTGGGGGATGGAGCTGGAAGCAGGATTTTCTCAGCGGCCAGTGTCTGCAGGAATGCAGAACTGGTTTTCACCCCTCCCGTTTGGGCGAGACCACTTGAATGAATTGCTGAGTAGGACGGTCAGTGTGGAGCTGATTCAGAATGAGAAAAAGACAAAGGGGACTAAAACCAAGATCCAAAGGCAGGAGGCAACCGGATGAGAGGAGTCCTGAGAAGGAGGTGAAGAGATGCCTTGGTTGGTGGAATCAGAAGCGCTTAGCCGTTCTGTAGATTTCTTTTTGTCCCCTGCAAGTTCTGTATGGATGGTGGTGGTAGTGAAAGGGTTTCTAGCTATAAAGAGGTAGCTGTTGCTTCTAACCATGGTGCCAACTCCTGCTCTGGATGCCATATCCCCAGGTGTACCCGCCGATTAGAAAGGATGGGGATCCATGTGTCCCCTGATGTTCTCAGCCACAGTGGTCACCTCTCAGAAGTGTGAACCACAAAAGATGCAAGTGGCAAGGGCGTGCTTTTGTTTTGTTTTGGTTTTTGGTGCTAGGAATTGAACCCAGAGCCTCGTGCTTGCTAAGCATGAGTATTATTCCCTGGCCATATGACCTTTTTTTTTTCTTTTTCTTTTTTTTTTTTTTTTTTTTTTTGTCTTTTTCCTTTTTATCGGTACCGGGGATCGAACTCACGACTGCCTGCTTGCAAGGCAGGTGCTTATGCCGCTGAGCTAAATCCCCAGCCTCTGACATTTTTTTTTTTTTTTAAAGTACTGGGGATGGAACCCAGGGCTTCACACATGCTAGGCAGCCACACTATAGCTCCACTACACCTCCAGCCTTGTAGATTTCTTAGGTAGCCTGGACAACAGTGTCCTAGATACAGACATTACCCAAACATGGCCAAAGGCCTACTTAAATGTACTCAATTCAAAGCATCTTCAGATCTTACCTCAGAAGGTAAAATATCCGACTTCCAACTAACTTCTGCAGTGTCAGGGACCTTATATGATTTTGAGTTCTTCTAACAGAGTGTGAAATGGGCAAAGGCATAGATGAGGAAGTAAATCAAGGTAAGATGGGAAGATTTGGAAAGGAAGCAAGTGCAGTATATCCATTAGCTAGGGAACTGCTCTGTAAAAGTTTGATTTTTTTTTTCAATTTTTTTTAATCTTTTTCATTTTATTCGGTACCAGGGATCGAATTCATGACTGCCTGCTTGCAAGGCAGGCGCTTATGCCACTGAGCTAAATCCCCAGCCCCTTGATTTTGTTTTTTGAGACAGGATCTCTCTCTCTCTCTCTAATTCAGTCTGTCCTGGAACTCATTATGTAGCTCAGGTTGGCCTCAACCTCCTGAGTGCTGGGATTACAGGAATGTGTCACCATGGCTGGCTTTATATATTAAATTAGGTAGTAATATAATAAACCCCAAATCATGAAGAATATGACCTTAAGCATTCTTAAAATTTTTAAATTCTCTTTCTTTCTTTATGTCTTTCTTTTGAGACGGGGTTCCCTATGTCATTAATTTTTTTTTAATGTCATTAAGTTTTAAACTCACTATGTAGCCCAGGCTTTCTTTGAGCTCATGACAATCCTCCTGCTTCAGTCTCCTGAATACTGAGATTAAAACCAGCATTCCAGAGTCTGAGGCAAGATGATGTTTGAAAATTCAAGTCCAGTCTGAACTACATAGTGAGGCCCTATTAAAAAAAAATTGAGCCTATCTTGGGCAACTTAGTAGGAAAACCATGTCTCAAAGTAGAGAGATTTAAAAAGGCTATGGATGTAACTCACTGGGGAGAGTACTTGTCTAGCATATGTGAGGTTCTGAGCTCAGTCCCCAGAATCACAGAAAATAAGCACACTGAAATGTCAGATGTCTGAAATCAATGTGTTGGCAGAGCCAGCTCTCCCCCAAACCTGTCGGAGAATACTTCCTGCTTCTCGCTAGTTCTGGCTGGTTGGCTGGCAATCTTCTGGTGTTCCTTGTCATGCAATCACATGGTTCCAGTCTGGCTTTGACATCATGTGACCCTTTTCCTGTGTCTGTCTCCATTTGGCTACCTCCTCATGAGGACCCCAGATGTGTTCGATTAGGGGTCTACCTTCCTCCAGGATGACCTCGTCCCAACAAATCAATTCTGCAATAACCCTTTTCCAAATGAGGTCACATCCCCAGGTCCAGGAACTAAGACTTCTCCCCCACATAGCTTTTGGGGAGGGAAGAAAGTTTAACTGATGACAGTGTACAATCTGCCATTCAGTCTTGGAGAAAGTTAATAATGGTGTAAATGCATTCTGTGGATAAGGTTTTACCTTCAAGGACAAGTTCATCAGCCAGACTTGATGGAGCACACCTGTTAATCCCAATGCCCTCGGAGGCTAAACCAAGAGGGTGGCAAGTTTAAACCCAGCCTCAGCAACTGACTGAGACTTTGCCTCAAAATAAAAAAATAAAAAAGAGTTGGTGATGTAGTTTAGTGGGAAGCTCCTAGGTTCAATCTCCATTTTCACAAAGAGAAAAAAAAATAGTTTTGTAGTATGATAGCCAATAGGATGAATTTATTTTTTCAGTACCAGGAATCAAACTCACAACCTTGTACTTGCCAGGCAGGTACACTGTGCTGCTGAGCTATATCTCTGGCCCCTAGGATTTAATGGTTTAAATTGTAAGATCTTAAGTTTAGATAGTGTGATTTTATCTTTCACAGCACCCTCATGATATTGGGCACCATGTAATTCTTACAGTTAATGTTATGGAGTATTTTTTGGCTGGGTATGGTGGCTCACACCTGTAACCTCAGAACTCAGGGAGCCTGAAGCAGGAGAATGGTCATGAGTTTAAGGCCAGCCTGGGCTACATACAGAGTTCAAGGCCAGGCTGATCTATAGAGCAATGCCTTGTTTAAAAAGAAAACTTCTTGCCAGGTCTGGTATGCACATCTATAATCTGTGGTATGCACACATAATCCCAGCATTTGGGAGACTGAGGCAGGAGGATCTCTGTGAGTTCAGGGCCAGCCTGGGCTACATAGTGAGACCTTGTTTCAAAAAAAAAAAAAAATTGTTTTGTTTTGAACCATGTCTGTAATTCCTGGTTTCAAGACGTTAAAACTAGTGGCCAATTTAGAAATGTGTCAAGAATCCACCTGAACAGCTTCTACACCTATTTTCTCCAGCCGGGAACTGTCATTGGACATGAAGTCATCCCTATGCTATCCACTCCTGGACGCTAAAGAGCCCATTTTAGAGGGACAGGCTTCGATCTGAAATTTTCTCCAGTAGGATTAGCTCCGCCCGCGCCTGCAAGGCTTGCAGCCCACTGGGACGTCCTCATTCACTCCTGAGAGGCACTTAAGCTTTTTCAATTCAAAGAGCTGCAGCTCCAGAAACCACCAGCAGGTGGACCATCCGCCGTGATTGGATAAACGCCAGGGAATTCCAGTCCTAGCAGCAATTGGCTGCTAAATTCTGTTTTTACAGTGCTCTGGTGAGTCTTTGATTACAACGCCTACTACTTCTGAGCCTGACTTAAGAGAAAGCGTTCAGGTGCACGCTGAGATCACTTGCCCTCAGCCACGGAGACCAGAGAAGAGGCGAACACAGGTTCCCTCCAGGCCATTTGCCCTGCCCAGGGCAGAAAAGAATCTTGAGAAGTCAGCTTAGGATCCCCCCCACCCCTCGCCTACTCTTCAGGCTCACCATTGCAGCCCTGTCCAAGGATGGGTCCATCTGACACCTAACAGTGAACGCCATGAGGGCAGGACCTGGGCCCTCTTGGTAACCACTGTGTCCATAGCAGCACCCAGCACAGCGTGACACACGATGAGTGAGCACATTCGCTGTGTAGAGAAGCCCTTGCAGCAATATGAGAAAACACGGGGCTAGAGTATAGTGGCAGTGTGCTTGCCTCAAATGTGTGAGGCTCTGGGTTCCATCCCCAGAACCAGAAAAATAGCAAAAACCTTACAAGATATTACAGGTTTCAGGTTTCCACTATGAGTCAGAACTGTGCTAACTGAATTATTATTATTAATAATCATGGTTAGTCATAACAAAAATAAATCAGAAACTGGGTGGTGCGGTGGTACACGCCTGTAATCTCAGTTACTTGGGAGTCTGAGGCAGGAGGAATGCAAGTTCAAGACCTGCCTGGGCACCTCTGAAGACTGTCTCAAATTTGTAAGAAGTGGGGTGTCTAGAGATATAGCTCAGTGCACAGGACTTGGTTCAATTCTCAGTACGGGAAAAACAAAACAAAACAAACAAACAAACAAACAAAAAAACAGTAGACACCATACTTTGAATTCATTCTTTTTCCTGGCTAGTGTGATTAGTCCCAAGACTCGTGCTCAGCAGTAGCAAAAGCAGAGTTTTAAAAAAAGAGGAGAAGGAGGAGGAGACAGAGTTTAATCAACTACCAGATCACAAGGGGAAACAACAGAAACTCCAGAGTATGTGTGGTGCTAGGCAGCATCCGGTAGGCTGGGTGGATTAATGCAGGATTTGTGATAGGTTTATCTGAACATCACCCCTCAGAGGAACCCCTGAACCTGCTTTCCTCCCAGACTCCTCAGCTCCTGGCCCAGCCTCTCCCCCATCCTCCCTCTGGCCTCTCCTTGTTTACTCGTCCTCCAGCCCTCCAAGCTCCTGCCTCCCAGCAGTCCTTCCCCTCAGTCCACTCTAAAGCTCTGCCTCCAGCACCCCCAACTCCTATCCTACTCAATCCTTCTCACAGGCAGCCCCCTCCAGTGAGTCCCAGCTCAGGAACAGCGACTCCTGATGCAGGAGTATGGCATAGTCCAGTCCATTTTAATTGTTGGGCAGGGTTCTTGGGGACTGGGGTTCTCCCTTCCCCCTTCAGCCCCCAAAACAGTTCATCCTTGGGATGTCATGGAGAGCAGCGGGTGGGCCAGGCACCAGGCTCAGAGGACGCTGATGCGCTCTGCCAGGCCCTGCATCTCGTGGTCCTGCGGCAAATGGGCCCCAGCAAGCTCTACGTGGGTGGGCAGCCCAGGGCCGGGCAGCGGATGTTCTGCCACAAACTGCTCCCAGCGTGCATCGTCACTCTCGTGGGTGATGTACCGCTCGCTCATCTTCCTCTCCAGCTCACGGAGGTCCAGCCACGTCTGGTACTCCTGGGCCGGGAGAACTGCGGTTAGCTGGGGGCTGCACAGAGGGCAGACACTAGAGGCCAGAGAAGCACTGATGTGTCTTGCTCTGTGGATCCGCAGGGTACCAAGGAAGATGAAGCCACACCCTTCAAAATCTGTCCAGCCAAAAGATACCTAGCCGGGCACCCTTCCACAGATTAGCCAATGGGAGGCTCGGCCACGCTTAGCTGCCCAATAGCAGATCTAGCTCCCCCCTTCCTCTAGCCCAGCCAGCGTGTCGGCCCCGCCCCCTATCACCTGTAACCAGGGGTGGCTGAGAGACTTGTCCACACTGTAGCGCTTGCGCATCTTGACTTGTAGCAGGTTGTTGATGAGGTCAATGGCTGCAAAGGAAAGTGTCAGTTGAAGTTCTGAGTGAGCCTCTCCCGGCAGGCCACCCCAGTCCACAGCTCGCCGTCAAGGCCTGTGCCTGTACTAGTTGAGGAGGCTAGGTCTGCACTGTGCCACACAACAGCCTGCTGATTTTCTCATGAAACTGCAGAACTGTCTCCATGTCATCATACTGGTTCCAAGCAAATAAATCATACTGGTTCCACAGCAAATATGTGAAAAAATGTTCATTCGAGAGGCACAAATTAAAACAACATTGAGATTCCACCTTACCTTGGAAAGAATGGTCATTATCAAGAAATCAAGCAATAACAAATGCTAAAGAGGCTATGGGGGGAAAGGAACCCTTCCCTTCCCTGTTGGTGGGAGTACAGATTGGTGCAATCACTGTGGAAATCAGCGTGGAGATTCTTCAAAAAACTAGGACTAGAGGTCTCATTTGACCCAGCTATTCCCTTTCTGGGCATCTTTCCAAAACAATTAAAAACATCCTACCACAGTGATATATGTGTGTCCATGTTTATAGCAAAACAGTTTGTGATAGCCAGATCTTGGAAACAACCCAAATGCCCATCGACTGAGGAATGGATAAAAAAGATACGGTATTTTTATATAATAAGAGTACTACTCAGCCATAAAGAAAGATAAACTGGAGACTTATAGGTAAATGGATACAACTTGAGAATGTACTCATAAATGAAATAAATGACACACGTGTAAACATCGTGTTGTCTCAGTGTGAGAAGCTAAAAGAAACGTCTATGTACATGTACATAAAAATAGTTAAGACAGATATACTACTGATTTCTCTGAGTTCAATGGAGAGAAAGATTTGCGCTGATATTATTTGGATAACTGAATGCAGATGTCTTGTGTTTTGGGTGAATGATTTGGGGATGACAATGTGTAATGAATATATCATTGTTACCCCCTGATTGACGTGTTTTCAAATTTTGGGTTTTTTTTTTCCTTCTCATTGAAATAAAAGTGGATTTGGAAAAAAAAAAAAGAAGGCAACTTGAGACTCTAAGAAAGCACTTGATGTTTTTATCTACTGGTAGCAAAATGGAGTTTTACTGTAGTTTTATAGGAAGTACTAATGTTTTTACGTATTTCAGGACTTTCACATGTTAAGTGGCAATTGCTTTAAATGTGTAACTACGAGTCTATGTCAGCATGTACATACTGTGCTGAAAGTCTATTATGTTTCAATTTGCATGTCATATTAATATGCAAAAAAAATCATATTGGTTCCTGTCTGTCTTTATAGATTCTCTACTTCAGGCTCCCCATTCTTATACCGTCTACACATCTCCCCCACCCCACCCTGTCCTGGTGACTGAACCCAGGGTCTCTCCACTTAGCCATGTCCCTGGCTTGCCTGCCTGCTTGCTTGCTTGCTTTCTCTCTTTTTTCCTTTTGTCTCTCTCTCTCTGTCTCTCCCTCCCTCCTTCCCTCTCTCTCCCTCAGGATCTCACTAGGTGGCTAAGTCACCCAGATTAGGTTTGAATTTGTAGTCCTCTGGTCTTAGCCTCTCAGAGTTCTGGGATTACAACTATACCCAGATCACTTTGCAGTTTTGGTCACACACAGGTGTATACAGGCACACCTGCACTACACCTCATCTAGTATTTTTGTTTAAGCCAAGTCATTCATATCCAAGATTTATTGTTAAGTAGACAAGCTGAAGATCAGCATACATAGTATGTTATAAAAGAGGAAAATAAAAAATATATTGTTATAAATATGTGTCATATATATTATATATGGAATAGAATTCTGCAACCACAATTATAGAATTAAGTTCATGAACTGAGGTAACACTGTAAAGAAAGACAAAAATGAAAGAATATAATACAAACATCTTTCCTGGGAAAGAAACAGGAGAGACTAGCAGATAAAGTGAACATGAATTTTCACCAGCAGTGTGTAACACCACACTCTATAATCCCAGGACTCAGGAGGCTGAGGCAGGAGGATCACAAGTTGAAGACCCTCTAGGAAATTTTGCATTTAGACTCAGTCTCCAAAAGGAAAAAACTGACTAAGATCTGAGGTTGTAGCTCAAAGGCAGACTCCTTACTTTAGCATGCCTGAAGCCTTGGGTTCAATCTTCAGCATCCCCAAAACAAAAACTAACCAAATCAACAATAATGTAAACCATGTGAATATATATATATATATTTTTTTGCCTTTTTCCTTTTTATCGGTACCAGGGATCAAACTCATGACTGCCTGCTTGTAAGGCAGGTGCTTATGCCACTGAGCTAAATCCCCAGCCCCAACCATGTGAATATTTAACCTATGTAAAAAAAAAAAAAATTCAAATCAATCTACATTTTTTTGAATATTTAACCTATGTAAAAAAAAAAAATTCAAATCAATCTACATTTTTTTTTTTTTTTTTTTTTTGGTACCAGGGATCAAACTCATCACCTCGTGCTTACCAGGCAAGTGGGCAAGCGTTTGAACTGCTGAGCTAAATTCCCAGCCCCTCAAATCACTGTTTTTTTTTTCTTTATCGGTATTAGAGAACGAACTCAGGACCATGCGCTTACAAGGCAGGCGCTTATGCCACTGAGCTAAATCTCTAGCCCCTCAACTCACTTTTTTAAAGTTTACTTTTGAAGGTGCAAATGTATATATTTCCAATAGAACCTTTACCCTACCCTGCTCAGTAGAAATTCAATAACATCGGCTATTTCCACAAAAGAAAAATGAAAAATAAAAGCAGGTCATCAGGTGGTACTTAGAACTGAGGCCTGTTCTGCAGGAAATGGCAGCCAGTATTTGTTTGAGGCTCTCTTTTGGGTGAGGAGCCTTGAAGGGCAACACCCCACCAGGAGCCACTGTGAGTACAGCTGCCCCTTGGTATTTGCAGGAGATTGGTGTCAGGGCCCCCACAGACACCAAAACCCACAGATGCGCAAGTCCCTTACATAACAAGGCAGAGTATCTGCACAGAACCTACTCAATCCTTCCATACGCCTTAAGTTACCAGACTAATTATAATACTAACACCATGCAAATGCTGGGTAAACAGTAGCTGTGCTGGGGCTGGGGATTTAGCTCAGCGGCATAAGCGCCTGCCTTGCAAGCAGGCAGTCGCGAGTTCGATCCCTGGTACCGATAAAAACGAAAAACACCAAAAAAAAAAAAAAAAAAAAAAAACCAGTAGCTGTGCTATGTTGTTTAGGGAATGACAAAGAGCTAAAAGGTCTGTACATGTTCAGTGTAAGTACAGCCTTTTTCCTATTTGCAGTCTGAAGATGGCTGAACCTGTGAATAGGATCCCCAGGGCACAGAGGGTGACTCTTTAGCCCTTATGCATATAGTCACCCTACCTTGGCCAACACCAGTCACGTGTCACACATCAGCCACCAACGCTGACTTCCACTGGAAGTGCACCCGGAATGTACTTCTATGGAGCAAATTCCAACAGGCAGTCCCAAGGACGCCCAACGCTGTTCCAGGACCCGGGTGGACCAGGCTCTCCTCACTCAGCACTAACTCCCCACGCTCCGCGAGGCCACGCCCCACTAGGGACCTTCCCTGCCCACTTCACAGACCATTCCTCAAGCCTCTTCCCGCAGGATCACTGTCCCGTACACCACAGCATCCCGAGCCCAGGGCACTCACTGCCCCGCACAGCAGACACTCAACACGCACCCGCTAAACGAACTGTCACAGAAGAATCAGTGACTGTCTCTCATCCGTTCCCCCCACAATCTGGCCCCAGGTTAATTCCCTATCCCTGAGTGGCAGCCCATCCCTCCCGTGGCCCCGCCCATCTCTAGGCCCCGCCCTGTCCCCGCCCCCAGCAGCTGACCTCCAGTGGAGATGAGGCTCCAGGGGTTGGCTGGGTACATGAAGGCTGCGTTCTGGATCTGGTCGCTGATGTCCTCGTCCTCGTTGAAGGGGAACGTGCCGCTGAGGCTAACATACATGATCACACCCACCGACCACATGTCCAGAGAGCGGTTGTAGCCCTGGTTGAGCAGCACCTCGGGTGCCAGGTACGCGGGTGTGCCCACCACAGAGCGCCGGAATGACTTCTCACCGATGATGCGGGCGAAGCCGAAGTCACACAGCTTCACCTGCCAAGGGTAGAGGGGAAGGTCTGAGGAGTGACGAAACCACACCCTGCAGTATGTCCACATCCATCCACCCAATGCCAAAGGAAACAATGGTGGGTCACTAAGCTCCTCAGCTCACTAAGCTGAATGAGCCCAGTCACGAGAATGTTCCTCTGTGCCTCAGTTTCCTCATCAACTGGGAGGAACATAATAACACATGTCTCAAAGGACTATCACTTCGGGAGGCTGAGGCAGGAAGCTGGCCAAGAGTTCAAGTTTAAGGCCAACCTGGGCTACATATCAAATGTCCTGAGGCAGGAGGATCACTGCAAGTTTGAGACCTACAAAGTCTCAGTGAGACTCAACCCTGTCTCAAAAGAAAAAAAAAAAAAAAAGAAGAAGAAGAAGAAGAAAGAAAAACAAAAAAAAAGGGGGGGGGGTGTCAGTGTGAATTACAAAGCGAGACACTGAAACAAAGCCTTAATGAAGATTACAAGCGAATCCATGCCCGGCCCACAGGGGCGCTCAAAAAAAGGTCCCTGCTGCTATCTCTGTGAATGGGTCTCAGCTGCCTCTTGCCTCTGTGTCCCCATAGGCACCACGCAAAAAATAAAAACAAAACTGTTTCCACCTAGGTGCTTGTATGGATTGGAAAAGGGAGTAGGAGGTCTCAGCTCCCCCAGGCCTCGGTTTTTCATGTGGACACTCCGGTAAAGTGGCCACTGGCCACAAGTGGCGATCGAGCACTTGAAAGTTGTCAAATGGGGCTGAAGAAGTGATTTTGTATTTAATTTTAATCCAGTCATCAATTCAGTTATTGGAAAACTTTAAAACATGATTGGAACAACTCGGGTATATCAAACCATTTTTCTAGTCTTATGAAATTTCAATGCAAACCAAGTATTTCTATATTCTTTTTTCTTGCAGTGCTGGAGATCAAACTCAGGGCCTTGCACACGTACCTGAGGTGCATCACTAGCCTCTAAGTATGTATTTCCGAACAAAATTTAGCATTGCAATTGAGGCTTGCTGTAAGTGTAAAATGCATACCAGGTTTGGAGGACTAAATATGAAAGGAAAGTCAAATATTTCAGTCAGATTTCACATTGATTTCATGTTAAATAATGCATTTTATGCTAGGCTAAACTATATCTATTTTGGGGGGGCTGTTTTTGAGACAGGGTCTTGCTATGCAGTTCAGGCTGGCCTTGAGTTCACTTTGTAGCCCAGGCTGGTCTTGAACTTGCAATGATCCTCCTGCTTCAGCCTCCCAAGTACTGGGATTACAGGTGCATGCCATCACATCCAGCATATAAACTATATTATTAAAGTTTAATTTTATTTGTTTCTTTTATCTTTCATAATGCAGCTACTTAAAAATGTCAAATGATATATCTTTGGGTTTTTTTTGTCTTTTTCCTTTTTATTGGTACCGGGGATCAAACTCACGACTGCCTGCTTCCAAGGCAGGCGCTTATGCCGCTGAGCTAAATCCCCAGCTCCGTTGTTGTTCTTCTTCTTTTGTACCTGGGATTTAACTCATGACCTCGAGTTTGCCAGGCAGGCATTTATGCCGCTGAGCTAAATCCCTGGGCCCCTGTGTTACATTTCTACCAAATCTCACTAGTCTAATAGGGTTGCTCAACTTGGCACTATTGACTGTGAGGGCAGATGATCCACTGTTAGGAGGAATGTTTGGGCACTGTAGAATGTTTAGCTATTTAATTATGACAACTAAAATGGCCTCCAACATTGTCAAATGTCTTTTGGGGGGAAACCCCCTTTACCTGAAAATCCACTGTTACAAGCTCCTTGAGCATAGAGATGACTTGTAAAACACAGATAATAAAGCAAAAACTTCACAGGGATGTGGAAAAAATGAGATCCTGTAAGTAATTGATCTAAAATATTAGGTACTCAACAAATTACAACCATTACAAACATTGCTTTTTCTAGCCCCACTCTATGTGGGCTCTCATCTCCTAGCCAGAGACTCGTCAAAAGCCATTTCTCAGTCAGGCACGGTAGTGGACGTCTGTAATTCCACACTGGGAGGCTGAGGCTGGAGGATTTCTTCAGGTTCCAAGCCAGCCTGGGATAAAGAGAATTCAAAACCAGCCTAAAACTGCATAATGAAACACTGTTTCAAAAAAAAAATGTCATTTCCCCATTAGGGCAACAGTTGTTCTCCAATATTTGTTCCATGTTTTTCTCTTCATAAAAATGTTGAATTTCAAGACTACATGGCCACTCACAATAGACTACATTTCCCAGTCTCCTTAGTGGTCAGCCTAGATCATGTGATCAAGTTCTGGCCAATAAGATGTGAGAAGTTCCAATCACCTAGAAAGGAAAGGGGTGAGTCCATTTCTTCCAACTCTGTGGTCCTCTAACCCAGCTAAAAAGACACAGCAGGGGTATCCTGGGCCACAGAAGCCAGCATCAGCATAGGGAAGCCTGGTCTCCAACATGGCGAAACTTTCTTGCCAAGCTCCACAGGAGGGAAAAACAAGCCTCTCCTATTTAAGCCACTGTAACGGGGGTGAAGGGTTTTCAGATCACGTATCAGTGGCGACATCTATACCCTGATTATTACACGTCCTCCACCCACCCAGTGTTGTTCTTTTTTTTGTCTTTTTCCTTTTTATCGGTACCAGGGATTGAACTCATGACCACCTGCTTGCAAGGCAGGTGCTTATGACGCTGAGCTAAATCCCCAGCCCAAACCCACCCAGTGTTGACTGCACTTCCCTGAATTGGGAGCAGGCGTTAACTGACCTGAGGAAACGGGTCTGCTGAAGCCAGCAACACGTTTTCTGGTTTCAAGTCACAGTGGACGATGTTCTTGAAGTGAAGGTGCCGCAAAGCAACCAGGATCTGAGGGGGGGAGGTATGGCCAAGTTCAAAAGGGACCTCCCAGGCCTCCACTTTAGTGCCAGCCCTCCACTTCCCATCCTCAAGGTCTCAGCAGTCCTAAAGACCCCTAGGCTCCAGGAAGTGACTGGGGATCCCACAGAATTTCAGAATCTCTGAGCTATGCACACTGAGAGTGAAGAGTTAAGGGTAGAATTTTAGAAAGGCTGGGCTAGAGCAACGGGCTGCGAGGATCTGGGACCCTCTGCATGCAGGAGACTTCTTTTGTGTGTGTGTGTGTGTGTGTGTGTGTTTCGTTTTTATCGGTACCAGGGGTTGAACTCACGACCACACATTTGCAAGGCAGGCACTTATGTCGCTGAGCTAAATCCCCAGCCCTCTAGGAGACTTCTTAAGTGCTATAAAAATTGAGCAGGGCCTTTCAAAAAGGTTCTATGTATAACTGCTTTTAAAAAAAATTTTTTTTTGTCTTACACAACAACTCTATGGAGGGTGGTGGTGCACACCTATAATCCCAGCACTCTGCAAGGCTGAGGCAGGAGGATCTCCAATTCACAGCAAGCCTGGGCAACTTACTGACTTACCAAGAATTTGTCTCAGAGAGAGAGAGAGAGAGAGAGAGAGAGAGAGAGAGAGAGAGAGAGAGATGGGATGTAGCTCGGTGTGAAGGACCTGAGTTCAATCCCAGTACCACATGTACACACACGCACACACACACAAATCCTGATAGTATTTCTCCATTCTGTGTAACCTACACAGAATACCAAATACCACAGAAGCCCAATCATGTAAACATGCAACTGTAACGTACAGCTCAAAATTTAAATTTTCATTTATTTAGTTTTTACTACTTGGCTTTCTAAGAATGAAATACTACTTGAAAGCCACTGCTGTGGTCCTCCTTCTCCAGGCCTATTTTTCACGTGAGATGGGGTGGAAAGAGGCAAGTGTATTTGCCATCTCCAGATTTTCTGGCAGCTGATTTGATTTTTTTTCCCAATTAAGGCAGTGAACACAAAGGGTAGATTGAAAGCAAGACAGAGTCAGATTCAAATCTTAGCCAGACAGCTTCGCAGCTGTAACCTGGGATAAGAGACTGCTGCCTCAGTGTGCTCCTCTATGAAGTGCAGTGACAATGACACCTACCTCAAAGGGTGGCGAGACATAAGATCGAAAGGTAGAGAGCTTAGTGCAGGATGAGTGGGCAAAGACCCATAGGCAGAAATCTGCAGAAAGGAGAGAGAGAGGAAGCAAAAAGATGAAGGGGGCTGGGAATGTAGCTCAGTGGCACAAGCGCCTGCCTGGCAAGCACGAGGTCCTCAGTTCAATTCCAGTTACCATAAAAAAAAAAAAAAGAGAGAGAGAGAGAGAGAAAAGGATGAAGAAATGCAAGACCAGAAAGAGAAGCTCTCTCAGTTGCTGAAAGCAACTTGGCGCCCTCCTCCCACCTGAAGTCGGATGCACCGGCCTCAGTGGGTTCTTGTACCCACTCTTGAGTCAGCCCAGATGTGCAGGCACGCAGTGTGGGACAGTAAGGGCACTGGGCAACACACACACACAGGGCTCCTTACAACCAGCAGAGAAAACATCCCAGAATAAGGCGGGCCCCCGCCCAGTGGGAAGGCTTTTCTAGGAAGGATGTGAAGCTCAGAAACTAGTTGCTTAAGGGAACGTTTAACACTGTAAAAGTTAAAGCACTAATTATCCCAGACATGCTGGTATATGTGTAGAGATCAGCTACCCAGTAGGCTGAGGCAGGAGATTACAAGTTCATGACCACTCTGTAAACTCAATGAAGCACTGCCTCAAAATAAATTTTTTTTTTTTAATTGGTACTGGGAATTAAACTCCTGACTGCCTGCTTGCAAGGCAGGTTCTTATGCTGCTGAGCTAAATCCCCAGCCCCTAAAATAAAATTTTTAAGAAGCTGGGGATGTGATGTATCTTAGTAGCAGAGCATGTACATAGCATGTGCAAAGCCCTGTGTTGAGTCCTCAGTACCAAAAAAACCAAACAAACAAAAAATGGAATCTATATGTCTATGTTTTTGGCAGCTGGGGAATTGGGTGATATGCTTTTCTTTTTTTGGTGGTGGCACTGGACACTGAACCAAGGCTTTACTCTGAGCTACATCCCCATTCCTTTTGCATTTTTTCATTTTGAGACAGGGTCTTACTAAGTCTCTGAGTTGCCCAGGCTGGGCTCTAACCTGTGATCCTCCTGCCTCAGCCTTCCTCTGTGTCAGGATCCCAGGTGAGGTCTGCTGTCTTTAGTCCTACCCAGCTCCTGTGTGGTGGTTCAGTGACTCGGGGCCCCTGCAGGGGGAGCTGGGGGAGGGGCACACCTGGGTGATAAGGAACTTGGTGAGGCGCTCGGGCAGCCGGCCCTTCTCGCTGGAGAGGATCATCTCCAGCATGTCCCCATGAAGCTTCTCCATCACCACAAACACTTTCTCGGGCGTCTCGAACATGCACTCCAGGTTCACGATTCCAGGGTGCCGCAGACTCTGGAGGGCAGAGTGGGGTCAGGATCTAGGTTGCCCCTGAACTCAGCCACGGAATCATATGGATAACAGGCAAGAAGGATGTCCCTGGGGGTGGCAATGGGGACTGAGCAGAGACTGGAAGGGCAGCACGTTCTGCGCCCCCCTCCTGCTGTCCCCAGAGACCTTGGCATCATGGACTTGGCAGTGGGAAGGCCAGGGCTGCAGGAGGCGAGGAGCAGGGAGCCTAGAGAGGCAGGCAGCTTTGTACGTTGGCACCCTTGGTTTTTCTTCTTATTTCTGTCTACAGCTCTTCATGGTGCACTTCCTCCCTTCCCCCAGCCCTGTCCCGGCCTGACCCCAATTCTCCTGCCCAAATTCCTCCCCAGATCCACCCAGGGCTCCAATTCCATTACATCCCTCTCTACCCACCCTCCAGATGGCAGCTCTAGAGATTTCCTAAAAAACACACCTGATCCTGGCCTTCCGTTGCACAATCCCTGCCCCCCTTGTTTTCTTTTTTAAATGTCTGAGATTTTGGTGGCACCGGGGATGGCCCCCACGGCCTCCTCATTCATGCTAGGAAGTGCTCTAAAAGGAAGTGTCACCCTCAGTCCTCCGAGTCCTCTGAGTTCCCCAGAACCTTCAAGACAGCCTACGGCATCTGGACCCACCCTCCCTGTGCCTCTCTGCACCATCTTCCCGGACCTCGGTCCTCAGGCCCCGGCACTGGCCAGCCCTCTGCTCCAAGCCCTTCCTCCTCCAGGAAGCCTGCCTGAGTTCGTCATGAGGAGGGAGAGGAAGAAAGTCCCCACTGGAGCAGGGGCAGGACTGTGCTGTCACCTGGAGAATGGCAACCTCGTTGCGCAGCTGACTTTCCTGCTTGGTGGGGAAGCGCAGTTTATCAATGACCTTCACTGCCACATCCCGGCCGGTCTTCCGGTGCTTTCCTGGGTGACAGAAGTGGGAGAGAAGGGATGAGAGAGCAAGGCCTCCCAATCCTGGCAGGAGAGACCCAACTGGAGATGGGCTGAGGTGATGGAAGGGCCACCAACGTGGCTCTGAGGGGACACTAATATGTGGGGTGGGGTGGAGGGGCTGGGAGTAAAAGTGGAAGGAAGATCAAAGGCAGGGCTCTGGTTAAGCATTGGACTTGTGCCTGGAATGGTAGGCTGAGGCAGGAGGATAGTCAGGCATTCAAAACCATCCTAGGCAATGCAGTGAGTTCAAGTCCAGCCTGGAATACATAGGGAGACCCTATCTCAAAACAAAAACAAAGGCCAGGAGAGGTGGTGCATCCCTGTAATCCCAGCACATGGAAGGCTGAGGCAGGAGGATTGCTGTGAGTTCAAGGCTAGCCTTGGATATAGTTAGTTCAAAGCCTGCTTGCACTAGATTGTGAGACCCTGTTTTTAAAAAAAAAAGAAAGAAAGAAAGAAAAAGAAGAAAGGAAAAAAAGCTCTGGAGAGGCCAATAGATAACATGGAAAGCTAGATTTATAACCAATCAGAAGGTGGGAGGTGATTATTGGTACCAAAAAAAACAAAAACAAAAACACACACACACAAAGAAGCTGTGAGGAACTGGAATTGCCTCTGTGGTCAATCAGAGCACAAAAATTTCACTCCTACTAACAGCAGGAAGAAGTGCACTGGTTTTCCCGAAGGGAAAGAGAAGCCTGCAACCACCTGTAGCCATGCTGTAGCTTTTTTTTAAAAATAATTTTTGTTTGTTTGTTTGTTTGTTTTTGGTACTAGGGATCAAACTCACGACCTCGTGCTTGCCAGGCAGGTGTTTATGCCGCTGAGCTAACTCCTTGGCAACAATTTTTTTTTTTTTGAGACAGGATCTCACTGTGTTGTTCAGGTTGGCCTTAGGCTAGCCTTGAACATTCAGAAATCCTCCCACCTCAGCCTCCCCAGTCCTAGGATTACAGGCATTAAAGGCAGGTGCAATACCACACCTCTCCAGGTTGTGGCTTTCTACGACAATCAGAACAGGTGAGCAACCAGCCAGTCAGAAAGGAAGGTAACCCTGGGAAGGCTCAGCCCAGCCCAACAGCCTTCTTACCTCCATAGACCACTCCAAACTGCCCTGAGCCCAGCACCTCATCCGGGAAGATCTGGTAGACAGTGGCAATGTCCTGCAGGATGGGGACAGAAGTGTCACAGGTGCAAATGGCGATGAAGGGGCAGGGAGGGGAAACTGCAGAGGTGTGCAGAATCAGGCAGGACTCTTACCACATTCTCCTGGATCTGACTGTTGGACACAGAGATGCTCAGGGAAGCTTGTCCTGAGGAGAGGGACAGACAGAAGCTCAGGACCGGCTCCACCCGGCCCTCCCATGGTTCCAGTCAGGTGACACAAGTCATCCACTCTGACCTCAGTTGCCTCATCTAAAAAACACCACTGGGAGGAGTAATAAGACATGCTTAAGAAGGGACATCACAGAGGCACGGTGGCACCTGTGATCCCAGCAACCTGAGAGGCTGAGGCAGGAGGATGGCAAGTTGGAGCCAGCCTGGGCAATTTAGTGGGACCCTGTCTCCAAATAAAAATGCATTTTTTTTAAGCAGTGGTGAAGTTTATTCAAGAAAGTAAAAGTGAAGAGTGGGAGAGAACTGGCTCTGCAGAGTGAGCTTGGGCCAAATAAATAGAAAAAGAGGGTGAGAAGAAAGATAAAAGCACACACTGCATCTGGGAGACACAGTGTGGGCTAGCATGGAAAGCTACGATAGCCAAAAATATAGACTTCATGGAATGGTTTTCTTTTCTTTTTTAGGGAAGGTTGTTTTGAGACAGGGTCTTGATACACAGTTCAGGCTGGCTTTGAACTCCTGACAGTCCTCCTGCCTCAGCCTCCCGAGTGCTGGGATTACAGGTATGCCCCACTACACCCAGCAAAGATACAAATTTTAAAAAGGGCTGAGGATGTAGCTCATTGGGAAGGCCCACTGGGTGCAACTTCCAACCCCCAAAAAGTGGCTTGACAAACCTGATGCTGACCATTCTACCCATGCCTCTGCCAAGAGAGGCATGTGGATCCCATTCCCCATAGTAGGAAACTGAGGCTTAGAGGAAATTCCAAAGGAATTCCAGCAATGTGCCCTGAACTTGTGCCTCCAGACCAAAGCAGAGCCAGGCATCTACAGGGTCCTGATCGTGCCCCATTCCACCTCTCCACTGCTGCCCAACCCAGCTCCCTGCTCCTGGCCCCTCCCCTGGTGTCCGTACCCCTGCCCTGCCCCCTTTACCTTCCTCAGGAACCCGAAGGGGCCCTGAGCCTCCCCTCTCACAGCCTGACCATGGCTCCCCAGTGGGAAGAAGCCTGGGCCCCTCAGTGATCTAAAGACCTAGTCAGGCCCTTCATCCACCTGATTTCAGCCTCTATTCAGTTGTATTTCCCACCATGCTGTCTCCCTGCTGGGCCTCCCACGCAGCAAGCTCTGTCCCAGACCCAGCCTTTGTATACACTGTCTCTGGACCAGGAATGCTAAATCCTCATCCCACAGTTGGCTCAAATATTGCTCCTCAGGCCACATATTACTCCAGCAAATGTCAGTCTTCACCCCAAGCTACATCACTGGTCATTGTTTGAATATTTATTTTGAGACAGAGTCTAAATTACTAAATTATGCTGACCATGGTGTCAGGCACCTGTAATCCCAGCACCTAGGAGACTGAGGCAGGAGGATCGCCCTGAATTTGAGGCCAACCCAGGCTACCTAATGAGATCAAGTCCAGGCTAGACTGCATAGTGATACCCCATCTCAAAAATAAATATTTCAAACTTTCGACCCTCCTGCCTCAGCCTCTCAGGGTGCTGGGTTTACAGCTGTGCACCTCCATACTTAGCACATACTTGCTGTTTGTACAGGACAGTGATTAATGTCTAACCCACACTGGGTAACAAGCAGCCAGAGGTGAGAACCTGATGTCCTGTGATCATCTGTTGCCTCTACCTGATGTATTTTCCCTTCCAGTTCTCAGTGTACGTGTGGCCTCCTCCAGGAAGTCCTCCTGGATACCCGGATTGGGTCAGACATGCCCAGTTCCCTGGTTTCTCTGCCCCAGTCCCGCCCAGTCTGGGTTATTACTGTCTGGGGATGGGGAATGATGGATACGAGAAAGTTCCTGGGCACAAAGAAGGTGTTTGATAAACACCTGGGAGGAAGCTGAGTGTGAAGAGGTGTGCCCAATGCTACACAGCAGGTCAGAGGCCTCACAGAGACTTGAACCCAAGTTTGCTAAGTCCAGGTGCCATGTTCCCAACCCCAACCACCAAGGCCTCTCTTCCTCCTTGTTCTCCCCTAGCTCTGGACCCATCCTCCCGGAACACAGGGTGGGGACATACTGTGCGGTGCATGGCCTGGGGTGCTGGGGGCATCCTGGAGGATGACAGGCATCAGGGCCTGGCGGATGGCCATCTCCCAGCCCCGGGCGGCCTCAGCCCCCTGCCCACTCGGCCCGCCTGGGGCCCCGCCAGGTGTCTCGCCCACGAAGTAGGTGGCATTGGCAGTGATGATCTCGAAGCAGTGTGGGTTGGTGCCTGGTGGCACAAGGCTGAAGTTCTGAGAGGGCTCCACCGAGAGGATTTCTGACAGCGGAATTTCCTGGTGGGACATGGAAGTGGTGTGGGTGAAGACAGGATCCTGGGCAGGCCCTGAGGCTCCCCCGCTCTCTCAAGGGTAGCACAGAAGCCAGAGTCAATGACAGGCCTGGTTTGCAGGAAATAGTCAGATACTGAAGTAAAGAGCCAAGAGTAAGAAGAAGTTAGCAGGCAAGTAGAGGGAGCATCGGGTGCAAAGGCCCTGTGGTCAAAAAATGTGTCTTATCCTCAATATGCAGGATGGTACCTGGCACACAGGAGGTACTAATAAATGCCTAACACATAAGTGAAGGAAATACCACACAGGACCCTGTGGCCTAAAAGGATAAGCCCGGACTTTGTCTGAGGACCACAGGGAGCTACTGAAGGGTTTTGAGCTGGGAAGAGATATCCTGGGGCTGTGTGTGGAAGCTGCATGGGATGAGAAGAAATGCAGACAGGAGACCAGGAAGGCAGCTGATGGCAGAGAAGATGCAGGGACTATTGTGGGGGTTGAGGAGGGAGAGCACTAAAAGACAGGAGGGAACGAGGAAGGTAGGACAGTGGTGCTTGCTTGGAGTCCCAGGGCTGTGAAAAGCTGAGGCAGGAGAAATGCAAGTTCAAACCCAACTTAAGTAACTTGTCAGTTTAGCAAGGCCCTGCTGCAAAATAAAAAGGAAAAATTAAATAAATATAAGAGGAAAAAAGAAAGGCTGCTTAAATAAGCAGTGACCCAGGTTGTGATGTGGAGACTGCCATGGGGCATGGCGTGAACAAGATGGGAAGGACAAGAACCAGGCCCAGCAAGTCCAAGAAAGGCATTCCGGGCAGGGGGTTGGGCTTTAAGGACTGTGAGAGCCACTGAAGGCTGTGACAGCTGTTTGCTTGTTTGTTTAATTTTAATTAATTTACTTTTGAGACGGGTCTCACTATGTAACCTAGGCTGGCATGGAACTAATGATGATCCTCCTGCTTCAGCCACTGGGTATGGTGGCGCAAGCCTGTAATTGCAGCACTGGAGAAGCCAAGGCAAGAGGATTAGCAAATTGAAGTCCGGCCTGGGCAATTTAGTGAGACCCTGTCTCAAAAACAAAGAAACAATAAAAAGGACCAAGGGTGTGGCTCAAGGGCAGACCACCTGTCCAGCTTGCTGAGGCCATGGCATCACAAAAAAAGCAAAAAGCCTCTGGCAGCTACACAGGAAAAAGACTAGCTGCAAAGGCCCACTTGAGAGGCTGGTGCCACCCACCAGGTAGAGACTGGCTGGGACCCCATGACCGCAGGGAAGAGATGAGGAACAAAAATGCACCACAAATGAGCTCTAAAGCAAGAACAGGTGGATCGCACAGGCAGCAGCCCAGTCTCAGGCTATTTGCTTATGTTGAATACCTGTGATCTCAGTGGAGATTTTGTTTTTCTAATACTGGGAATTGAAACCCGGAGCCTTTGGCCTGAGCTATTTCCCCACCCCTTTATATTTATTATTTTGTGACAGAGTTTCACTAAGTGAAGGCTAAATTATGGCACATGCTAGGTTTGAATTTGTGTTTCTCTCTGCCTCAGGCTCCCAGAGTCCTGAGATGAAAGGCGAGTGCTCCACACCCAGCAGAGGCATTGTAGGCATTTATTTTCCAGCTGAGAGGTGAGGCACAGAGGTGAAGTCACTTTCCTGGGCCACCCAGCTGGAAAGCTGCAGGGCTCAAATCAAATGCGGGAGAAGGTGCATCCCTAGCAGTTGGGTGGCTGCACCCAAGGCAGTGGAAGGAGCTGGGGCTGAACCCACCTTGTAGTATCTGTTGGTCGTGTTGTTCTGGAACAGCGTGATGCACTTGCAGTCCAGGCGCCAGTAGTGCCGCTTCCTCTGATGGAGACATATTTGGGACAGCGAGGGTGACACACGCATCCTGGGAGATGCCTGAGGTCCAGGCTCTCTCCAGTCAAACTCCGCCCCAACGCTGGCCCCGCCCCTGACTTTATGCTTAGCCACGCCCCACTCAGCCCGGCCGTCTCAGGTTGTATCCCGGCCTCCATTCTGGCCCCGCCCACCACTAATTCAAGCCCCGCCCCTTATCAAACAACCCTGCCCCTGCCAACTGACTCCACTCACCTGGCCCCTCTCTATAGCCCCTCTAATTTGAAGTCTTCTTCCCCTCTTCCTAACCCCCACCTAACTCTTGCCTGCATAGAACCGGTCCCACCACTTTAAGTCCCCTTCTAACCTTTGAGCCTTCTTTTAACCCCACTTTATCACTCCCCCCCCCTTAGTTGTAATTAATATAGACCTCACCCCATCTTCTCTCGCTTTAGTCCCAAACCTAACTTGGGCTTTCACCTCTATCCCTTTTTTGTTTTTTAATGTTTGTTTGCTAGTTTTTTGAGGGTAGCTCAAGGCTAGACATCAGCTCACTTTATAGCCCAGGCAAACCTCGAACCACAGTAACCCTCCTACCTCAGCCTCCCAAGTGCTGGGATTATAGGCATGCTGGCCACCACACCAGGCTTTCACCACTTCTTGGCCTTGGTCTTTTAACTTCTCTCTTGGCTCACTCTTTGGGGACGGCTCTTATTCCACACTTAAAATCGACACCTCTGATTCTAGCCCTGCCCGCCGCCCCGCCCAGATCACGCCCACTTAGAACATATATCCAGCCCCCTGCTCTAGTCCCGGGCCTCTTAGACCTCCCCTCTATCCCAATGGCCTCAGCAGGCTCACTCACCAGGGTGTCCTTGTTGCTGTAATGAACCACCCACCCCTCCCGGAGCGTGGTGCTGGATTTCCGCGTTGTGTGTCGCACTGACTGCACCACCCTCATCAGGGGAATGTAGCCCAGGGAGCTGCGGAGGGCAGAAGTGGGGATGCACAAAAGGCGTCAAATAACCGTCCTGCCTGGAGCTACAAGGTGCATCTCTGGGCTCAATTCCCAGTACAGGAAAAATATTCAGTGGCAAGAGGTCAGAGATTGTCACTTTCCACATTTCCTAGTGAGGAAGAGGTCTCTTTTTGTTTTGGCCTTTCTTTCTTTTTTTGTTTGTTCTTTTGAGACAGGGTATTGCTAGTTTGAACTCTGTAGCCCAGGCTGGCTTCAAACTTGCAGCAATCTTCCTGCCTCAGTCTCCCCAGTGTTGAGGTTACAGGTATGTGCCACAATGCCAGGCATGAAAGGGGACTCTTGAGAGATGTCTTCCACTAAGAGCTGGGTTCCTAGCCAGGTGTGGAGCTGCACACCTGTAATCCCAGTACTCTGGAAGGCTGAGGAGAACTGCAAATCTGAGCCCAGCCTAAGCAATTTAGAGAGGCTCTGTCTCTAAATAAATAAATAGGACTGGAGATGTAAATTAGTGTCAAGGCCATAGGTCAATTCCCAGAACAAAAGCAACAAAACAGTTTAAAATTTAATAAAAGGCCATAGTGGTGCATGCCTGTACATTTAGCACTGAGGAAGCTGGGGCAGGAAGATTGCAAAATGGAGGCCAGTCTGGGATACCCTCAAATTTATGAGGGTTGCCTGAGCTACATAATGAAACCTTGTCTCAAGAAAAGAAACAAAGTATTTGATGCTTTTTTAAAAAAATTATTTATTTATTTATTTATTTATTTGAGACAGTCTCACTAAGTAGTTCAGGCTGGCTTTGAGCTCACTTTGCAGCTCGAAATGGCCTTAGACTTCAGGAAATCCTCCTGCCTCAGCCTCCCCAGTGCCAACGTTACAGGTGTGCTACCATGCCTGGCCTGTGGTGCTAGTACAGATCAGTCTCAGAAACTGGGAAAATTTACAATTATAAGGTGAAGTTAGCCTATTGTGGCGATGGGGAAGTTGAGGCTTGCTATGGGGAAGAGCCTTTCCCAGGGCTCTCGGGGCATCCTGTGGGTACCTCTGAGCCTTGCCTTCTTCGCCTTCCTCCTCCTCACTGGCATGAAGGGCATTTTCAGAGTGGGATCCTGGGATGACACCGGAGTCATCTGACTCATCCATGAGGAGGGCGGTCTTGTCGGAATCATTGAAATCAGAGGCCTCCTCCATCGGCATGTCTGGGGGACAGGGGCATGTGAAGCACCTGGCCCTGCCCCTGCCCCTTCCTTCCCTCTCAAGCACTCTGGGCCTCTTACCTCCATTGATGAGCGCCTCTCCCAGACAGTCGTTAGGGACACGAGTAGCACAGCGTTTATGGCAATTAAACTTGCAGTCTGCCAGGAGGACAGGGAACAAGGGATAGTTACCTTCATTAGAAGAGTCTGGGTTTGTGATTGTTGTTTTCACTGGTCTTGTTTAGCTAAACTGAACCTGAACGTGTGATCCTCCTGCCTCAGTCTCTCAAAAGTGCTATGATTACAGGTGGATACCACCATACGTGGCCAAGAACCATTTTTGGTTGTTTTGTTATTTTATTGAGATAGTCTCACTGTGTACATAATTTAGTCTGGTCTTGAATTTACTATGTAGCTGAGGCTAGCCTCAAAGTCACAGTGATCCTCCTGCCTCAGCCTTCTGAGTGGTGGGATTATAGCCATGTGCCACCATGCTGGGATCTGAAAACCTGTATTTGAAGAATCTATGATTCTATTTCCAAGGCCTGAGTTTGATACACAATCCTCTAGAATTCCACAAATCTATGATTCTAGACTAATACTTTGGCCCTGAAGATATGCTCAGTGGCACAGGGCCTGCCTGGAAAATACAAAAAAAAAAAAAAAAAAAAAAAAATAGACTAATGCTTCTTAATGTCCAAGTTTTTAGGATTTGATATTTAAATTCTAAAATGTAGCATTCTGTGATTCTACACTTCTATGCCTCCAGAATCTGATGATTCCAAAATTTTAGAATTGTATACATCTAAGATACTAGATTTTTATATCCTTATGATTATTTAGGTCTAGCTTTCAAAGTTTGTTTAAAGTTCTGGAGGTCCAGGTTTCTAGGAGTCTAGGATTCAGTACTTCCAAGGTTGTAAGATTCTAGACTTGTAAAGCTTTCAAATGGAAGTCTCCTAGACTTTGATTATTCTCAAATTCTATGCTGCTAAAATTCTAATATTCTACTGCCTTTAAAAAATAAAATGAAGGGCCGGGGGTTTGGCTTAGTGGCGTAAGCAACCGTTTAGAAAGTGTGAGGCTGTGAGTTTGCTCCCTGGTACCAAAGTGAATAAATAAATAAATGAAATGAAATGAAATTCCAATATTCTAAAAGTCTGTAACAGTTCTAAGATTTATGGTCTAAAGTTCTGTGGTTATGTAAGCTGAATTCTATGATTCCAAAATTGAGTCCTTAGTGTACAATGTTCGCTTTACTACAGACGTAAGGAATTCCCATGGCAAGTATCTTATGGCTCTAGATGTCCAAGGTTCTAGGATTCCGGAATTCCCAAGGTTCTGGAATAGCAGGATTCAGGACACTCGCATCTCGAAGTCCTGTGCTCCTCAAGGTCAGAATCCCAGGTTCCCCAGTTCCTCCACAAGTCTAGACGGGGCCAAGGGCAAAGTTCAGACCCTGAGCTCCTCCCAGCTGGCCCGCGAACCTTTGCACTGCAGGCCCTGACGGAAGAGGCCCTTGAGGAGTTTCTTGCAAGCCTGGCAAACGGTGGGCCGAGTGTAGCTGTGGATGAGGAAGGTGTGTGGCACCTTGACCTTGGAGAGCAGCATCTTGTCCAGCTCAATGGGGCGGCCCGTGTAGAATGAGGAGGAGGAGGAGGGTGGGCGTCGAGGCAGGAGGTCCGTGGTGCTACGGCTCTGCGGGTAAGTGAGGGAGAAAGGGATGCCTGAGTGTGTTATTCAGTCCTGGACCCTGTCAGCCCCCGGCCACCAACCTGCCCCTGCCAGGTCCTCACCAGCTCCTCAGCCGTGCAGGGCAGGGACTCAGAGCTGCCAAGGCGCACTGAGTGGCCACTGGCCAGAGACGTGGAGGACAGGCGCCGCTTGCGGGCCCCGCTGCAGTTGTTGGGGATGCTGAAGGCGCAGCGTTTGTGGTAGTTCAGCCCGCAACCTGCGGGAGGCGCCAGATGGTCAAAGACACAGCCGGAGGCCCTCTTAAGCCCACACCCTTTTGAAGCTGGGCATCCAGCTCCCCTCCAGGCCTTGCCCTATCACTTACATCTCAATTCCCTCCAAAGGGAAGTCACCAATCCCAGGTCCTGTCCCTAATTCCAGTTTGCAAACCGTCCTCCCCAGGAGACCTGAATTAGGCTTTATGCCCCTCCCCTTGTCTTCCCGTGGACTTCAGCCAGGGACACCTTTGGGTCACCTCCTAGACACCAGTGCCCTGCACAAAGGGCCTGCTCCTGCTTCTGGCTCTGCCCCCACTTTCCTAACACCCTAACACTTAAGCTCTCCCCAATCTGTTCGTCGGTGATGACACCAGACTGACCAGAGGTGCACACTGATGGTCAGTTGTGTCAACTCGAGCCTACTGTGCACCTGTCCTCTGCCACACCAAGGACCCCGTGGCGGCTGCTGTGAAGGTGTTTGCAGATGGGAGTAAAATCTGCGATTAATGGGCTGCAGGGAGGGGGATTAACCGGTTAATTGCCAGGCTCAATTCCATCAACTGAGAGGCTTCCTCCCTGTGGACAGAAGCTTGGGTCTAGAAATTACTGCCTGTCTCCACGGCGGTCCAACAGACGGGGTGCGGGATTCTGTGGGTGCAGAATTTGGGAGCTGCCCGGCCCACCCCACAATCCATAAACCACTTTCTTCAGATAAATATCTTCCTGTTGGTCTCCAACTCATTCTGTCTGTGCTTGACACCTGACACAGCCGAGCCTTTTCCCAGGGCCTCATTACTTCTCCGAGCTCTTTACCTGAATCCCTGTCTCCTGCCCTGATGCCCACTTTGTGGGCTTCAACCCCAGCCCCGAGCTCCGCCCTTCCAACCCCGCCCCTTCCAGAAGCTCGACGCACAGGCCTTGACCCCGCCCCAGACCCACCCGAGGCTCCGCCCCCATCCTCTTTCCCTTCTCCCTCACCATCGCACTTGAGGCCCTGGCGCACCAGGCCGAAGAGCATCTCCCCGCAGTGGTCGCAGAAGGCAGGTGCGCGATAGGAGTGCACCGTAAGCGCGTGCGGTCGGATCTGGAAGTCCTCAAAGGTGGCAGAGGCTGCAGGCAGCAGGGGGAGACGCTGTTGCCCACCAGCATTCCTAGATTTCACACAGGCCACCCCTGTGCAAGCTGCGCCCTGCCCATTCTTCCCCCTCTTCCCACAGTACGCTGCATCCCCAACAACTGCAGCGGGGCCCGCAAGCGGCGCCTGTCCTCCACGTCTCTGGCCAGTGGCCACTCAGTGCGCCTTGGCAGCTCTGAGTCCCTGTCCTGCACGGCTGAGGAGCTGGTGAGGACCTGGCAGGGGCAGGTTGGTGGCCGGGGGCTGACAGGGTCCAGGACTGAGTAACACACTCAGGCGTCCCTTTCTCCCTCACTGACCTCAAATCCCAGCTGCACCAATGAACAAAACACCACAGCAACCTGCCTTCCCCGAGGCTGCCGCAGAGGGTAGCGCGGGCATAGCCGTTTAGTGGTACAGGGCTTCGTTTCTGCCAGGTGAGAGCACTTCCAGGGGTTGATGGTATTGTAATATGTGCTTAACACAACCTGAAAAGCCTTGTGATGCCAAGTTTTATGTTACACAGGCTTTACTGCAACTACAAATTTAAAATCCTAATCCAGTTGAGGCTGAGCTGGCTGTAGCTCGGTGGTGCAGCGCTTTCCTAGTATGTGCAGTTCCCAGGGTTCCATCCTCAGCACCACAAAAGGGGGGAAAGGTGGGGGAGGGGGAGTCAGGCATGGTGGTGTAATCCCCTGTAATCCCACACTCCGAAGGCTGAGGCAGGAGGATCACTGTGAGTTAGAGGCCAACCTGGGCTACATAAGTGAGTTCAAGGTCAGCCTGAACTACACAGTGAGACTTTGTCTCAAAACAAAACAAGGTAAAGCAACTCAGCATTGTCTTATAGATTCCTCAAGGGTTAAATGCATTAATATGTGCAAAGCTCTTAAAACAGTGCCCTTACATGGAAAGTGCCCAGTAAATATTTGCTCTCCTTTTATTTGTTCTGTTGTTGTTTCTGTGGCACTAGGGATTGAATCAGGGCCTGGCACAGGTTAGACAAGCTCCCTACCACTGAGCTACACTCCCAGCCCCAAGGTTTTTGTTTTGTTTTGTAGCGGGAATTGAACTCAGGACCTCATGTTTGCCAGGCAGGCACTGCACCACTGAACTATATGCCTGGCACCAAGCTCTTAAGTTTCATTCTCGGACTACAGCCTCTCACCTAAGAACTGCCCTCCCCTTCAGTCCAATATTAAGCTATTCCTTTTACCATTATGCAACAGAGAGGACTCTGTTCTATATGCCAAGGACTGTTTACACGTTTAGGTTCAGGCCAGGGACAAGGCAGTTTTGGGGCGACAGATGAGAAATGTAAGCATGGAAATGGACAAGGACATTTCAGAAAATGCCCCCCCCCCCCGTGTTTTAACAACAATGCATCAGTGTGATAGCATAGAATACAGAGAGGTGACAGCCCTGCATGGGGTGATCGGGAAGGTGAGGAGGAAATGATCCAGATGGAGAGCAGACTGAGTGCAAAGAGCTGAGCAGGGAGGGAGCTGGTGTGTGGAAGGGACAGAGAGCAGCTGGCACACAGCTGGGATTGAATGAGGACTTCAGGGACCTGGCAGAGGCCTTGCCACAGATGTCCCTGAAGCCATGCTAAGGAGTTTCTATTTTATTCCCCCTGTACTAGGGAGCTAGGGAAGCATTTTGAGCCACGGAGTGTCATAATGTGACTTATTTGATTTCTTAATAGTCTAAGCTGGACATGATGGTGGCTTGGACCGTGGGGGTGGCAGGACACAGATTCAGGACATGGGTTCACAAAAGGGCCAGTAGGTTTGCTGAGGGATCAAATGAGGAGCTGGGAGGAGAGAAGAAGAGGAACAAAGGAGGTCTGGGGTTCAGTTCGAGGCCTGCCCACCTGGGTGAACAGTCCTGTCTTTCATTGGCCAGGATAAAGAGGACTGCAGGCAGGCAGAGTAAGTTCAGACGGGGACCCCAAGGCTCTGTCCTGGGCTGCAGGAGGGCTCCACAGCACAACACCTGCCTAGCCTGTGCACGAGTCAGGATTCCCTTCCCAGCACCATGAGAGCTCTGTCCTGTTAGGGCCAGATCTGAGACTCCTACTGGATACCAAGTGCTTCACAAGTGTCTGGGAGACACCTACACAATCAAGATTTAGGTTGAAGAGGGAGACCGAGGCGAGGATATTTAAAAGCTACCACTTTAGAAAAGGGTATTTGATGCCTGAGTAAGTTACCCAAGGTGCAAATGGAAACTTCTAGTTGTCATTTGCCCATTGGACACACTTTGCTGAGCACTAGTGTGTTGCGGGTGGGGGGGACACAACATGAGGAAGGCAGAACCCCCCACTTAAGAAGGACTCGAAACTCAGAGTCAACTGGGGAGCTTTTAAAACTATGGAGGATGGTACCTCATTTCATCTTGCAAAGATGTGGACTTCACCAGCATTTCCGTGGGAGGAGGCACAGATGTCAAAACATTTGTAACTTTCTTTTAAAAAAAAAAAAAAGCACTAGAGATTGAACCCAGGGCTTTTGCCTGAGCTGTGTCCCCAGCCATTTTTATCTATTTTGACGGAGAGTTTTGATAAACTGCACATACCAAGGCTCAGGCTAGCGATCCTCCTGCCTCAGCCTCCCAAAGTGCTAGGATTACAAACCTGGCCACCATGGCCTGCTACATTTGTAACCTCATATTCAAGTATAACTAACAGATCCAACATGATGTTCTGAAAATGACACATATCAGAAGTGCACAGCCCAGTGAAGCAAGACCCTGTCTCAAAATAAAAAAGTCAAACAGGGCTGGGGATATAGTTCAGTACCACAAAGGTCTTGGGTTCAGTCCTTAGTACCACAAAAATATTCCCCTCACCCAGTCTCTGTTTTGGCCAAAGGATCCACTTTCCTAACACCACACAGAATAATTACGTCTGTCCTTGTGCTTTTATGCAAGATCTTACAGTGCGGAGGCTGGTGTCTAGACCTCTCTCTCAGCATTATGTCCAGGAGCCGATCCAGGTTGCCGTGGACAATTCGTGCCCAGCGCTGGCACTCACAGTGCCACTGTGGGAACAGCCATACACATCTATCCGGTGGGCAAAGGCAGGCGCTGGGAGCCCTCCCAGCAGATTATACTTTGCGGAGGCCGCACAGAAGTGCATTGCTGAGTCCAGTGTACCCCATCCCACCTCCTCCAGAGGCCCCGCCCCATCCGAGGCCCGCCCCTAGGCCAGCCTCCGCCTCTCACCAGACAGTACCACCTCCACCAGATCGCCCTCCTGGATGTCCCCGGCCGAGCGCACCAGCTGCAGGAGGTTGGCCGACGTGGGGTCATGTTTGAAGAGCAGGATTTTGTCATAAAGGCCATAGAAGCCACACTCCGGGAACTAAGGGGCGGTAGAGGGAGGTGGCGTCGGAAAAACTCAGAGCTGCCTGTACCAGAGAGCTGGAACCCTCCCAGGGCAGGGCCGGCTGTTTCCCCCGGAAACTCAGGGGACCCCGCAGGCCCGCCCCACTTCCTGCCTGCCGATCCTAACCCAGCACGAGCAAGACAGGATGCGGGGGCCCAGGTGTGCGGGGAGGGAGCGATTGCCCGAGTCTGGTGGCTGCAAGGGGCAAGACTGGCAGGGAGGGGGGTGTCAGTAGCTCCGGGAACTGGATACCTCGAATTTTCCAGGACTCTAGGAGCCTGAATGCGCACCCCTCCCCACATGGCCACTACTCCCATCCCAGCTTCCTTCCTGGATCTATTGTTGTCGAGCCATCTGGCTCGAGGCCCAGTATTGGTGCAGAGCAAGCTGGAAGGACGGGTGGGCTGGGTCTCAGCCAGAGGTAGGGACATTGCCCCTCACTCCATGCTGACAGGACCCAGGTGTCCTGGCCCGTCAGCGGGGAGAGGGTGTCAGGAAATGAAACCTGGCAGAACAGAAAGTGAAACTGCCCAGGTGGGGCCTCGGGAAGGCAGGCAAGCAGAGGCCCTAAAGCACCTGGACCAGGAGGGCAGAAAGATAAAAACGGGCTGAGGTCTGAGGCGGGCTGGGGATTTCAGCTGTTGGACAATTTCACCCAAAGGCTGATGTGCCCCAGCCCAGCCTGGCTTCTACAGAGAGGCTGAGAGGGGTTGGGGGTCCTGCCGGATAGATTTGGGAGCTTGGTTCACTAAACTCTGTTCTCCACAGAAAGTCAGGAAAATCTTGGCTTTGGCCTTCTGAAAGATCTTGCTCTAAACTCGTTTCCTCCTCTATGAAATGGGGAGTTGGACCAGTTCCCAACATGTCTCTGAAACCCACAGGATTCGTTTTCTGGGGTCTGAGAAAATTCTGGGATTTGAATATTTTAAGATTCCAAGATGCTCACATAGTATTATTCTAGATTCCAACATACAGTCATACATTTTAGGATTTCAAAGACCTAGATAAGCAGTAATCTCTTAGTTTTTATGTTCTAGAACTGACAAATTAGGCTCCTAATCTTTGAGTATCTTAGCATTAGAGGTCATCCCAGCCTCCCAAAATTCTAACATCTCAGCATTCTGAGAATTCCCAGGGATTCTAAACTTTTAATATTTGACTATTTCAACAAGTTACAATTCTAGCATTTGAACACTTTAATGTTTGAGGAATTCAATTAGCTACAATACATCTTTCAACTACTTCGGATTCAACAATTCTAATTAATTTTTAGTCTGGTATTCCAACAACACACAAATTCACAATTCTAACTTTTAACATTCTAGGGTCAAGCATCCAGGTCTGCCAGCTGCCACATGCCATGATCTAAGAGGCTCCCACCCTGGGGACCCTGGGCAGATGGACTGCAATTAGAAGGGGGATAGAGTCCTCAGGGCCTCTGGGGGTGAATAAGGGGGTGGAAGAGGCAGGGATTGGGGAGTGAGACCTTACTTGCCCTGGCTGCTTGTGTACAAGCCCACACTCACACATGTCACCCGATCACCATGGCCAGGTCAGCTTCAATTTCTGTTTCCACCAAATGGGAGGCCTGGGATGGGCCTGAACAGGGAGGTCCCCCATATCTGCTGCCTCTACCTGGCCCTTTCTCTCCACTTTACACCTAGCAGGCACCTCCCTTGCTCTCTGCTAGCTGCAGAAACCAACAACATGCAAGGACATGTAATTTGGGGAGGCCTCTGTAGCACCCCGCCCCTGCAGGGGCCTCCCTCAAATGAGTGATGGCCTGAGGAGAAATGGGGGCCAATGCTTCCAAATTGCCCAGTTGCCCTCCCTCCCTTCCCAAAGGTCAGGCCTAAGGCTGCCTCTATCAGGCCCCTCCTGGGATCTGTCCCCAGGCCAGATGGGGAGCCCAAGGCGCTTACCTTCTGGTCCACGATGGAACAAGCTAGCTGCTTCACATGGGCCAACTCAGAGGCAGCCGGCAACAGCACGAACTCACGGGTCAGGCCGATCTGAATGTGGAAGGAGATCCCGGGAGCAGGGGCCTGGGGCACCAGGGCCTGCGGTGGCGAGTGTAGCTCCAAGCCGCCGGCGGAGAGAGGGGACCCCGGTCTCGGAGAGCACGGGAGCCCGGCGGCGTGGGAAGGGGCGGCGGCCATTGGGGCAGGCCTGGCCCCACAGCCCGGCGGCCACCCGAAATCCGGCTGCAGGAGCCCTGGGAACCCGCGTCTTCGAGATGAACGAAGGAGCCTGTGGGGTGGTGGAAGGAGCGCAGGGGTCCGCGGAGAGAAAGCCGGCAGGTTGAGGGACCGAGGATGGCAAGGATCCTAGGAAACAAGAGAAAAGGACTCCAGTGGATCACACATTTGGAATCAAGGGATCACAGATCAGAAAGGAGAAAGGGATGGTTTGGAAACCCAACAATTGCGAGATTCCAAGAAATCATAGGAAAATCTAGTAAGTCAGGTTTTCAGGGAGCAAGAGACCCCGCAATTCAAAGGTCCTTGGACAGAGAAGGGATCGGATGAGAGGGGAGCAGTGGGACCCCAGAATTCATTGGTTCAAAGACCAAGATTTGACAAAGGGGCCCGAGGAATTCGCCACCTTGGGGGCGGAGAACCAAAGTCCCTGTTGGGAATCAAGTGGATCCCACGGATCTTCCCGGCTGAGGGATGCACAGAGAGGTCCCCAGAGCCAGGGTAGATGGGAGGGAATTTCTCGGGTCACCGAAGTTGGAGAAAAGTTAGGTCAGAAGCCGCGAGGCAGGGGGCGTTACCGGAGGCGGGGTGGGATGGGGAGCAAGGGTGGTCGCACAGCGTAGGTGGCTCTTTTTTCCCCTTCAAAGTTTAAGTCCGCGGCGGCGGCCCAGAAGGAAGTGTCCGGAACGACTGCGCAGTCGGCCAATCGGCGCGGGCCTTGGTGACGCCGAGAAGGGCGGTGCCTGCCAAGAGGCCGGGGCGGAAGGCGAGGGAGGACCCAGCGCCTGGAGTTGGGGGCGGGACCTCCCCCATCGCATGGAGGGCCCCTGGGGGGCAGATCGGTGTCAAACTTGCTGGTCAAGTCCTCCTCAGACTGGGAAGTTAACTTTTCTCCCTGAGCTGACCCACTGCAGGGCGCGGGGATGGGGTTAGCAGGCACTTGGTCCTCCACGGAGGGAGCAGTCTCGGCTAGCCTGCATCCGGCGCCCACCCCAGGCGAGGGTCGGAAGTTGGATGTCAGGTCCGGCCCGCTTTCCGGGCTCGGTCTCCCTGTCCCTGGACTTCGGGCCAGCCTGGGGGTGGGGGTGCTGTCGCGCACGCCCACCTATTCCACAGATGGAAAGGGAGAGGCGCCACGTCGCCTCAGGGCTGTCCCCAGCCCCCGGGCAAGATACACGGAGCCGGCTGGAGGGCAGACGTAGGGGGATGATTTCCTTGCACAAGCCCGCAGGGTCTTGAGAGTGCCAGAGGCCTGGGGGAGACCACACACCAGTGTCCCTTCTCAGATGTTGAACTGACTCTCCTGGGACCATTTCCCTCCTGCAAGCCTCAGTCTGCCCACTGTTAGATGGCACTGAATAGGGCTGATCGCAGGGGTCTGTGGGACTGATGACTTGATATGGGGACACCCAGAACACAGCTCGAGTTCAGTAAATGGTGGCTGTTGCTCTTGATCTGCAGAGGTTTGGGTGGGTTTGTTCATCAGTTGTGACCCAGCAGATGCTGAGGACCTGCTTGCTGGGTGGGCACTGTCCAGCCCCCAGCTAGTGCTCCCGCTTCATTTATACACTAAGAGCCCAGGCCTGGGACAGGAATGACTGGCCCAGGATCCACCCCTGGGGCTAGGGTGGAGGCGGCAGCAGGATCCACACACACCATAGAGGGCGGCTAGGGGCCACTGAGGTCGGTACAGTGTCGATTCTGTCACCACATCCGGGGGCTGGGGTGGGGAAGGAAGTCTGAGGCTGAAGCGAAAACCCAAACCACCACCTGGGGAAGCTGCACAGCCAAGGTAGGAGGGGAGCAAGGCCACGGGGGGTCCACTGCCTGGCTCCAGGCCCTGCCACCTACACCACCTTCCCAAATGCAGCTCACACTACGGATCTCCAGTCCTTCAAGTATTCTGGAGGGGCCGGGGGCCAGGAGAGTGTTCGCATCACCAGTTTATCACAGAGGGACTGGGAGAAGGTGGAGGCCTCAAAGTAGGCTGAGGGCGGGGACAGTACGCCAACTTCGACCTGCAGATGCCAATCGAGAGCAACCCCTGCTGCTCTGCATTTGCTGAGGTTGTCAGCACTGTGAACAGGCACTGGGCTGCACTCAGCCTGGCTTCTCCTAAGCACAGAGTAACTTCTAACTACCAAAGTGGAAAAGGAGGGTTTGAGGCGCTCTTATGTGCTCAGGGACCCTCCTGGCAGGGGTGGCAGGCCACTTTCTCTTCCTGCTCTAAGGGGCAGGGTGTGGGGTGCAACAGGGTGGGCAAGGACTCAGTTCCTGACACAAGCTACCACATGCTTCAGCTGAACTGTCCCATCACAGCATTGGCTTGCCAGACTTGTCCCTGGGGACAGTGTACTTCGGGACAAAAAGGAGGGGCACAGGAGATTCGGCCCTGTGCTCAGCTTCCGCCTCTTCACCCACACCCACCAAACTCTAGGCCCCCCTCTGCACACCCCCTCAAACCTCAAGCCTATCATATCCCTTCTCAAACGCAATGTAGCTTAAGAGGCAGTGACTGCTCCTAAAAAGTCACCATCCCCTCAAAAGATGGCACGGGCACCACCTTACTCCAAAGGGTTTATTAAGACAAGTTTCCACGTACAAGTTCAGGGCAGAGGGTGGCTTATAAACAGGAACCTCAAAGGGCAGTAAAGGGCTTGGGCACAGGGTGAGACCCAAATGAAGAGTGAAATAAATAGAGGCAAAATGTGGAGCCAGGAGGGGACAGACGAGGACTATCACACAGTGATAACGTGGGGGAGGGGTGCCATTAAAATCCCATTCATTTATACAGATATACAGGGAGCTACATAGGGCTCTCACTTTACCCCCAAGCCTCAGGGAAGGGCACCCTGGGAGTCTGGGGGCACAGCCTTGGCCCTGGAGGTTAGTGTCTAGAAAGCAGTGGAGAGGTGAAGAGGTGGGCCAAGCAGGCTCCCACTGCTACAAGGATCCACGAGGAGGAGGGGCATCAGGAGACCCTCCCAGCACAGCTCCCACAGGCCAGGGGGTGGGGGTCAAGGGGAGAACCTGGCACCTTCTGGCATCTTGGAAAAACTGATCCCCGAAGACTCCTGCCCTGGCTGAGCTGCACGTGAGAGGACAGCTGGTGCAGGAATGGGTATTTGAGGCCCCCAGCAGCAATTCCTGCAGGGCCCATCCCCAGGCCAGTGTATGGGGACAAGAGCTGCAGGAGGCCGTTCCTGGGACAGGGTCCTTAGTTAGCACCACCAGGCTCCACAGCAGGTGGAGAGAGGCCATCTCGAACCTCCAAGTGAGGCTGCAGCCACCTGTGGGAGACAGAGGAGATTGGACCACCACCCTGAGGGCCTCTCCTCAGGATCAGCCTCCCTTCTGTGACCCAGGGCAACCCTAGTCATTTTCATAGGACTGTGGGGCTTGGCACCTGAGTACCAGGCAGAAGGGAATACAGGCCCTCACCTCAGCCCCATCTGCCTGGCCCTGCTCCTCAGCCAGTGTGGTGGCCAGGGCAGGCCAGGTAGGTATCATACGAAGACCTTGGCCAGGGCGTCGGCACCAGCGCTGGCAATAAGGGCCTTGCTGGGGTGGCAGGCGACAGCATGGATGGCCTCCTCATGCTTCTTGCGATGGGCTGTGATCTCCTGTACGCAGGTCTTGTTGTCCAGGCTCCACAGGCGCAGGGAGCAGTCATGGCCTAGGGGGGCAGGGAACTGTCACTGAGGTCCTCACATACCCAGCTCTTGAACCCCTCACTTGGCCTCATCCGGACACCTTGGTGAGAGTTAAGACTTGAGCCCCTTCCTTCCTTTTCTCTGCAGAAGGGACAGCCCTTCTGTCCCCACCCTGTCAAACATCCATCCATCTAGCTACAAACTATTCACTGAGCACCACTGTGTATGAGGCCCTGGAAGGCGCACTCAACAAAACAGGGCCCTATGGAGGCTGCAGCGGGAGAAAAGGAGCAAGAAAACACCCAACAGGGCCACGCTGTGGTTCAGAGGCACAGCACTTGCTTAGCAGTTCAAGACCTGGGATCCATCCCCAGCACCACAAACAAGAGGGAAGGGGTCAGGGTGATGGCGTACGCTGGCCACCCCAGAACACACTGACCACCTGGCTCAGGCTCCAGGGCCAGGCTGACATGAGGACTCTAGTCCCTGCCCCAAGCATCACAGCTCCCAGATCAAGCTCAGCCTTGTTTCTCTGATGGTCCCTTCACACCCTCTGCAAAGACAGCTGCTGCCATTACCCAGCAGCTAGAGAACAAGATCTGGGGCTAAGCTATTCAACCACCAAGCCATCCCCAGCCTCTGCCACCATGTTCCCACCCCTATCACATAGGACACACGCTCACATGCCACCATCACTGCCATAGGTCTCACAGAGGTCTGATACCAAGAGGCAGTGTGGATGGGTGCAGGCTTCAACCTTCAGCAGAGCCCAGCCACCCCAAATCTGGTTGCTTGCCCTTAGCCAGAGCTCAAATCCTCGTGAATATCCAGTTTTGCACCCCATGGTGATATATAGCCAATCTCCAACACTCCGTAGCCCCACAGCCTGTCTGTCCAGTGGGGATAAACCACTCAGCTTCCAAGGCTACTCAGAAGAGGAACAAGGTGAAGGAGACATGTGCCTTAGTGGGTTCAGAGCACAGGGCTGTGCTGTAACCACTGCTGTGACCACCATCACTTCTGCCCCTGCTGGGCCCCAGCCCCAAGGATGTCTTGGAGCATATGCCCATAACTGAAGCCCAGCTCTCCTCCCTGTCCCCTTCTTCCCACCCTGGGGGGAAGAGACCACCAAGAGAGATCAGCTTACTTCCTGACATTAGGAACACGCCATTGGGGTCCACAGCTAGGCAGGTGACTGCATCCAGGTGGGCAACCATGGAGTGCACCGATTTACCTAAAGAAGAGAGAGTAGTGGCAGGTCACCTGCCCACTCTGGGCCTTACCTGGCAGGTGAGGGGCTGGAAGATGCTCTGAGAGGAGACTCTGTGACTACCAGGTTCCACCTGCCCACAGCCCAGCCAAGTGTGAGGCCTTACCTGTCCGATTGTCCAGGAAGCGGATGCCCCTGTCATCATGGGCAGTGATGGTAAGGGGCTGGTTCGGGTGACTCACCACTTGGTTGATCTGGCTTGGGCCTGGGAGGAAAAGGGGACAGAGGGAAGCTCAAGGAGACATCAGGAAGACTAAGACAGAGAGCCAAGAGTGTGGCACCAACACCTCATTCCTACATCTCTGCCTGGAGGCCATGGGAGCCAGACCCACTCCTGGGCCACACTACTGTTTCTGCAGAGCACTGGACAGGAAACACCATGTCTACTCACCCAAGTGTCCATATCCATGACTTGATCCCTAGCCTCCTCTCAGTCCCATTTATCAGCCACCCAAGCCTCCACTGAACTTAATTTCTTTGCTACTTGGGCCTAGGAAGGCCCAGGAGAGTCATCCTGCCCTAACTATCCCCAAAGACAGGGGAGGAATGGAAACTCATCAGGCATTCAGGCCTCAATCCCACTGGCCTGCCCTGTCCTCCCTTACCGCTGCTCCCTCGGGACTCCAGCATGAGGAGGGCACTGCCAGCCTCTAGGTCATACAGGATGGTGTCGCCAGAGCGGAAGGAGACCACAACGTGGGCAGGCTCGGTGCTGGTGAAGGCCACTGAAGTGGGGACCCCGTGTTCTGAGGACAGAGGGGAGCAGGCTGTCCCACCGCCTGGCCCTGCCCTGGGGCTGGGGCCTCCTCAGCACCCACCCCTTCTGTCCCTTGCTTATGAGGCACTGGGCCCTGCTCACCGCTGGCTGTGGGGAAGGTACAAAGGCAAGCTGGGCTGCTGCTGGGGTCCCAAATGCGCACGGTGCCATCAGCAGAGCAGGAGGCCAGGCGCTGGCAGGTGGGACTGAAGGCCAAGCCCCACACGGCATCCCCATGGCCCTCCAAGACGTGGCTCAAGACACTGGGGTCTGGGTCGGTCCAGGGAGGAAATGGGCTGTTAGGACTGCAGGCTCCGAGACAGCCCAAAGCTAGACCAGGTGGCTGGGCCGAGGCAGCCCTCAGGGGCTTCATGCCAAAGCCTGGCCTCCAACTGTCCACCCCGAGGACCTGCACTATATGGCTGCTCACACTGACTGACCACTAGATCTTCTGGGCAGCAACCGGCTTTGAGGTCTCCTCAGACTTTAGGAGCCCGGGATTCCCTAGTCACTGCTGTCTCCGCAGGGCCCAGAAACCAACTGTTCAGTGGGAACGCTGGGACTCCAAGTCCCTGACGGCCTGGCAGGGAGCACTTGCAACCTCTGGTCACATCAGGAGCCTTCTTTGCCTGAGCTTTGGGTGGGCCAGACCCAGGACCTGGTTTTTCCATAGCTGGCTGCTGCAAAGCCCCACCACTGCCTCCAAGCCATCAATTCAACACTGGTGCCCCTGGCTAAGCCTGCTGACACCTAGAGTGTGGTAGCTCCCCTGGCTGGGTCTGACCCTTGACTTTACACAGGATGATTCTTCAGTGGAAAACAGTACAGTCTCACTGATGGAAGGCACAGAGTTCTGGACTCTCCTGAGACGACGTATAGCTCAGGGACATGTGTAAGAGCATATAGGCGACAGGGTTGTCCTCACCGTAACCATCATAGGGATCCATATTGAGGTCTGGAATCTTCCAGCTGTGGATTCGGGCATCAGCGCCACCACTGTAGCAGTATTCGCTATTGGTGCCCACAGCCACTGCCAGCACAGGGCCCCTGTAGTGCGAGGGTAGGTAAGAGAAGGTGGGCGACAAGCCAAGCCTGCCTCTGCTGGTCTCACCAGTATTCTTCAAGGATAGTTAAAAGAGTTCAACAGGTGGGGTCTGGCTATGCACCTTGGCCCCACCTGTCTTCAACGTGTGAACCCAACTGGACCCAGAAGTAAGGAGATTTGTAGAGGGATGCCAACACAAAGTGGGGTCTCCTGGGCCTAGGAGGTGGTCAGGGTCACATAATGTGGCTGAATACAGTTCCTGGCAGGTACGGACAACACCTACCTGTGACCCCGGAAGGCGTGGATCGGTTCCACGTCCAGAGCGGCATTCCTGTTGGAGACAGAGAAGCTGGATATCACTGAGATGCCCAGGCTAGGCCCACCCTGCCACACAGCTGTCTTCATGCCCTCACTTCTTGGCCGTGACTGCCTTCTGCAGGTTCCAGAGCTTGAGAGTGCCGTCCTCAGAGGCAGTGAGAAGCGCCGATTGGCTGTGATGAAAAGCCAGGGAGCGGATGCCATCGTAGTGTGAGCGGAGGGTGAACTTGGAGTTCCACGTCTTCTTGAAGGCATCTTTGCTGTCAGACAGCTGAGGGGAGGAGGGCTGCTTCAGCGTCCCTGTCACCCTGGCAGTCACATAGACACTGACTCTGAGCCTCACGACATCTCTCACCCACCCAGACTGTGGCTCCGGCCCTGATGCTCCTCTTCCCATGTGGTTGGTGGGGTCCCTGTGCCCACTCATTAAGTTCCTACAGGGTGTCAAAGTCTGGGCCTCAACCTTGCCTCTCGCAGTTACGGAATTTTGGGGAGAGACAAGCAGATCCTAAGTGCATAAGATCATGAACTCCAAACAGTGTTATGAGTGAAGATGCATGGAACAGGGCACCAGGCAGCCTGGCTCCTCTGTAGAGCCAATGGCTCTCCTGAGGCAATAACAAGGGAGCAAAACTTAATCTGAAGCAGAGAAGGAAGCAGCATGTGCAGAGGCCCTGAAACAGGAGACAGCAGGGGCACGGGCCAGGTTCTGACAGACAGGGGTAACTGGGATGCATAGTCTGGAAAGCAGCAGATGAGGCCAGAATGGTCTACAGAAAATTGAGCGATGTTCAGAGGAGAGGACTGACAGAGGTGGCTCTAGTCACCCCAGGAGGCCTAGGTTAGAAGAAAGAGCAGCAGATAGGATAAGAGGTCATGCAGCCCAGGAGAGAGGAGGACATCAAGATCAGACACCTGGCTGCAGAGAGGAGCAGGTGAATGGGGAGATCTGGGAACACACCAACAGCCTCTGCAGGAGTCCCTAAAGTCCTGCACAGCCCTGGCAGAACCCAGTGGCTGAGTGGGAACCCAGGAAGGATGGGCTTTTGAGACACAACGAGACTGTCAGGTAGGCCCCTATGCCCTGTCCAAAATGGGCTTCACACTGGATGAACCCCGTTTTCTGGACTGAGGGCACTTCAAGCTCCAACCTCAGATACCATTCATGCCACAGAAATTTGGAGCCAGAGATCTGTGGCTGTGTGGCTCCCCTGCTGCTTCCATACTCCCCAGGGGATGACATCTGGGGTACATGGAAGACCCCATGGCACAGCACTCCAGGCTCAGACCCTGTGCTCACCTCACTTCCACTCTGCATCCCACCACCACCTGAGATTCTGTTCTTCCCGGGAAAACACACACGCATGCCTATCCGAGGGTCCTGGCCACAGGGTCCCTTCACTACAGCCAACTACCCCATTTGTGCCAGACTGGCCTGACCTGGGGGAGCTCTGGCTTGAGGCCCCATATCACCAGAGGTGGGAGAGCTGCTAACAGGGGAAACCGATACTGTAAGGCTCTGCACCTCCAGGACTATGACCAGCTCCTTTCACTGTCTGCTTTGCAACCAGCTGTAAAATGGGGTTGGCAGGAAGAGTCACCTCCTAGGGCTGTGGAACAAGCTCACATAGCCATGAGAGGGACTGAGCCTAAACCTGGTCAGAGACTGCCAAGGGCCAGCAAGTTGAGATGCCCAAGGGAGAGCACCCCAAGAACTTACATCACAGCTGAGGTCGTTGTCGTTGGTGACGGTGAGATCTGCCAAGTCCCCCAGGCTCACCTCCCCGCCCCCGATAGTGTCCATGATGAATACGTCTGAGGAGAAGCCAAAGGAACCTGGTAGGGGGAGGGGAGGGAGGGGCAGAAAGGGCCAGGGAGAGAGAGAAGCAGAGAGAGGCAGAGAGGGAGATAAGAAGCAAGAAAGAGAGGGAAGAGGACGAGACCAAGAATCACAGCTGGAAAGGAAGAGACAGAGACAGAGACAGACAGGGCAGGACAGACAAAAGAGGGAGACAGAGACAGACAGACGAACTTTTGGGACAAGGGAGGCTGCAGATTGGAGGCTGGGCCTTGCCCCCGAGGACACAGAAGCCTGGGTTTAGCTCTGCAGCCTCCTCTGCCATGGACCCAAGGGCCTGGGTATGGGGTTACCTTCATGGGGCCGGGGCTGGGGTGTGCCAGGCGATGGGCCTGTCACTTTAGGGGGCAGCCCATCCACGTCCCGAAGGTCAGCCAGAATTCCCTGGAGTTTGACTCGGCGGCTCTCTGCAGGGATGACACACAAAACAGGAGTTGCCTACCAGTCCCAACCCAGCCTTGTGGGGCTCTCACCTCCCCCAAGCAGCAGGCCTGGCTGCAACTGTGAGAGGGTGAGAAACAAAGGAAACTGAGGCAGGCAGGGACTCTATGAGGTGGTATGTCCCTGCCCTGGCCTCAGTTCCACCCACCCACTCAATGTGACCTAAAGGCTCCCCTGGAGAGGTCATAGCACAAGGAAAAGGATGTACCCTCCCCTACCTGCCTCTCCCCACCAGGCCCTTATCCTGTTCCCTCCTTGAGCTTGACCAGAACTGACAGCCTGCTGAGAAGCCTGTGGCTCGGCCTCAGGAAGAGCTGAGTAGCCTGTAGCCCAGGGACTTTCCAGGGAAGGGTGAGGGAATGGCAATCAGCTGGGCCTCCAGGCTCTTCAGGCCTCTGCTCTCGGGAAACATCCATCCGGTGAGCAGACTTGGGCAGGAAGCAGCTGCAGGGGCTGCCTGTGCAAGGGGAGAACCTGGGCCCACCCCCACCCTCAGGGAGGAAGGCCAGACAGCCAACTCACCCAGCTCATGGGGGTTCCCCTCAGTGGCACAGCGCCGAGGGCCTGGAGACCCCTCCCCATCCTCTCCTGAGCCCAGGAAATCAAACTCGTTGATGGCATCCTCGGAGTCGTCCTCCTCATCCTCATCCTCCATCTCAGGCACGAGGGCCTTGGATGGGAGCTAGGGTATGGACCAGATCAGATAGGGGCTCATGTCCAGGCACCAAGACCACTTAGTGTCAGCCCTAAGAACAGAAAAGCTAGGGTTTCTGCCCTCTTTTGCCTTCCTCAGACCCTTTTTGCCTTGGCTACTAGCTAGTTGCCCTTGAGTGACAGCTGGGCCTGTGGTGCACACCACATTGGGAACCTCCCAAAGGGGTCAGTGATGGGGTTGGGGCTGCCTCCTCAGCCAGGCTTTGAAGACTCCTTGGGCTATGGACTCTACTGAGACCACTTTGTCCTCCAACACATGCTTCTCAGAAAGTGTCAGGTAATACGGTGAGGGAATAAGGTGGATCATGTGTGCATGTAGATACAAGTTAACAGGTGAAAGAACAGAGCCACTAGGCCAGCAGTAATGAGAACAGTGAAAGTGGCCACCCTGCACCAGTCACCATGCCTATGCAAGAGCAACTGATACCAGCAGGATGAGCTTTACACACTGCTTTCACCCTGACCCCCAGGCCTGTGAGCAACCACTAACATTCCTGCAGGGATTGGCCTGACTCGTGGTTAAGCGACCCAGCAAGAGTAAAGGACCCTCTCACTCCAAGTCACTAAGTGTCAACCAGCATCTCGGCCAGGACAGCTCTGAGTCCTCTGAGCCGACTGGCCCCTCAGCAAGGCAGGCCCCGAGCTCAGTCTGGAGACACCAGATTTTCTGGTTCTCAGAAGGCCAGCCTCAGGCCTGCAGAGGGGATCAGAGGAGTGGGACAGAAGCCCTGGTCAAGGTTTAGACTGCAGCACATCCGGCGAGGTCCTGGCTAGGGTCGGAGTTCTGAGAGGGGAAGGGTCATGGGAGCCATGCAGAGTGCATAAGCAGCCCATCCGACTGCACTCCTAATGCTGGCTGACATGTGACACCTGGTGGGCTGTAGCAGGGCAGCAGGGAAGCCGTGGCACAGCAAAGCACTTGCTACACACACACACACACACACACACACACACACACACACACACATTTTCATCAAGTCCTCCAGCCAGAGCCAGGGGGCCTTGGTGTAGGGCCATGTCCTCAGTCATGTTGCCATGCAGCGGCCCAGCCAGAAACACTACAGGTCTCCTACCATCTGGGTACATAACTAAGCCACAGAAGGTCTGCTGTGTGCAGAAGCCTAGGAGACTCCTTCCCATGAGCCAGCTCAAGGGACTCAGGGGACAAGTACAGTGACAACTGCAAAGGTCTAGGAAATACCAAAAAGCCAATGATCACGGTGTAGTGACAAGCCTGTAATCCCAGTACTCAGAAGGCTGAGACAGAAGGAACACTGTGGGATCAAGGCCAGCCTGGGTTAGGGTTAAGGCCAGTTTCCCACAGGAACACATAGTGAAAAAAAAAGTAAAAATACCAAAAAGCAGGAGGGACCACGATTCAAGGCCAGGGAGCAAAGTGAGAGGCCTGACTCAAACACCTGGGTTTCCACTAATCCTCTTCTAGGGCTTGACCCAAAGGCCTTATGGGGCAGGACCCTGAGCTAAGGGCAGGACCCTAAGCCAGGTGTGAGCATGCTGGAGAGAGACTAGAGAGGAGGGGCATAGAGTCACCACCAATGCAGTCACAACTGGGAAAGGGGGGTCCACAGTGAATTAGGGAAGGCATCCTGGAGGAAGCGATGTCCCAGCAATATATGAAGGAAGGACAGATGAAGGAGTCCCAGCACAAGCCACCACTGGAAGGCCAAGATGAGGGAAAGCCCCAAGGATCCCCACCCAGGCCTCCGTCCTCAGCTTGTACCTCTGCCTGCCATCCTCATGCACACAAGCATTTATAAGACCGCAAGCTGCTTCACAGGGCCCCAACTGTATGACTCCTGTTCCTGCTGCCCATACAGAGCTCGCCTGGGAATACCCTGACAGTTGCTGGACAGGAACCTACTGTGTGTGAAGACACTGTCCTTGTGAAGGCAGAGGCACAGGGCCCTGGCAGGGAAGGCCCAGTGGGAAATGTGGAGGCCTCACTCAGATCACCAGACCTACTGCAAGGGCAGGGTTCCTAGGCCTGGATCCTGACACCAACAGTAGATTGGACACCTACATCCTACAGAACCTCCCAGGCTGAACAGTGGGCCCAGCTGCACTCATTCCATTTATAAATATTTACTCAAAAGCTGGGTGTAGTGGCCCAGCCTAGAATCCCAGCATTCTGGGAAGCTGAAGCAGGAGAATTGCAAGTTGGAGCTCAGCTTGGGCAAAATAAAAAACAAAGCCTAGAGCTATAGCTCAGCACAAAGACTTTGGGTTTAATCTCTAGCACCATAAATAAATAAACAAAATTAATTTTTAAAAATTGCTTTGTGGCACACTCTGCAAAGCCCCTGTATGGTGGAGGGGCAGACATAGACCAAGTCATACTAAAACCCTCCAACTCCACCCAGGCAGCACAGCACAGTGTGTGTGTGTGTGTGGGGGGGGGGAATTAGGGCCAAGAAATGGCCCCAAGGACATCGTGAGCTGAGATAAGGCAGAAGAGTGCTGGGATGCCTGGGCAAGGTAGGAGTGGGGGGCACACAGAGGTGAAGGCTGCAGTCAGAGGAGAGAGTCGGGCTGCAAGAGGGGACCTGGCAGGAACAGCACATGGACAGGGGTGGGTGGGGTGCAGGGGTGTTTCACCTTCACGCGCTGCTTCTTGTGCTGCACATTGTCAAGCTCATCGTCCTCATCGCTGTCCTCATCCTCACAGTTTTGCAGGAAGGGGATCTGCTCCAGCACTGAGCCACCCAGACGCTCTTTGCCATCTTTACCTGCTGCATTCCTGCCCGTGACAGGGATGCAAACAGGACATTAGTCCCACCAGGCAACAAAACCCAGATAGAAGGGCACCCAGGCTTCATGGCAGAGCCTGGACTCGGCGAAGGCTGAGTCCAAAGAGCCTTGATCTTGACTAGATGGCTTGACCCAGCCATACCACATCAGAACCCTCAACCAAAATAAGACCCAGTTGCAGCCTACGTACACCTCCCGAAAGGGACCATTCAGGAGGAAAGCACACCTGTAACCCCATCACTTAGGAAAGCTGATGCAGGAGAATCACAAATTCTGGCCCAGCCAGGTATGGTGGTGCACTCTTGTAATCCCAGCACTCAGGAGGCTGAGGCAGGAAGACTGCTGCAAGTTCAAGACCAACCTGGACTATATAGCAAGACCTTAACATAACAAAATAAATAAATAAATAAAAAATAAAAATAAAACAAGTTCTGGCCCAGCCTGGGCAGCTTAAGAAGGTCTTGTCTCAAAATAAAAAAATAAAGAAGTGCTGGATACAGCAAAGTATGCCCTTAATCCCAGTATGGGAAGCTGAGGCAGGAGGAGCAAGCAAGTCAGAGTCCAGCCCAAGCTACACAGTGAATTAAAGACCAGCCTAAACTGCATAGTGAGACCCTGCCTCAAAAGAAAAGAAAAGAAAAGAAAAGAAAAAAAGTAAAGGGCTGGGTATGTGGTACAGTGCAGAGAGCTCCTGGATTCAAACCCCAGTGCCACCAAAAACAAAAATGTGAAATGAAAAGAGGAACAAGGGGGAAGGGAGGGGAAGGGAAAGAAAGGACAAGAGAAAATGTACCAATAAAAAAATAAATACTGCCCCTCCTTGCCAAAAAAAACAGAGACCATGCCACCAGCTCAACGACAGGTGAACCAGAGGCAGAACTGCCAGAGCAAAGAGGAACTGCCACCTGCTCACTCGACCACAGACCAGCAGGGCCGCTCCATGAGGCCCGCACCACACTGTCACCAACGAGCACCTCATGTCTACCTCCCAGCCGCTGGCTTGATCAGTGCTCTAGGGGATGCCTGCCAACCATGAATCCACATTGGAACACGGGTGGGTCCAGGTGGGCACTGACACCCCATTCCTGCCACCCCAGAGTTCTTGCCAGTGCCACCAGTTGCCACAAGCCACCAAAGACTTACCTGTCTGCCTAGCGCTGCTGGGCCAGCACTTACTGCCCTGGTCTCCTGGCACCGTCACAGAACAGGCCTCCTCACTGCCAGGCAGGCAAATACTATCTTGGGCTCCTCTCCCAAGAAACACCCCACACCAGCTCCCTGGCCCCTGCTGCTCCCTCCCTTTGTCAGCCTCCGTTGTCAGCGTGGGTGGCTCCAGGTTCTACACGGGGATCATTCCCTCAGACTCTCCCTGGTTCTGTGGCTTTCCACACAGTCGCAAGCTGGTGAACAAGAGCCCTGAGCTTATGCAACCTCTCCATGTGGGTACACAAACATGCTCTACCTCAACGCCCCCTGCTGCTCCCCATCTCAGGAGCTGCTTGCTGCTTGGTGACTCAGACCAAGCCTTGGAGTCACCCTCTTTCACATCAATGTTGTTTTTTTTTTTTTTTTTTTTTTTTGTCATTTTTTGAGACAGAGTCTCACTATGCAGTTCAGGTTGGCTTTTGAGCTCACTTTGTAGCCGAGACTGGTTTTGAATTTACAGCGATCCTCCTGCCTCAGCCTCCCACATGCTGGGATTACAGGCGTGTGTACCACTTCCAGCTTTTTTTTTTTTTTTAATTCATTTTATTTCAGAGAGAGAGAGAGAAAAAAAAGAAAAATGAATAAAACAAAATTTCAAAACATGTCAATCAGGGCAACAATGGCACATGTATTGTGCATTGTTATCCCCAAATTATCCATCCACAGCACAGGACACCTGCCTTCTATTGTCCAAACAATGCCAGCACAAATCTTTCTCATCAATGACCTCCAAGAAACCAGTAATGTAATTATCTTGACTATCTTTTTATGTAGATATACATATGTACACAGATGCGCGCGCACACACACACACACACACACACACACATTTCTCTCAGCTCAGCTCAATCTCTTAAACAGTGCTGACCATCACAGAGCAACTACTTACAATCCTAGCACTTAGGGAGGCTGAGGCAGGATGATCCCAAGCTGGGTAACTTAGTGAACGTCTTGCTCCCAGTTTTCCAGCAGTACTACCTGGACACTGCAAGGATCTCCTCCCCAGCCTTCCTGTCACCAGCCTCTCCTCAAAGCAGATCAACATGACAGATTTCTGCCATGTCACATCTCTGCCATAAACTACTGACTTTCTACAACCCCAAAGGTAGAATCTTTTTTTTTTTTCTTTTTTGGTTAATACGGGGCCTCTGCACTGAGTTACATCCCTAGCCCATTTTTTTTTAATTTTGAAAAAGGGAGAGTCTAAAGCTCTGTCTTTTTTTTTTTTTTTTTTTTTTTTCCAGTACCGGGGATTGAACTTACAACCTCACACTTGAGCTAAATCCCCTGCCTTTTTTTTTTTTTTTTTTTTTTTGAGCCTAAGGATCTTAAGTTATTCAAATGGGCTCAAATTTGCCCTCCTGCCTCAGCCTCTTAAAGAGTGCTGGAACGACAGGTGTGTCACAGTATGTGGCTAGAATCCAAACCCTTTATTACTGTCAGGGCAGCCCTTCTCAATCTGCCTAAGAGCTGGTCTCACCACAGCCCACAGGCCACATGCTCCTCCCTGCACTTCTGTTGACCCCTGCTTACGGGGCATGCCAAGGCCCTTCCTGCCTCAGAACCCAGGCCCTCACCATCACCTCTGTTGGGAACATTCTGTCCAAGTCATCTCCACACAGGGGGCCTCCTCACCTACCTCACCCAATGTAGCACTATTTCTCCTTTTTTGAAGACAAAGTCTTACCAGTTGACTTGTTGGACCTGGGCTCAAGTGATTCTCCTGCCTCATTTTTTTGTTTGGTTTTCATTGTTTTGAGACAGGGTGTTTTTGGTTAGTTTAGGCTGGCCTTGAACCCTGGGCAATCTTCCTGCTTCAGCTTCTTGAGTGCTGGGATGACAGGCATGTGCTTTTATCACTCTTATATTTAATGTTTTTTCTAACTCTAGTGTCACTTAATAATATTACTTATTCAGCTGAAAACAATTATTGATGATAGAAAGAATAAAGGAGAGCTTCCAATGGTGATGACCACGTGCCCTGTTTCCTGCTATGTCCTAGGAATTCACCCTGGGTTTGCCTTCAGTACAGGCCTGAGCTGGAAAGTAGGGGCAGGAGATGAAGCCAGGGAGAATCCCACCAGGCCCAAAGCTCACCTCTTGATCTGCTCCTCAATCTGTTTCACCAACAGGGACTCGCCGCCACTGAGACTCCCAGGACTAGGTGCCACCCTGGGGGGCCCCTCGCTCGGCTCAGCAGCCCCATTGAGCTCCAGGGAGCGGCCAAGCAAGGAGCGCACGCGCTTGGATCGCATGTCGAGGATGGTGTCCGTGTAGCCCACCTCTTCCAGGTACCTGCCGGGAACAGGACCAAGTGAATTAGACACCCTGTGCTGCTTCACAGACCACAAGGCACACACTGCCAGCGCCTTCCACGGGGCCACATGAGAGCAGACACCAGCCTTCCATAAGCACAGCCTGTCACACAGCAGGGTCACCTCCAAGACTACTGGTCAACAGAAGCCCTGGTCCACATGATCACTGCTACTGAAGGTGCCCCCAACACCGTGCAGGGAAGAGCCCAAGTATGGGAGCTTGCCTCAACATGCAGGGACAGGGCTGTGACAGAAAACTACTGAGAGGAACACAACTCAAAAGTTAACTGTAGCAGAAAGCCAGAAGACAGCTATGCTAAACAGCATAATGAAAATGTTAAGTTCCATGGAACTGCAGTTTTTGTTAAAAAAAAAAAAAGAGTTAGCATATTTACACCATACACAGATACAAAATGACATCATGAGGGGCTGGGGATTTAGCTCAGCGGCATAAGCGCCTGCCTTGCAAGCAGGCAGTCGTGAGTTCGATCCCTGGTACCGATAAAAAACGAAAAAGACCAAAAAAAAAAAAAAAATAAATAAACAAAATGACATCATGTCCCCAAGAGATCTACGAAGACATACTAAGTAGCAGTGACCTCTGTCAAGTGGCCTGGGGGTCACAAAGGCCCTTCTACATCTTATTTACTTCTACAACTGAGCACTCATTGCTTCTGCAATTGGAAAAAAAAAAAAAAAAGCCAGCAGAGAATGGTCTAAAGGAAAAAGAATAAAGAGGCAATTGTGGGTATCTGTGTCTTCAAAAGATGAGAGAGAGCAGCTCCTCATCCCTCAGAGGCCTGGCTGGGAGGCTGGGCCTGTTCATCCCTGGGGAGCTGAAGTCACCTCTCGCCAGAGGCTGTTGGCCTCATCTCTCAGATGCCCACACATGGTGAGGCTGCCATCCCCCCACAGCGCTGGCAGGAAGGCGTTGTGGGTAAGGGGTGGGGGTGGGGTCTGCCTGAAGCCCACTCCAGCCCAGGACATATTAACTGGACATCCTACAGCAACCAGACCCCCTCTGCATTTGACTTTCTCATCTATGAAACTGAGGTAATGCTGGGTGTTGTGCTGCACAGGCACAGGTACTAGAAGACAAATCCATGTATGGGAAGTGCCTGGCATAGGACCAGGTACAAAAAGGGTACTTGATGAGTACAACCCAGTGTAATCATCATCATCATCATCATCATCATTATTTCTTCTTGGGATTTTTTTGGTACCAGGGATCAAACTCATAATGGTACTTGCCAGACAAGCACTGTGCTACTGAACTACATCCCGGCCTTGTTTTTGTTTTTTGAGGCAGGGTCTCACTATATAGTTCAGGCCTCCCTTGAGCTCACAGCAATCCTCCTGCCTCAGCCTCCCAAGTGTTGGGAGTACAGGCATGTATCACCATGCCTAGCCAATCATCATTATTTTCATAGTCATTTGGTGTATTGTTTGTGCACACTGTATGCACTTGTAGCTATGGAGCTTCAGCAAGTCAAGAACAGCAGTCTGGTGCTTACTACACTGCCTACAGCACTGAAAGACAAAAAACCATCTTGATAAAGTAGAGCATAAATAATTTATATGGAAGGTGTTCATAACACTCAGCAAAAGCAATGCATTACAAAACAGTGAAGCGGGAATCCTAGCTTTCTCTCTCTCTCTCTCTCTCTCTCTCTCTCTCTCACACACACACACACACACACACACACACACACACACAGAGCTACGGAAGGTATAGGCAGTCTATATGACATGTCTTGCTGCCAAGAGGCTCAGAACCACCAGTGGCATGTGCATTACTACCGCATCAGGTGGCATGGGATGGTGCTATCGAGTGGCACAAGCCACCCAGGAGACAGTCATGCAGGTAGTTCAGGCCAGCAGAATGTATTAAGAGATCAAGAGTACACACATCAAAATGCTTATGGGGCTATAAAATTCCTCAGGTTGTAGAACTGTGAGTGCTTTTACTTTTCTTTTTGTTCTGCTATGTTTTCCAAAATGTAAACATCTCTTCAGTAATAAAAAAATCATTTGAAAAAGAAATAATCACTTGGCTGGGAGTATGGTTCAGTGATAAAGAGTAAATGCTTATTTTCTTTAAAATTAAAAAAAAAAGAATATAAAAGGTAAGTGCTTAGAATGCTTGAGGGCTGGGTCCTACGGTCCTTCTTCCCTGTCAGCCCCCCCACAGAACAGTTCTGGCATTACCCTTTAAAAAGGTGCCACGGAGGCATTAATGGCTGTGTTCCAAGAGTGTCCGTCCCCCAAGCCTGACAACAGCAGTAAGTCTCCCCTCTGCAGCCAGAGCTCCACCCCCAGGGTGACAAAAGTCATTCCAAGGGCTGTGGATATAGCTCAGTGGCACAAGTGCCTGACTAGCAAGTGTGGAGTCATGAGTTCAATCCCCAGTACCAAAAACAAAAACAAAAAACCAACAGCAACCAAAAAAAAGTCATTCCAGTGGCAGCTGGCTGGGATCCTGACAGATCAGTGTGTCCCCCTCTCCTCCAGCAGGACAAGAAGGACTACAGGGTCTTTGGGGTTATCTCCTGAGCCAAACATACCACAGCCAGCCCCGCCCCCCAGGTCAGCCCTCATGCTCACTGTCGGAGAAGCTGCCGTCCCTCCTTCCACACCAGCGGGCTGCTCTCCAGGGTGACTGACTCCACAGGGCCATTGGGAACTGGTGCAGGGAGAAAGGAAGAAGCCATCTCAGAGGACAGCTACTCACCCACCCGTCACCTTGCTCACATTCCTCACTCTAGCCCAAATCCATCCGTGACACCAGTGCTCAGTGTCCCTTGTTGAAAGTCCTAACCCCACCCTGTTTTCAGTTTTAAAAGACCTTTTTTTTACGGTTTTGAGATAGGGTCTCATTATGTAGTTTAGGCTGGCCTTGAACTCATGGTGATCTTCCTGTCTCAGGCTCCAGAGTGCTGAGATTATAGGCATGCACAACCATCCCAGTGTTCTCAGCAATTCTTCTCCTAGAAACACTTCTCCATCTCTGGTCTCCTGACTGTCACTCCCCAAACCACACCCACCCAGTACCTTCACTGGTTGGGCTGGCTTTTATTTTCCGAGCCAGAAGCCAGCCTGGTTCTGAGAATGGGCAGCTGGCATCAAAAGCAGCTCTGCCACTTTTCACACCTCTGTGGGACTGGGGAAGCAGGTTAGCTCACCTACCTAAGCCTCAGCTTCCTCTGCTGGTGGTAAGGGGAATATTAACAGCATCTACCTCTTCAGACTATTGTGGAGGTCAGGCTGGATAATCTGGTCAGTATTTTATTCATGAAGTATTTATTGGGCACCTGCACTGCATCTGACTAGAGTCTGGGGCTACACAGACCTGCCTTGAGGAACTTACATATAGTTGAAGGAATCTGACCTAAGGTAATAATAATCACTCTCAACCTGGCAGGCCAGATCTCCACTGCTCCGTTCAGCCAAGCTTTGGTGTTACCAAGGCCAGCCTGATGGGCATGCTGCCCTGACCTAATGCTCCAGGCACACAACTGACTCCCTGTCCCAACACGCCACCTTCACCCCCTGCCCAGGAACGAAATCTTCCTGTGAGGAAGGAAGGCCCTTCCTACAAGGGCCCAGAGAGCAGAGACCTCCTGCCTATCTTGCTTTCCTTGTTCTATGACATAAAGCCAGCACCTCACAAACTTTCCTTGGAGAAATAATTGAATGACAGCCCAGTGCAAACACTGCCTCTTCAATGAAGTCTTTCTGAGCTTTTCATAGCACCCTATAAATAGCTGGCTCCCTTCTCTGGCTCCCAGAGAGGGAGGCAATGTGCTACCAGTGCCTCAGATAGCTCACCCCCAAGAGGGACCTCACTGTGCAGAAGGGACTCATCCCTCAGAGGGCCTTCACCCCAGAGGCCAGAGGGCCCTCACTCCACAGAAGGCAGCACAGTGCCAGGCAAGAGCAGAGAAACAAAAAGTGCCCCAGCCTGGGCAACTTGAGCAGACGTGATGGGAGTACCTTGTTCTGATAAATCTGGTTTCTTCTCTCCCTGGTTCAGGTCTGTCCCAAACTTCAGTTTATGATATTTGGCCCTAAATAAGTGAAATTAATGAGTAAGAGATCTGAGAGTAGACAGGGCCAGCAGCCACCCAAGGAAGCCCCAATCCCAGAGCTTCCGGCAGCCACTTGCACCCCACCCACCATATCCAGCTGCCCCTAGAAAACGGCACGGAGAGGCGGTGGTGCAGCTGGTTTCTTGGAGTCACGCCAGCAGCCATGCCAACCCTAAAGCCTCCATACCTTATGGGAACAGAACCAATGAAACCCAGCAGGCTGGTGGGAAATGAGGGAGAGGGTGAGCACCCAGGAGATGGCATACAGGGGCTGCCATCGTCATGAATGTCAACTCCAAATCTCTCACCCATGCTCGCTTCATGCCCTTCTCCTGGAAGATGGGCTCCTCAGCAAGCAGCTACCCGGCTCACCTTTCCTGCTTCAGCGCGTATTCTAACATCTTGATCCGCCGCACCAGGTCTGTCTTTAGGTTCTCTTGCCCCTTCCGCTCTCCCTGAAGGAAGGCCACCTGAGCCTAGACAGTCAGAAGAGAGAGAACAGTGGAGCTCAGGCTTGGTGCTGATTAATCCCTTACTAGTCAGAACAGCTCTGGCCCTGACCCTTCAAGTGATGCCAGGGTTCATTCAGTAGAGCAATGAAAATACTGGGTCTATCTCCAGTGTCCCCATCCATGTCGCCCACAATGAAAAAGCTGGACTTAATCTATGAAATTAAAACTGGTCATGAGTTCGATCCCTGGTACCGATGAAAAAGGAAAAAGACAAAAAAAAAAAAAAAAAAAGATAAAAAAATTTTTAAAAAGGGGCTGGGGATTTAGCTCAGCGGCATAAGCGCCTGCCTTGCAAGCAGGCAGTCATGAATTCGATCCCTGGTATCGATGAAAAAGGAAAAAGACAAAAAAAAAAAAAAAGAAAAGAAAAGAAAAGAAATTAAAACTGGGCCAGCTAGGTATGGTGCCGCACACTTGTAATCCCAGCACTCAGGAGTTGAGGCTGGAGGATCACCATAAATTCGAGACCAGGCTGGGCTACAGAATAAGTTAAAGGCCACTTTGAATTACATAGCAAGTCCCAGTCTTGAAAGATGAAAACAAAACCAAAACACTAATAAACCAAAAGTCCAAAGCAACATGTTGGCTAGTGTAGACCTAACTCAGCTGCTAGTATGGGGGAAGTCAGGCCCGGGACTGTAGGCCGGGGGATGGTTGTTAACAGCCCTGGTCTCTCCCTCATACACTCTCATCGACTGCTATCCCTCAGGGTGCTGGTGGAGGTGGCAACCCACTATTCCTTCCAGAGCATCTGTCTCCCAGAGGCGTGGGAAGCTACTTCTGGAGCTTAGGGACAAGAGTGGGTGGCTTGGCTCAGCTCTCACTGCAGTGCAGGAGCTTTACCACCCGACCCCCACCAGCCTCACCATGAGATCAACCATCACCAGATGTCTGCCCTAGGCATGAGGATGGCCCAGGCTCCTGCCAAGCATTTCACACCATGTGCTGGCTCAGCCTGCCCCCGTCTGCTCATCCGTCGTTTGGAGACACTGTACCAGTGGCCTTTAAGGCAAGATCCTAGCCCTTAACCACGCTGTTGACCTCCTTCTGCCAAAGCCCTAGGCATGGGGCTCATGCCTGGCTTCTCCCCGAGGGCTCCACTGATCCAGCAGGGACAGTGTGAGCACCAGACCTGGCTAGGCAACTTACTTGCTTAAGCAGGTCCTAAGCTTAGGCAAGCCTCCAGCTGCCCCTCCAGAAAATGGGGTACACAAGAGACTTTCTCCATTGTGGCCTAGCTCGGAATGAAGGCTGACAGCAACTACCTCTACCCTGGTCATTTTTATTTCTGTCTATTCTTTCATAAGCATAGCTCTTTGAAACATTAGCTATAGAGTAGGAATGCTATGGATTAAACCACCCCCCCCTGCCGCCCTTGTGGACAGCTGCATTTTCCCAGTGCCATGCTGCCTGGGTTTCAGAAGCTCCTAGGATGACTCAAGACATTTTCTCCAGGCTGTGTTCTGTCTGTCCTGGGTAGCCTCTCACCTAGATGGCTCTTCCTCTTCTTGGGGCTTACAAGGCTCTGGCCTTCCTGCTGTGTACACCTGGAGCCGTGTATCACCTCTGTCCTGCTCCAGGGCCAGGAGTAGCCCTTGAGTCAGCAGAGAGCTGGACTTATGCTAAATGATGTCCAGCACACCAGGAACATGGCACCACATACACTGCTAAACCAGGTACAACTGCAATCCTCCTGGAGAAGCCGGTGGTATCCAGAACCATAAACCACACACACTCACTATACCACTGGTCTCACCGCTGTAATTCTGTCTTAAGGGTGCCCTTGCAATGGTATCCCTCCTTATGAAGAAATAAAAAGAACACATATCCACTAATGTATGACAAAAGTTCACTTAGGCACAAATACTTATGAACCCCAATTATGAATCAGGGTATAGTACTACACAAAATGGGATTTGTATTCTAGTATGGGGAATTACAAGACAAATAAGCAACAAATAGTCAGGAAATACTCATGGAAAACATACTTCTGTCCACCGAAGGGAAGGGACCTTTGTTCCTCTTAACACACACATACACCAATATCCTCAGCCAGTTAGCCAGACTCCTCACATGTAACTCCCAGTTTCCAATCTACTCCACCCATTGTTTCAGAAGACAAGAGAGGAAAAGGTTCATCATGAGGCATAAGCTCTAAGTGTTCACCTCACTGTCACCTGCCTTCTGGGAGTCTATACAGGCCCTGTGCAGTGCAGTCTGGCACCACTATATGGTGTCACTGAGCATGCCAGGCACTGTGCAAGGCACTGGGGAGGAATCAAAAAGCCACAAAGCTCCTGCCCCAAAGGGGCTCTCCATCCGCAGGAGACAGGTATCGGTGGTGACAACCCACATGAAATGTACACAAGGCCATGGGGATAAGCAAATGCTACAATAGGAAGAGGGACAAAGAAATGACCTTTCAGCTATGAACTGAGTTTGACTAGAAGATAGCCAGATGAGAGGCTGGATGCTCTGGGCAGAAGACAGAGAAAAGAGTGGCACAATAGGCCTGAGGAACTTGAAAGGGTCAATATGGCTGCATCAGCCGGTGCCAAGCAGGGCTGAAGCTGCAGCTTCATGATGGAACCCTTGCCATGCCCCTTAGGCCTGGGTTTGATCCCCAGCACCAAAGATCCAGAATGACTGTGCAACAATGTCCGTGAGGAGCCAGCATGGTGGTACAAGCCTGTAATCCCATCAATCTAGGAGGCTGAGTCAAGAAAGTTTAATTTCAGCCTGGGCAATTTAGTGACCTAGCAAGACAATTTCAAAAAATTTTTTTAATTTTAAAAAGGAGGGACTGGTGATATAGTTCAGTGCAAAGGTACTAGGTTCAATTCACAAGCTTGCACACACAAAAAGAGAAAAGTCAAAAAAATTAAAGGAAGCAGGCCTCACAAGGGATTGTGGACTGTGGGAAAAACATGAGGAAGCTACAGCAGTGTTTAAGCGAAGGAGAGGTATCATCAGACTTCATGTGCAAAGTACAGACATGCAGAACCAATTTGGGAGTCAGCAAAGAGAAAGGCAGAGATATCATTCATAGAAGGGACCATCACAAAAATTCCAGATAGAGGGGGCTGGGGATTTAGCTCAGCGGCATAAGCACCTGCCTTGCAAGCAGATAGTCGTGAGTTTGATTCCCGGTACTGATAAAAAGAAAAAAGAAAAAAAAAAAGTATTTAAAAAAAAAATTCCAGAGAGAAATGGCAGTGGCCTAGACAAGGACCAGACAGCAGGGGAAGCAGGTCTGAGAGAAAGAGGTCAGCAACAGTCTTTCCCTGGCACAGAAGAGAGGAAACAGCCACAGGCCCCATGGCACATGTCTGCAATCCCAGTACCCTAAAAGACTGAGGCAGGAGGATCTCAACTTTGAGGTCAGCCTAGGCAACTCAATGATTTAAGATTTTGCCTCAAAATAAAATGTGAAAAGGGATGGAATGCAGGTCAGCACGAAGGCCCTGGGTTTAATTCCCATTTACTGCAAAAAACAAAAGGAAAGGAGGAAACAGAACCAGAAAGATGTGGTTATAATGTTCTAGACTGTGAAAATCCAGGGAAAGAAGAAGGAAGCGCTGATGGTCAGTCAGTCTCTCTGGGCCACAAAGGCCCCCACCATCGGATCATAGCATGGGCCAGGGCTTAAGTGAGGCTGAGATTTAAAAGGGCTCTCTGCTCACTACCTCTACCCACTGTCTCTCATTTTGGCCAGCCAGACAATACACTTGCCTCCAAACCTTACTTTAGGACTGGGCTACACCTCTCTCCAGAAAGGCAGGGCCTTTCCCAGGCTTCTGCCCTTCTGGGAGCTGAAGCCTCTCTGCTCCCGCTGCGATCTGCCTGTCCCTGGGTTTCACGGCAGTGCTGGGAGCCCTATAGGTCTGACACTCTTTTCCAAGCTTCTGCAGCTCCTGCACAAGGAAGTTTCCACTGAGAGACTTAAGTGGGGAGGGACAGCTCCACACCCGGCAGCTCCCTTGTTCCCACCTAAAAACCCAGGTTAGATCCATTCCCAAAAGGTTCCTTCTGGAAGCACGCAGCACAGTACACAGGCAGGGCCACAGAAAACCCCATGGCTCTACGACCTAGAACTCTACTATGGTTTTTTTGTTTGTTTTTGTTTTTGCTTTTTTGTCTTTTTCCTTTTTATCAGTACCAGGGATCGAACTCACGACTGCCTGCTTGCAAGGCAGGCGCTTAGGCCACGGAGCTAAATCCCCAGCCCCCAGAACTCTACTATGAATGAGCATATATAGCACATTCTCCTGTGCAAAGTGCCTCTTTGTGCTGTCCTGGAAGTTTTGTGAGGGCAGAAACTACATTGCCTGCTCATTATCAGACTCAGTAAGTCTGATATCCACCACAAACACATTCCTGCCTACTATCAGACAGCACCCCCACATCCCCTGCTCCAAGTTGGGCCTTGTGGCAAGGCCTTGTCCAACATCTGTATACTGAGCACGGACTGCACTTTGGGCACTCAGAAGTTCAGTGCATCTGGATTCAGTGCATCAGGGTTATTGAGAAGCCTGCTTCTACAGTTGGGAAGGATCTCACAGAGAAGTTGGGGCCTTCTGTAAGCTTCTGTGAGTGCTGCAGGGAGGTATGTAGGAGTTATCACCACTTTATAAACACTCCTACTCCACTATTCCACCCATCCATTCTATTTGACACTAACACAGGAAGATAAACACATACACCAAAGCCATTCCTGATGGGGTAAAATAATGGAAACAAGTCCTCAAAGTTCACCAAAAGGGATCAAGTTAAAAAGGCTACAGAACAAGTACAAATGGAATACTACGTAGTTATCAAAAAATAATGAGGAACAGCTCTTTGCTGATAGGAAAGTTAACACCAAAAGACAACTCTAGGACAAGTCACATAGTGGTACATGCAGTATGATCTCATTTATCACATATGCACATGCACACACACACACATACCTAGACTACTGTAGCAACCACAAGTGGGGGAAGCAAGATGGAGAAAAAAATAAGACACTTTCCCTTGTCATTCACATGCACATATAATGCATATATATGCCACATATGTTCATATAAACAGACACACCTGAAGTGTTCATATTCTTATCAATACAACAAACAGAAACACAGGGAGAATGCTAGAGCAAAGATGTAAGCGAGCCTAACAGAGCACTTCCAAATTCCCCTATGCTCCAAGGAGGGGCATAAGCAAGGGGCTCCGTACCCACCTCTTCTCTCTTTTAGAAGGTGGTACGCTGGAAGCTGCAGGATGTACTGATGTAAAGCTCTCAAGACCAAGACTCAGCCAAGCTCTGCTATGATCCTGTGGATGACCTAGAAAGGCCACTGAGCTACATTAAGTCAGTTTTCTCACCTATGGTCAGTGGCAGAGAGGGAAAGAACACAGACCAGCTCTGACACTCACTACTGTGATCCTTGATCAATCATTTGTATTCCCAAAGCCTGCTTCCTCCTCTACTTATTAAAAAAGGAAGGGGGCAGATGCTGTGGCACGAATATTATAATTCCAGTACTCTGGGGAGGCTGAGGGAATAGGACTGTTAGGTTCAAGGTAAGTCCAGGTAACTCTGTCTCACAAAGGAGTAGGGTTGTATGTAGCTCAATGTGAGAGAGGGAAGGATAACAAAATTTACCCTCCACAATGTTCAAAAAATAAATGATAGAAGGTATCTAAAGTGCTTAATATAATGCTCAACACATAATATACATTGAATAAATAGTGGCTGCTATCATTATTGCTGAATGAGGTAATGACATTGGCCCTGCCTATATAATGGGGTATTGAAAAGATGTAATGAAACAAACGTTGGGAATGAGCTTTGGAAGAAGAGTGGGCAACAAAAGCAAGGAGCAATTATGTAAGGGTTCCTTGCCCATCTAAGGCAGACTGCTACCACCCAACTAAGATGGGGGGACAGACACAAATGTGAGATGTCCTTATTATTCAGCCTATGGACAAAATTCCAACCAGTTACACACTAATTGGGTTTCTTCTTCAACTAGATAGGAAATGACAACTGGGAAGGGAAAAGTTGGGCTGCCAGACTCAAGCATTGACAACTTCTGCTAATATCACCCCAGCCGAGGAGCCCAGAGACTCCTGGAGGCCCATCCCTGGGTTCCTTCAAATTCTCCCCTCCCCATCATCTCCAGGCTCCTCCAGACACTCTCTACGAAAAAATACACATTTCTCAAGGTCACAGAGGCCCTCTCTTCCACATTTGATCCCAGGGCACATTCCTCTCCCCATCCTCTAATAGCCTTGGGAATGCTCCCCCAGGACCTTTCACTGACACACCTCTCCCAAGGGTGCCCCTGAGATGCTGCCTGAGGTTGCTTTCCTGCTGTTCAAAGTGCTCCCCCTAATGCATCACCCCAGGGTAACCCCATTTCTCGCTGTTCTCATCCCAAGGCCATCATCTCCACAATGGACATGCCCAACCAACCCCCCTCCAGTTCAGGACTCTTTCCAACATCTCACACACACCTCCCATCTCAGGGTCATCACCCCAACTTCCCCAACATCCCCACCCACACTGGCGCTCCCACTCTCAAGCTGTCCCACTCCGACTCCTAGAATGTGTCCTCTGTCCTGCCCACGCTTCTAGTCCAGGAACTCATTCCCTGCACTCTGCCACACATGCTCAGGGTCCCCAAGGTACACTTTCATCTAGAGACCTCTCAAAGCTCCCCTCCCACAGCCATCTTTCGCTTCCTGCCACCCAACCGCCCCAAAACACACTCCATCCCGGATTCCTGGACTTTCTCAGCTCGCGCCTCCCAACTCCTCCAGACCGGCCAAAGCGCCTAGCGGGTCCAGGGCTCCCCCACCCGAAGCCTCCAGACTCAACTTCCGACCCGCACCTGGCGGGAAGGGGTTGGGGAGCTGTCCCTCAGCCTCAGCACCCTGAAAGCTTCAGCCACTTCCACAACGACGCCAGGACTTCCCCGAGGCCGTCCCGAGCCTCGCGCCGCCGCCTCAGAGCCCCTAGCCCCTCTGCTTCCTCCGCTGGGCCCCTCGCTCTTTTTTTTTTTTTTTTTTTGTCTTTTTCTTTTTTATCGGTACCGGGGATCGAACTCATGACTGCCTGCTTGCAGGGCAGGTGCTTATGCCGCTGAGCTAAATCCCCAGCCCCGGCCCGTCGCTCTTGGTCTCTACTCTCCCCAGTCCTGGCACTCGCATTCGAGCCACTCAGGGCCCTCCCGCCCCGGCCCAGTGCATGGAAGGCCTCCCACCGCTCCCGCCAGCCGCGGTCCCCTCACACCCCCCCCCCCCAGCTGTCCCGGCGGCCATTGCTCCAAGATGGCGGCGACGGCGGCGGGTGAGGCGAGGCCAAGCCGGCCGGGCCGGGCGGGGGTCGGGGTCCCGGGCGGCGCTCACCTGCAGCTCGGCGCGCTCAGCCTCCCAGCGAGCCTTTTCGGCCTCGAAACGCGCCCATTCATGCTGGATAAAGTGCAGGATCCCGGGCAGGCTCAGGGGCTCCGGGCCGCCTGCTGGCCCGGGGCTGCCTCCGCCGCCGCCCCCTTTTCCTGCCGGGCTGGGCCCGGGGACAGGGCCTGAGACTGGGACCGTCCCAGTCGGGCCGGGACCCGTCGCGGAGCCGAGCGGGCGGCAGGAGGAGGCTGCAGCGGCGACCGCGGCGGCCGCTCGCTCCTCCATCATGGAGGCCCCGGGGCCGGCCCGCGCGCCCGCTGTGTCTCGCGCGCCTGCGCGGCCACTCCAAATCCCCCCCCACACCCCGCGCGCGCGCTCGACAGGGCCAGGGAAGGCGGTGCGAGCGCGAGGTTGGGCGCGAGCCTCGTCCCACCGGGGGTCTCCCCCGGCAGCGCGCGTGCGCGCTGGTATGTGAGGAGGGGCGGGGCTGGGCGAGGAGCGGAGAGGAGGGAACCCCCAGTAAGGCAAAGGAACCCCTAGTCGTACAGATCCGTACGTCTCAAAGGAGCATGAGTTGGGAAAGGGCTGCTTTCTGCTCCTCTCATTCACCCTGTCCCTGCCAGACCCAAATAGCCCACTGAACAATCGATTTCACCATCCTCTCTAGTTCCTGACCCTGTCAGTTGTCATGCTAAACCTTCAGGAGCCTAGACTGCCCCCCACCATTCTCATCTCTGCTACCCCTTTGTGGTTTGGAGCCCCAAACCTCTTTCTTCTGTCTTCACCAAGAAGAGGTTGCTAAGATAACCTAAGTCCCTGGTGGTTCTTCTGCCCCATAGTCAGTTACTATGGCAATCCCCTAGATACAAACCTTGCACTCAGGTAGGAAGAAACCCAGCCCCAAGGACACTGGCCTCTAAAGAAAATTAGTACTTCTGCCCCACCCCTCCCCCAAGGCCACTCAGTTGGTATTACCATGGTAACCATCTTCCTTTCCCATCATGGGAGGTCCATGGACCTAGCCCCACCAGGTGTTTTTATCTAAAGGAGGGGATGCTCCCCTGCATGACAGTTGCTATGGTTATAGGATCTGGACCATATGTGTGTGTGTGTGTGTGTGTGTGTGTGTGTGTGTGTGTGTGTGAAACAGGCAAATCCAGTCCTTGGTTACTATGATAAAAGGACAACCTCCCCTCCCCTCTCAAGTGACCTAGGAACTAAGCTCACCAAGCAAGGTCAGGACATTTTGGGATTGTCTGGAAGGGGTAAAATGTCTAGGAAAGGAGCCGTCATCATGGTAACAGCTTCTGCCAGTAACTACCCCTACTTTTCTGAGCTTTTTCAGAAAAGAGGGATGGTTCTAGATTGCTAGGAAAACTGCCATCCCCACTTGACTCCACTCCTGAGTTGCTCCAGGTATGCCCAAATTTATGAGACTTCAAGAAAAAGAGTTCCCTGACTTTCCTGGGTAAGATAAAATTGTGTTCTCTTGGGCAGAAATCAGCTGACTTGGGGTTTTCTGGTTCTCCTTCCCTCAGCAGAGCTGCTGAGCTCTTAGACTGGAACTGCCCTCCTGAAACTCCCCCAGCCTATAGCCTAGGAGGTAAGAAGTCACGGTGTCCCAGCACCCACGTGGAAACTGCCCTTTCCTCATCCCCAAAGGCTTTCCCATGCAATCTCATTTGCTTTACCTGCTGCCCAGGGCAGAGGCTCAGGCCAAATGAGAGCGAGGCATGGAGAGACCCAGTAAGGTACAAGCTCAACTTCTCCCTCCCTGCCTTTTCTGTGCACACTCTCTGGTTTTCTGGTTCATGTGCCCTACTGGTCTCCTGAGCTGCATATCTGTAAGTTCTTCGACTTTTTCTGTCTTCTCCTGTCTGGAGGTCAGTCCCAACCCAGTGACTGCCTCTTTCATCCTGTGTCCTCGGGGTCTGACACAAAGAGCATTCTATAAATATCTGTTGAATTGATGGGTTGAATTAATTACAATTACTAAGGCATATTTAGTTTCGCCAGCACCTGTCAGGTTAAGATGAGAAAGCTCACCAAAAATGGACTGAAAAGTTGGGCTGGCTTTGGGCTCCAAGAGAGCAGAGTTTATTGTTTATTGTTTGGAGCCAGGTTCTTGGATCAAATACTGAGCTCACCACTTCCTACCTTGTGTGACCTTAAGCAGATGTCTTTACCTCTCTGTACCTGAATTTCCTAATCTTAAATGTCATCATTAGGAGGAAATGAATGAAGTGCTTAAAACTGTGAATACTTACAGAGTGCTTAGAACAAGGCCTGATACATTATGAACTGCTAGACTGGTGATGTTATGTATACTGATTTAGAACAATATAGACTGGGCGGGGGATTTAGCTCAGTGGCATAAGCGCCTGCCTGGCAAGTGCGAGGTCGTGAGTTCGATCCCCAGTACCGCAAAAAAAAAAAAAAGAACAATGTAGACAGTCAGGTTTTCACCATCATCATTTGGAGCCAAGTATAGTATACTGTTCATGCCTGTAATCCCAGCACTTGGGAGGCTGAGGCAAGAGGATTACCATGAATTTGAGGCTAGCCTGGACTACATAGCAAGATCCTGTCAATTTAAAAAAAATTATCATTCCAAGCCAAGCATGGTGGCCAACACCTATAATCCCAACACTTGGGAGGCTGAGGCAGAAAGATTGCCATGACTACATAGGGAATTCAAGGCCAGCCTGAACTACATAGCAAGACCCTGTCTCAGAAAAACAAAAACAAAACAAAACAAAACAAAAAATCATTCCATTGACTTTGCTCCAATAAATGTGTAGGTCCATGAGTTCAGTAAGCCAAAACCAAACTTACTGGGGTACTACATGGTTCCCTCTCAGTTCCCCTCACATCCTCACCACAGCTAGCACCTTGTCATCAAAGCCACTGGTCCTTAGGAACCCAGTTTTAGTCCTCTGCCCTTCCCAGCACCTGCTCACCCAGTGTCCTCCAGACAGATTGGCTTTGGAAGTACAGACCTGGTCCTATTCCCCTGATCTTTGAACCAATTTCCCTATGTTAACCATCTACATTACACCTGTCATACCTTGAATGCATGTATATATTTTTTTTTTTATCGGTACCGGGGATTGAACTCAAGACCACCTGCTTGCAAGTCAGGTGCTTATGTCGCTGAGCTAAATCCCCAGCCCCAATGCATGTGTATTCAATGCCTGTATTGGAATGGGCCCTGAGCTGTGCTCTGAGGACATGGAACAAAACAGGCAAGGCAGATTCCTTGCCCTCAGTGGGGACTCTGACAACAAACAAGAAAGTCAAACCCACATGCTAGTTACCAGGGAGAAAAGTAAGGTGGGCGGGGAGGGGAAGTGTTGAAGAGGACAGCCAGCCCAGGGCTCCCTGGAAGGTGATACTGAATCAAGGGCTGAGGGGCTGGGGCTTGGCCAGGCAGGCAGCCGCAGTCCTGCAGCCAGCAAAGGCATAGATGCATCTGCGCGATGGGGAGGGTGCTGGTGTGACTAGAGCTGAGTGAGCAGTTGAGAAAGGGACCCATGAGGACCTTGTGGACACAGTGAGGACATGGGTATCTCCTCTGAGCACAAGCAAGAGCTTTGGGGGTTTGCGAGGAGACAAGGCCAGTTCTAACTAACTCGGTTTTTCAGGTTTGGGGGACTGGGGATTGGACTCAGTGCACTGAGCTTGCCCTTTTACTTTTTGACACAGGGTTTCACTAATTCACTAAGCTGCCCAAGCTGGGCTCAAATTTAAATCTTCCTGCCTCAGCCTCCTGAGCCATTAAGATTGCAGGCCTGTACTGCTGTGCCAGCTCAAACTCGATTTTAACAGGATCCCTCTGGTGCTTAGCGGAGAACAGGGCACAAAGGTGGTGGAAGTGAGAATGAGGTCCCTTGCTGCCTTTTAGGGGTGTGTATGGAGGAGCTGGGGATGGAACGCAGGGCCTTCACACTGACCTACATTCCCCACCCCTTATTTTTATTTCATTTCAGTGTTTTTGGTTTTTGGGTTGTTTTGGGTTGTTTTTTTTTTTTTTTTTTTTTTTTTTTTTTTTTTTTTTTGAGATAGGGTCTCACTATATAGTCCAGGATGGCCTTGAACTTACCGTGTAGCCAAGGCTGATGACCTTCCTGCCTCAGCCTCCATACCTGGCATATTTTTTTATTTTTGAAGCAGTGCCTACTAAGAGTAGCTGGTACTAGAGGCACATGCCACTATACCTAGAAAAAGTCCCTTTGGTTTTGATTGTTTTTGTAGTGCTGGTGATGGAACCCAGGGCTCCCAGGTATAGCTGTGCTACTGAGCCACACCCTAGCCTGCAAGTTACTCTTAATGTGCAACTCGGATTCTTTTTTTCCCTAGGTTGAGGATCGAACCAGGGCCCTTGTGCTTGCTAGTAAGCACTCTACCACTGAACTACATCCTCCAGATTTTTTTTTTTTTTTTTTTTTTTTTTTTGTATTTTTGTATTTTCACTGGTACCAGGGATCTGACTTTTTTTGCAGAATCAGTGGCCTGGCTGACCATCAGATCACATGATGGTGCATGGCTTAGGGAAGTGAGAAGGGGCAAAGGTGGGGCTTGGGGTAATGCTGGGGGCTGCATTATCAACCCGGCCCAAGATTCAGGGCCAGGAGTAGAAGGGAAGCAAAGAAGAGATCAGGGGTTGCTTCCCAGAAGAGGGAATGGGAGGAAGGTGCAAGTTGGGCTTGGGAATGGAGTCAAGGTGATTATAACAGACCCTGAATCTGGAGAAGTTGACAGACTTTCTGAAGGATGAGACTGAATAAAGAAAGTGATTCGGGGCTATGGGGTACTGAGCACCTAATGCATACCTGGTTTTCTCCTGAGTGAAGGTAGCAGTGAGCAAGATAGCCTCGGGGCTCCCCATCATGGTGGTCCCAAGTCTGTGGGGGACAAAGGCCCTTTCCCACATAATGATGACAAGTGTGGTCAGGCTGATGGAGGGGAGACCCCAGGAAGTTGTAGAAGCCCAGAGTAGTTGCCTGACCCAAGCTGGAAAGTCAGAGATTTGCTGCTGGAAGGGGGGCGGGATAGGAACAGTGAAGGCTAGGGACATAGCTTGCCCAGCATGTGAGGCCTAGAGTTCCATGTCCAACCCCAAAGAGGGGAGGCTGGGGATAGCTCAGCGGTATAAACGCCTGCCTTGTAAGTGTGTGGTCGTGAGTTTGATCCTTGATACCGATAAAAAAGAAAAAGACAAAAAGAAAGAAAGAAACCAACCCCCAAAGAGGTGGCTGAGGGAAGGGGCTAATGACAGCCAGCTCCAGTTTCCCCTTCTATTCTGTTTCCCCAGGATGCCCTGGATGCCCAACTAGGGTCTGGCCTTGGCCCCATGCGACTCACACGCTGCCAGGCTGCCCTTGCAGCTGCCATCACTCTCAACCTCCTGGTCCTCTTCTACTTCTCATGGCTGCAGCACCAGCCCAGGAATTCCCGGGCCCGCAGCCCTCGCCGGGCATCCACCACCGGTCCCCGTGTCACTGTCCTGGTGCGGGAGTTTGAGGCCTTTGACAACGCAGTGCCCGAACTGGTGGACTCCTTCCTGCAGCAGGACCCAGCCCAGCCCGTGGTGGTGGTGGCTGACACCCTCCCCTATCCACCTCTTGCCTTGCCCCGCGTCCCCAATGTTCGCCTGGTGCTGCTCCAACCTGCCCTGGACCGGCCCGCCGCCGCTTCGCGCCCGGAGACTTACGTGGCCACCGAGTTTGTGGCCCTGATGCCCGATGGGGCACGCACCGAGTCACCAGGCCAGCTGGAGCGCATGGTGGAGGCGCTGCGGGCAGGAGGTACGCGCCTGGTGGCCGCGCCCATCGCTACCGCCAATCCCGCCCGCTGCCTGGCGCTGAACGTCAGCCTGCGGGAGTGGACGGCCCACTATGCCCCAGCGCCCGCCATGCCCCGCTGTGATGCCCTGGACGGCGATGCCGTGGTTCTGCTGCGCACCCGCGACTTCTTCAACCTCTCGGCGCCTTTAGCGCGGCCGCTGGGCAGCAGCCTCTTTCTGCAGACCGCTCTGCGCGGCTGGTCCGTGCAGCTGCTGGCCCTGCCCTTCTCCGCGGCGCGCCAGCCCCCACTGGCCACGGCTCACGCGCGCTGGAAGGCGGAGCGTGAGGGGCGCACGCGGCGGGCGGCTCTGCTGCACGCGCTGGGCATCCGGCTGGTGAGCTGGGCTGGCGGGCGGCTCGAGTGGTTCGGCTGTGGCAAGGAGAGCACCCGTTGCTTCGGGACCGTGGTGGGCGATACGCCCTCCTATCTGTACGAGGGGCGCTGGACGCCACCTTGCTGCCTGCGTGCGCTGCGTGAGACTGCGCGCTACGTGGTGGGCGTGCTGGAGGCCGCGGGCGTGCGCTACTGGCTGGAGGGTGGTTCGCTGCTAGGTGCTGCACGCCACGGGGACATCATCCCCTGGGACTACGACGTGGACCTGGGGATCTACCTGGAAGACGTGGGTAACTGCGAGCAGCTGCGTGGGGCCGAGGCCGGCTCGGTGGTGGATGAGCGTGGCTTTGTGTGGGAGAAGGCTGTGGAGGGCGACTTCTTCCGCGTGCAGTACAGTGAAACGAACCATCTGCACGTGGACCTGTGGCCCTTCTACCCCCGCAACGGTGTCATGACTAAGGACACGTGGCTGGACCACCGGCAGGACGTCGAGTTCCCCGAGCATTTCCTGCAGCCTCTGGTCCCCCTGCCCTTTGCCGGCTTTGTGGCGCAGGCCCCCAATAACTACCGCCGCTTCCTAGAACTCAAGTTCGGCCCTGGGGTCATTGAGAACCCTGAGTACCCGAACCCCGCACTCCTGAGTTTGACAGGTGGCTGAAGCCCTGATGCCTGCACCTGGGGACCCTGGGATCAGGCTAACATTCAGACACAGGGAGCCTCCTGTATCTTCTACTGTCTGTCTGGGTGTGGAGAAGCTTCCTTTCATGGGGGTTTGCGGGCTGTGTGCTGGAGACAGGAAGCCCCGAGAGGGGGAGAGAACCTGACTGTTGCAGGAAGAACCAGGCCCAGGATGGGAAGCAACACCCAGAGATGCTTCAGTGGCCCTTCCCCCATATGAGCGGCAGATGTGACTGGGGACTGAGCTGCAGACATTTGGTGCACAGAGCTGGGGATGCCAGGCCGTCCTTTAGGGCCTTGGAGAAGTGTCCTGTGCCCCTGACTAGGACATTTTGGCAAAGAGTAGGTTCTGGATTCTGGCACTACCACTTGGAAGCACTGTCTCTGCCTCAGTTTCCTCCTCGATTGCCAGGGCTTGTCAACCAGTGCCCAGTAAGGCAATAAGCGCTCTGGACCCTTGGCTGCTAAGATTGCTTGCTCCACTAGAGGGCGTGTCTGTCCCGCCCCTGGTGGCTTCCTGTGGCTGCCAAGATGACTGAGCCCAGTGCTGTCTGGGGTTCCATAGCCATCACCTCTTTTGAGTTTTTGGTATTCTCAGAAACACTGGGAGGTAGGACAGCAGTGGCCATCTCCTCTCTGCAATGTGACTCCTTCCCTACAGGACTGTGTGAGGTCTGTGCTGCTCTTTTTTTTTCTTTAATCGGTACTGGAGATCGAACTCATGACTGCGTGCTTGCAAGGCAGGTGCTTATGCCGCTGAGCTAAATCCCCAGCCCATCCCTGCTGCTCTTAACCCTGCCTCGCTGAGCAGAGGACAGCTCTGAGCACGGTTGGCTCTCAGCGCTGCTCCTGCAGCGAGGCATAGGTGACAGCCCTTAGCAGGCACCACACGTCACGCAGTGTAAACACAGACACATTGACTTGTCCTCACTTCATCCCTCTGCAGTGACAGCTGTTACTTGTTCATTTTGTAGTGAGCACAACTGAAGCCTGAATGGTCATGTCGCTTGTCTTCCTTCTCCCTCTTCCCCTTCTAAAAATGTCACCCAGAAGCGGTTAGGAGCCCCCATCTCATGGGAAAATAGTACAGGGGCATGCACTGTAGTGTGTGTATATTTATAAATTATGCACAAATTCTACTATAGTGTGTAAGACTTACATTATCCCATCGTTCAATAAAATGTGAATATGAGTAGAGGTTTTTAACTTATCCCAGTGACTTGTTCCGCATACCTCCTGAGAGCTTTTTTTAAAGCAGGGCTCAGCCATGTATAGCTGTGATATCAGCTGTTCCGGAGGCTGAGGCAAGAGGATGATGAGCCCAGAAGTTCCAGGACAGCCTGGGTGACAGCGAGACAACAAAAAATGGAAGCATAGAACTACTCAAAAGAACAAAACACAGGTCCTGAGGTGGCAGTCGGCTTCAAATCACTGCCCCTGCCCCTAGCATGACTCAGACCTCTGCTTTGTGTCTGGGAGATGGGCACAAAGAAAACAGAAAGGCGAATCAGTAGTGAATGGGTTGGCGTCAGGGCTGGGTTTGAATCTTGGCTTCACTTAGTTTCTTTGTGACCTTAGGCAAGTCTCTGCCTCCCTGCAGGTGAGGGACTCCCTCTCAGGGACTGGTAACATTGCAGAGTTGAGCCCTTGAAAGAGTCGAAGAGGATCATTTACCAACATTCGAGGCCCAGATCTCCAGATCTCCTTATTGCCTGGCCTCACCTTTAACCACGAACCCACCATGGTTCCCCAAGAAGCCAGAGCATTCCAGCATGACACTTGGCTCGAAGCACACATAAGCTCTGGAAGGAAGATGCCTTACAGTATGCAGCGTGACTCCCCATCGGAGAGCCTCCTCATCTCATCCACCCATGAATGGGTCCATGTCCTACTGGACATGCAGGACCAAAAGGTGATATTTAAAATATTTTGTCCCAGACATATTGCACACCTGTATTCCCAGTGCTTGGGAGGCTGAGGCAGGAGGATTGCCTCAACTGTAAGGCCAGTTTGGGCTACATAGTGAATCCAGGCTGGCCAGTACAACACAGTGAGACCTTGTCTCAAAGAAAGTAAAATAGTGGGCCAGGGATATAGTTCAGTGGTAGAGTACTTGCCTCACCTGCACAAGGCCCTGAGATCAATTCCCAGTACCACACACACATACACACAGAAAAACCCAAACAAAAATGTGAAAAAAGTAAAATATTTTGCAACTGGCCTAGTAGTATAAATTTATATAGGTACCTATGAATCAAGTTTTCAGAATACTTTTTATTCTCTACATAATCGAAGCATTCCACCTATACATATATATTTCCTTAAATCGTCTGCCAAGAACATAAGGTGAAATTCAACTCATTCTCATTGTTGAAATGCTACTGTCATTTAGAAATTGTTGATATATACCTGAGCCTGATGGCACATGCATGGAATCCCAGCACTTCAGAGTCTGAGGCAAGAGGATCGCTATGAGTTTGAAGCCAGCCAGGGCTACATGCTGAGTTCAAGACCAGCCTGAATTATATAATGAGACCCTGTCTCAAAAAATTGTGGGTTATCAGAACTTATTAACATTAGTGTCACTAAAGTTGGTATACCACCCCCCACTGCTAAATTTGACTGGCTTTTAAAAAAATAAATAAAAATTAAAATTAAATTGTTGATACGATTTTTTTTCTGGTAGTAGAGATTGGACCTGGTGCCTTCACACTGAAGTATATCCCCAGGGCCTTTTTTATTTTGAAACACACTTGCTAAATTACTAAAGTTACTCAGGCTTGGCTCATACTTGCAGTCACCCTGATTCAGCTGCCCAGTGTTGGGATTACAGCCTGATTACAGCCTTGCGCCACCACTTCAACTGACATGATTTCTGGATGGACACAGCCATCAAAATAGTAATAAATAGTCTGCCTCAGCTGCGATTTGATACAGAGAACCACATCAGTGCTTCTGGAAACTTTCCACTAAGTTGAGAATCGTTAGGTGACTTGAAGTCTCAATAGATCAATAATTTCTCAAGACTAACTGAAATCTTAGGAGTTTTTCTTCTCTCTTTTGTGTATGACCTAACAGCAAATAAATTAAAAGTTTTCCTGGACTTTATCATATTATCTGATAAATTTATATATTCAGTATCTTACTATGAACTAAGCTATGATAGGACAGAAAATCCATCACACGTAACATCGTCTGATGAGACTGAATTAGAATATGAACCATTTCTGGTTGTAGTAAACACTTGTCTGTAATCTTAGCACTCAGGAAGTTGAAGCAGGAAGACCACTGCAAGTTCTGGGCCACCCTGGGCTGCATAGTGAGTTCAAGCCCAGCCTGTATTACACAGTAAAACCCTGTCTCAACAAAACAAGAAAAAAAGCAAACAATTCAGACTATTGAAATCTGCTTTTCAACACTCTTCAATGGGGGCTGGGAATTTAGCTCAGTGGCATAAGCACCTGTCTTGCAAGCAGGCAGTCGTGAGTTCGATCTCGTACCGATAAAAATGAAAAAGACCAAAAAAAAAAATTCTTCAACTATTAACTGGCCAAATAGAACTATTTTGACAGATGAGCAACCAGTGTATCGGTACCAGTGAAGAGCAACTGAATTTCAACCTTCCGTGGAGATGAAAACGCTGGTAATAACCATCTGTGCCCCCAATCAAATTCACTCCTGTAAACACAAAGTCTTTTTTGTGAGGATTTAACAATCACTGAATTTTCCAGGAAGTGCAGCCACCGTGCAAAATGAGGAAGCTTCAACCCAGCTAGGAACTTGGCCAAGGATTGTTTTCCCTGTTGGAAAATCATGTTGCGCTCAGCTCTTGGCAATTAGACACCAACAGAGCATGTTTCCACCACATTAGGTTCTGAGGCGGTGGCCCCACAGATTTGCATATTGAGATGCATATTATAAATGACTGTTCTATTATTATTTTTTCCATACTAGGGATTGAATCCAAGGCCTTCACATTGAGTTATATCCCCAGCCGTTTCCTATTTTCATTCTGAGACAGTTTTCACTAAGTCTTTACATTCTTCAAGCTGGGCTCAAATTTGCAATCCTTCTGCCTCAGCCTCCCAAGTGCTGAGATCATAGGTGTGCATCACAGTGCCTGACTACTCTCCTTCTATTTTTCCTTCTTCTTACTGTTAGGGTAATAAAGGATTCCTCCCTTCCTCTTTTTCATATCAGGAATTGAACTTAGGACCTTGTGCCTGCCAGACTGGTGCTGTACCACTGTGCTATATCCCCAGCATCCTTTCTCTTTCTTTCTTACTTCTTTTTTCCCTTGTCTGTTGTGCTGTTGTCTGTTGCCATTGATCAACTCAGAGCCTTGTCTTATGAGGCACATGCTCTATCACTGAGCTTTACACCTAGCAGAAGATTGGGGTTGTGTGTTTGTTTGGTTGGTTGGTTTGGGTACCCAGAATTGAACTCAGGACCTTGCACTTGCCAGGCAGGCACTGTACTGTTGCACCACTGAGCTATATCCCAGGCCCTGGTTTTGTTTTTGTGGTTTGGTTTTTGCATTTGTTTTTGCTTGGGCAGGAGGGTTATTTGGTTTTCACTTTTTTGAGACAGGATCTCGCCAAGCAATTCAAGCTGGCCACTAACCCACTACAATCCTTCTGCTTGTCTCGAAAGGGTTTCAGGTGGGCACCACCATACTGGCTGTTGTTTTTTTTTTTTTTTTTTCCGGTACCAGGGATTGAACTCATGACCTTGAGCTTGCCAGGCACGCACTTATACCGCCGATCTAAATCCCCAGCCCCTAGACTTTGTTTTTTGAGACAAGATCTTGCTATGTATTCCAGACTGGCCTTAAAATCGGTATGTAATTTAGGCTGACCTTGAACTCTCAGTAATCCTCCTGCCTCAGCCTCCTGAGTGCTGGGGTTACAAGCCTATGCCACCACTCCTGGCTTGGGGGGTGTTTTAGGGGCAGAGAAAAGGGGGCCGCTGATAGACTGAATGTGAGGTAGGAATGACCAGAGAAGGAGACAGGCAGGAAGAAAATAAAATGACTCATCAGGCTTATGTGCCAGACCTGCTTCCACCTCGTTGGCAGCCCTGGGGCACCAACAGCAGGCTGGAGCCAACCCCAGCAAAAGCAAAAGTCCTCAAGCTCTCTGATATCTGCAGCACGCTGTGTCACTACGGACAGAACTTACCTGGTGTTCAACTATTTCAGCTGCAAGGGACAGGGGCCACGTTGGAGGATTCTGATTCTGAGTCCCAGTCTCCGGAGGAGGTGGCAGAGGGCACACTTAACCCACCCCTTCCATCTAAGCTACCATTTCTACCTGTCATAGACACTTGCACCGACTTCATTGTTTTTGTTTGTGAGACAGGGTTTTGCTAGGCAGTTCAGACTGTCCTTAAACTTGCTATGTAGCTCAGGCTGGCCTGGAATTTGAGGGGATCCTGCATGTACCACCATGCCTAGCTAGTCCACTGGTTTTTTTTTTTTTTTTTTTAGTCCACTGTTTTTTTAAATATTTAAAACCATTGATCTAACGTTGTCTTCCAGCTGGGCACGGTGGTATACATCTGTAATCCCAGGGGATCTCAAGTCCAAGTCTACCCCAAGTAAAAGAAACAAGAGATGAAAATAATTGGAACCACCTCAGAGAGTTGTTTTATAAAAATATGCACAGTGGGTTGGGGTTACAGACAGCAGCACAGCACCTGCCTGACAAGTGTGAGGTCATGAATTTGATTCCTAGTACCAAAAAAAAAAAAAAAAAAAGTACAATGATCACAGTAAGAATAATCAATAAATGTCCACTAATTATTCACAAAGCTTAGGAGCTATGTTTATAGGCTGCTTACTTTAGCTCCTGTTCATATAGCAAAGATCAGAAATAGTTCTAATTTTTCTATGTAGTCTAGAGCTATGTTTTAAACAAATTAGTAGCGTGTTCCCAGCAAATTTTTAAAATGGAAAAGCGATCAGGCTCAGTGTTGCACACTATAATCTTGGCTACTTGGGAGGCTGAAGCAGGAGAATCACCATCCTAGGCAATTTAGTGAAAACTTTTCTCAAAAGATAAAGAGGGGGTGGGGATATGGCACAAGGGTAAAGTGCTCCTATGCTCAATCTCCAGTAGCAGAAACAAATTAGCTTTTATTTATTTATTTATTTATTTATTTATTTATTTTGCATAAAGCACTTTTTTATGGCTCTAGAGGTTATCAAATTAGGGTATTTTTAGTGAGCTACTTCCTCGGCCCTTGTAACTTCTCTTTTAAATGTTAATGCTGGGGGCTGGAGGTTTAGCTCAGTGGCATAAGCACCTGCCTTGCAAGCAGGCAGTCATGAGTTCGATCCCCAGGTTAATGCAGAGTCTGCTAAATGAGTAAATTGCCCAGACTGAAATCCAACTTGCAACCCTCCTGCTTCTGCCTCCCAGAGTTCTGGGATTACAGCTGTGACTCACCATATCTGACTGTAATGAAATCCTACCCTCATCTGTAAACCCTAACCAACTCTCCCAGATTTGAAGACACTCCTAAACCCCTATCCTAACCCACCAGCGACTGTGATAATAGCGGAAAGCATTTAAAATACCAGTTACCTGGGGCTGGGGAATCTAGCTCAGCAGCTTAAGCACCTGCCTTGCAAGCAGGCGATTGTGAGTTCAATCCCCGGTACTGATAAAAAGGGAAAAAAAATTAAAAAAAAAAAAAGATTAAAAAAAAATACCAGTTACCTGATTATTCAACACATAGATTTTAGCTGCACAGAATCTGATATGAATTGTTTCCTTTCCATCCTACAAAGGTCACCGGGTGTAACAGGACCAGAGAGATGCTAAAAATAACCCAGATGCCATCTACCGTTGGCGTGGTCATGCCTCCCGGCACCTGGGGTTGGCGGGACCTCAGAAGGTGAAGAGGAAATCAATGTAGAGCACGACTCACGCTTCCGTGAGCCAGAAGAGAACCACTAGAGACCACATCCGGGACTCAAAGGACTTCTGACAGCAGCACAGCTGGTTTTCAATTCAAATAGCAGACGTGGGTTTTCTTAGAAACAGCAAGCCAGGGGGCTGGGGATTTAGCTCAGCGGCCTAAGTGCCTGCTTGAGCAGGCAGTCGTGAGTTCGATCCCCGGTACCGATAGAAAAGAAAAGAAAAGGAAAAAAAAGTAACAGCAAGCCATTACATGGGCCTGTTTAAGTCACAAGATACCAGCTATCAAGGGATAGTTAGATCCTATGTAGGTGGTTACAGTGGGAAATGAATTTACCATGATTTGTACAAGGTTGTTTTGTTTTGTTTGGTGATGCTGGATGTTGGACTCAGGGCCTTCCCTTTGAGCGACATCTCCACTTTTTAAATTTTGATATAGGGTCTCACCATGTTGCTAAACTGCCCAGGCTGGGCTTGAACTTGTGATCCTCCTGCTTCAGCATCTGACTGCTGGGATTACAGGCTGGCACCACCGCACCCAGCTTCTTTCCACAAATCATCAGCATCACCCGTCTAAGTGTGTATCCATCCTGTTCCCGCTGCCGGGTTTTCTCTGTTATGTGAGGCTGCCAGCTTCTCCAACTGATTTATGCCTGGCTCTTGGTAGTTGTGCACCGAGCACCTAGACCATTTGCGGATTACCAGAGCCCAGGAAAGGGAGGGTGGAGACAGATGGCGGACAGGTGCAGAGCTGCAGCTGCACGGGAGAAATAACTCCTAATGCTCTCCCAGCGCTTTAGGATAAAGACGTTGGCAACAGCTGTATATTTCACCATCTCATTGCATTGGTCAGCTATTCACTGCTGGACACAGCATCTGACAACCATAACTCAAAGGAGAAAGCTGTGTATTTTGGCTCAGGGTTTAGTCCAGTCAGCCAGTTCCAAGGCAAGAACTGTTTGGTGAAGAAGGGTCTGGCCCCAGCAGCCTAGAAACCATGAGGAGCAGAGCCAAGGACCTGCACCTATGGGTCTAGGCCCTGCCCCCCAGCAGCACAGTCTGCTACTGAACTCAAGGGATGAATCCGTGGGTGTCTAGCGCTCTTGTAGGCCATTGCCTTCGAAAGACATGATCTTGGGGGACATTGTAGACCTAAGCCATAACACTGATGGAAGTTTGAATGTTCCTGATGCAAAGAAATGATATAGGTTTGAAGTGATAGATATACTGATGGCACTGATCTGACCATTACTCACTTTATACATGTACTGAAGTGTCACTGCACCGCCAATACACATCAATTAAAAAAATCTAAACGGGGCACTCTTGTCACCCCAGCATTCTAAAAAGCTAAAGCAGGAGACGCACAAGCTAAAGCACAAGAGGGCTGGGGATTTAGCTCAGCGGCATAAGCGCCTGCCTTGCAAGCAGGCAGTCATGAGTTCGATCCCTGGTACCGATAAAAACGAAAAAGACAAAAAAAAATAAATAAATAAAAAATAAAGCACAACAAGATGCTCTCAAAAGAAAACAGGGGCTGGGGATTTAGCTCAGTGGCATAAGTGCCTGCCTTACAAGCAGGCAGTCATGAGTTCGATCCCTGGTACCGATAAAAACGAAAAAGACAAAAATAAAAAAGTAAAAAAAATTTAAAAATTCTTGACACAGGGTCTACGTAGTGCAGGCTGGCCTCTATCTCACAGCAATCCTCCTGCCTCAGCCTCCTGAGTGCTGGAATTACAGGCATGTGCCACACCTGGCTTCCATCCCCAAATCAGTAATAAATATTTGCAGGGCTGGGGAGACAACTCAGTGATATAAGTTCCAGCCTAGCAAGTGCAAGGTCCTGAGTTTGATTCCTGGTACTAAAAACATGTAACACTTGTGAACAGTTTGTTTTTGGAGAGGGTCTTACTTTGTAGTATAGTATAGGCTGGCTTTGAACTCTGAGGTCTTCCTGTCTCAGCCTTCTTGAGTGCTGGTATCACAGGCACACACCAGCACATCCAGCTTTTTTTTATCGGTACTGGGGATCAAACTCACCAGTATGTGCTTGCAAGGCAGGCACTTATGCCGCTGAGCTAAATCCCCAGCCCCCTTCATGTCCAGCTTGTGTACAGGCTTTTTTTTTTGATGTGTACAGGTTTTTGTGTGAACAAGTTTCCATTTCTCATGGAGTTGAGTCCAGCTACCCCATACTGCCCTCAGTACCCACTTTCCCAGCTTCCTTCCCAACTGCAGGCCTTGTTTTCTCTGAAGCATACAGCGAGTTGTGTCTCCTTGTGGTTTTCTGTCGATGTCGCTCCCGGCCGGCAGGAAGGACACACGACAAAGTCTGGCAGTGGACAACCTTTTCTTTTATTTTTCTTCTCCGTACAGCCTGCCCTGGGATCGCTCCCAGCCGAAGCCTCCTTTGGTCCGCTCCCCGCGGCTCTTTCTGGGCTTCTACTTCCGGGCTTCTTCTTCTCCCCCAGGGGTGGCACCAGTATATATACGGATACAGTGTCCAATCATGTTAAAGTAAGCAAGGCAAGCTGATTGGCTAACATCATCAGTTGCCAGGCAGACTATATTGTTGAGCGGGTTGCTTACGCGGTAAGCAGGAAACTAACGTGCTCGATGGGAGGGGTAATCTACCTCAGGCTTTACTCTTTACTACAGGCCTCACGTCCGCCAAGTGAGGCGACCGGGCTCGGGGCTGCGGCTCCCAACAGTTTTCCAGCAGGGAGGGACTGTAACTGCTTGCAGTACTCAGGATTGAACACAGGTGCCTCTACCACTAGGCAGCACCCTCGGTCACAGAGTCTCACCGCATTGCCTGGGCTGCCTCTGAACATATATGATCCTCCTGCCTCTGCCCCAAAGTAGCTGGGATTCACAGGTGTGCACAACTGTGCCTGGTCCAGGGCTGGATTTTGATGCACAGGTATTTCTTCCAGTGAATCACATATTTTTGTTGTCACAGCTAATGATTTCACATACGTTCTTAAAATGCCTGATTAAATATACTTTAATCCTGAAAAAATGTCCTGTGGAGTGACAGTATTTATCCTGTGCCCTAGGACTCCTGGAGTGTTTGCTATTGGGAGGGACAGATGGTCTGGGGACCAGGTGGGACATACCGAAGTTAGATGGCCCCCCAACATACACATCACACACAGCAACAGCCACCACGACACAAGTATTCACTCAGCCATCCCCCCCTCAGCCATCACAATATACCATCTGCTCACCACCACCTCCTCCTCAGAGAGGGGCAAACGACATGGGGTGACTCTTGTGCCCTGAGATGGGGGCCAGCTGGCTCTGGGGATGGGGGGCATTACTGCCTTAGGTGGGAGACAGGAGCTCAAGAGTGGAGCTTTGAGCAGGGCATGGTGGCACACACCTGTAATCCCAGCACTTGGGAGGCTGAGGCAAGCGGATTATTGCAGGTTCAAAACCAACCTGGGCTACAAAGTGAGCCCAAAGCCAGCCTGAACTGCATAACGAGATCCTGTCTCAAAAAAAAAACCAACTGGAGCTTTGAGGAGACACTACACAAGTCCACCCATCTGCTGTCCAGGAGGGGACCGGCTCCTGGCTTCTGGCTCCCTGGTACATACAGCAGCCCCCCAATCCCCAGCTTGTCTGTCATCTGATCCTCAGGATGCTCATGTCCAGTGTGTCCCCAGCAGGCTGCGACAGTCCTTCCTGGGCTTCACATAACCGACTCCTTCTCACAGGCCAAAGCATCGCCCGCAAGGCTGTGATGACATTTGAGGAGGGGGTTCCCTTCCTCTGTGGTGGGTTGCAGTGGATCCAAGGGCACCTCTCTTTTCACCTGGATCAACTCAGGCTCTGAGCTCTGCAACTTCACACGATCCACATAGTTCTGGAGGAGTCCGGCCCCAAAGGCGTCACCCTCCACATTGATGACGGTACAGGACCGGTCTCTAAAAGGACACAAGTGACGGGAAAGAAAATGAAAAGGGAAGGAAGCAAAGGGCCAGGGCCCATGCCTCGTGCCTCTCCTGCTGGAGTCATTAAATTTTGAGACAGGGTCTCTCTAAGTTGCCCAGGCAGGCCTCAAATTTAGGATCATCCTGCCTCAGCCTCTCTAGTGTTTAGGATTATAAGCCACGGTGCCACTGTGACCAGTTTTGAAGCCAAACTGGTTTCTAATCTTTATAATCTTTTCCCCCGTGCTATAGATCCAACCTAGGCCTCACCCTAGGCAAGTGTTCTATCACTGAGTTACACTCTCCCAGCACTCAAATTTGTGTTATTTTGAGACTGGGTCTCCCTGGCCTAAATGCCACCTCTACTAACAACCTGGGTCTACTGCCTTCTGGGGTTCCTCTTAGAACCCCACAGACGCCAACCCTCCCTCTGGAGCTTTTCCTACCTTTCCTTTTCTGTCTAGACAGGTGCCCAAAGACACACTGGCCCATTCCCTTTCTAGAGGTGCCCTGCAGCCCCCTCCCCCAAGTCCACACTCACACCAGCCAGTCTATCGCCAGGATCCAGGAGATGTCAGCGACAGGGAGGTTGACGGCTTCGAGGATGATGGCCAGGGTGAGGACCCCACCTGCGGGGATGCCGGCTGCTCCCACACTGGACGCTGTGGACGTGATGCTGTGGGCAGGGGAAGAGGAGCGGTCAAATGAGGAGGACTCTTGGTACTGGAAAGAGATGGGACCAAGTGGATGTAGGGGTCCCAGCTACAACCCCCACCCTGGATACTCACAGGATGGTGATGATCTTCACCAAGTCCAAAGGCAGCTGGTTGAGTTGTGCAATGAACACGGCGGCCACACACTGGAACAGTGCTGCCCCGTCCATGTTGACAGTGGCGCCGATGGGCAGGATGAAGCGGCTGATGTGCTTGGCCACGCCATTCTTCTCCTCCACGTACTTCATCATCAAGGGCAGTGTGGCCGAGCTACCAGGGACACAGGGCAGTTAGCGCCCGCCCACCCCATCTCCAGCAGAGCCCGCCCATCTTCCTGGCTTCCTTCCCAACTGTATCCTTTCTCCAGCCACAGGCAGAAGACGGGTGCAAAGGATCCTGCAAAATGCCAAGATTCTAAAATATGTAACCTGGAAACCCCCGAGTATAAACTGCTACCCCTCGACATATCCAAAGAAGGAAGAAATCTAAGGCAGTGGTTCCCTAAATTTTTAAGGGCTGGGGATAGAACCCAGGACTTTGAGAAATTGATGGAAATCCAGCACCTGCGCCTAGATCTAGTATCTCCAAACAAAGCTTCAGGGTCTTCAGACACCCAATGCCCAGCCCATGCACCTTTGCCTAAATATCTTGCCCTGGCAGACAGCAAGGCACACCTGGAAGAGGTCCCGAAGGCGGTGGCCAGTGGCGTCATGATGCCCCACAGGAAGCGGTAAGGGTTTTTGCGTGTGAAGAGGAAGTAGATGAGAGGCAGGACCAGGAGCCCATGGATGGCGTGGCCCACCACACAGCACAAGATGTATTTGCCAAGTTTGGTGAAGAGCTGCCCCACGTCCTCTATCTCCATGATCTTGCTGGCCACCAGGAACAAGATGCCCACAGGAGCATACCTAGTCACCCAGAGACTGGTTACTGCTATGGTCCCATTTTCCAGCCTTCCCCAGCATCAGAAGTCCAGGCCAAGCCACGCTGAAGTTTGGGTACCACACCCAGCAGCCTCTGTTCCCTCCTCTAGCCTCTCCCTTGAAGGTGGAACAGCTTGGAGATAAAAGCCTCGGGGCTTCCACCACCTCTTTGAGAGGTGTCCTCCCATTTGGATTTAACATCTGAGGGAGACAGAAACACCCATTATGTGTGGTCATTTGTTTTCTGACTTGCTTGTTCTGGCAGCAGGTATGACTTGAATCAATGCGTTCTCAGCACATCATCAAAAATAAAAGTGACGGCTTTAGACGAGATCAAGTACATTCAGGGTGGTACAGCCGTAGCCAAGTCACGGCTTCAGATCTTACTAATTCCCATGTATGAGGCATTTACAACACACTGAGCCTTTGATAGAGACTAAATTGTGACAACCCACAGAGCTCCTATTGTAAGTGTGTCTCAGTCAGAAGTAGTGGGGGGCTGGGGATTTAGCTCAGCGGCATAGGCATAAGTGCCTGCCTTGCAAGCAGGCAGTCGTGAGTTTGATCCCTGGTACCGGTAAAAAGGAAAAAGACCAAAAAAAAAAAAAAAAAAAAAGGAAGTAGTGACACACACCTGTAATCCTAGCACTCAGGCAGGAGGAAGGCAAGTTTTAGATCAGCCTGAGCTACATATCAAGACTCTGTCACAAAACAAGGTGGGGGATATAGTTCAGTGGCATAGGCGCCTGCCTGGCAACCTGAGTTCGAATCCCAGTACAAAAACATAAACACAAGGCCAAGCATGGTAGCACCTGCCTATAATCCCAGCATTCATGATGGTGACACGAGGATCACAAATTTAAGTACAATTTGGGCAACTTAGAGATTTAATGATACCCTGATCTCAAAAAACAAAATTAATGGGCTGGGGATTTAGCTCAGTGACACAAGTGCCTGTCTGGCAAACACAAGGTCCTGAATTTGATCCCTGGTACCGGAAAAAAAAAAAATTAGTTAAAAAAATTAATTAAAAAAAGACAGAGGAGGGGCTGGGGATATTGCTCAGTAGCACAGTGCCTGCCTGGCAAACACAAGGTTGTGAGTTTGGTACCAACAAAAAAGAAAAAAAAAAGGACTGGGGATGTAGCCAAAGGCTCTGGGTCCAACCCCTGTTTCAAACCCAAAAAGATCAATTAAGGTACCAGCATTTAATTCTTAGCACTCATGGAATCCAGCACTGTTGCCATTTTATAAGTGAGGGAACGGAGGCACAGAGATCACAAGTCATTTGCCCGAAGTCACACAGCCAGGGAATAGTCAATGTTGGACTTGAATGCAGGTCTGGCTCCAGGGAATGGCTGCAGGCGCCTCCTACCCCACAGCCAGGCCCAGCCTGTCCCCCTGCTACCTACCACATGATCCAGGAGACCAGCACCATGGTAGCATCATTGAAGGAGTTGAAGAACTGGATGAGCAGCTCTCCCTCAGGCCCCAGCTTCCGCAGAGCCACACCAAAGACAATGGCAAACACTACCAGGCCCAGGATGTTCATGCCATCCACCTCCATTCCCAAGGGCACCTTTGTCCAGAAACAGATGGGGGTGGAGGGAGGGACACTCAGTCCAATTGCTCAGCCATGGAGGGCCCGTCCTGGACACTCCTGAGATCCTAACTAGTCTGGGTCCAGGGGAAACAAGTGTCACCAGGAGTCACCTAAGTGAAAAGGGCTGGATATTGGGAACCCCAAGGGAGGGTGGGAACTGAAAGGGGTGCCAACTTGGGCATCAGGGAAGGCTGCCTGGAGAAAGGAGCATCCGAGCTGAAGATGAGAGATAAACCAGGTGAAGAGGTAAATCAGGTAGACGTTTCTAGAGAGGAAACAATGTTCAACAGCCAAGAAATGAGCCCAAACTGGGCATTCAAAGAACAGAAACTGGGCATGATGGCACATACCCGTCCTAGCATCTGGTAGGCTGAGGCAGGAGGATCCTGGGCAGAGGCTAAAGTGCGGCTGTGGGAGGGAGGCTGGGGTCTGACTCCACAGGGACCCACTATGCGTAGACTATGACAAGAAGCCTGGTCTTTTAGAGGACATGCAGCACAGCCACTGAGATTTGCACTGTAGAAAGACCCCTTTGGCTGTCAGGTTGGACACAAGATGGGATGGGACTGGGGATTGGGAAAGAGAAGCTCCAAGTAGGGGAGGGCTGTGGGGAAGCAAAAGTGAGGATAAAGTGCAGCCGCATTTATAAGGTGGGAAAGGCCAGACCTGGCAAAAGACTGCAGAGTTTCAATTAAATGCCACGCCAGTTAGAAGACCCAGAAGGCAGACAAAGACTGGGCCAGGAGCCAAACCAGAAAACCGCAGCGGTGCGACCCCGCAGCCCTTCGCTCACCTTCACCATGGTGTGGTTGAACGGTCTGTGTTGATAGACGGTGGTGTACTGTGGGCAAGGTTTGAAGAGTCAGTGTCAACTGTCACACAGCCCCAGCCCTCCTCCCGTCCCCAGCCGACAGGCTCAGAGCCTGCCCTAAGCTTCCTCTAAATGGATTTCCCCTGCCAGCAGTGATCCCATTAAGATAGGAAGATTTAGCATTCTGTTTCCTAGTGGTAAAGCCACCTGCTAGATCACCTGTCACACAGCTAGAATGAAAACCCACAGGGTGCTCCAGACCCATATTCCCCCTTCTCACTGGGAAAGATGAATGGGTTTTGGGACTACACAAGCACCTACAAAATCACCTGTAATATGTGACCACATGCATGCTCCCAGGCTTGGCCCAAAAGTCCAAGGCGAAGTTATGAGTGGCTGTCTTTCTCCTTGCCCACCCCAGCAGGGGACACCCCTGAGGACTTACTGATTTGAAGGCTGCAGATACCAGGTTGGAGGGGAAGATGTTTCTGTAGGAACAGATAGAGGGGTTACTAAATGCAATCATGGGGAGAGAACAGGGTTGGAAAGGGTGGACTGGCCTCCTAGAGGGCAGTGAAGGAAACTTTTGAGGCCCCATTTGTACCGCCCCTCCTCCATGTCCTGCCAGGTTTCAGACACCCTGTTGAAAAGGCTTGTATGCATTTCCAGGGTTACAAGTCTAAGCTGGCCTCCTCTAGCCCTTGAAGACTGACATTTCAGGCCCAGGGCATTGTGGGTTGTAAGAATGCTGGGCTAGGGGCTGGGGATTTAGCTGGGGCTGGGGATTTAGCTCAGTGGCATAAGCGCCTGCCTTGCAAGCAGGCAGGCAGTCGTGAGTTCAATCCCTGGTACGATAAAAATGGAAAAAAGATAAAAAAAAAAAAAAGAATGCTGGGCTAAAGAGTGGCAGGGTCACCCCAGCCTTAGCTCCACCCGTGCAGCTAACTTAACATTCAGGCCATCTTGCATCAGCTACTTCCGGGAGGCCTGAGAAGGTTAGTTTTTGAGGGGCTGGCCTGCAGGCAGGCAGGCAGGCAGGCTAGGGTGTGGTGCAGGAGGATCAGGGCGTGTTGGAAAGTAGAAGTGAGAGGCCAGGAGAAGGCGGCAGGGCAGCAGAGCAGGCAAACACATCATGAATATGCATGTGCACTCACACTGTGTGGTGCCTGCCCTGAGGGAGTAAGAGCAGAGGGCCAGTTCCAGTACCTCCCAGGACTAGGCATTCCATTCTTACAGACAGCCCTGACACAAGCATTATCACCGTATTTCACAGAATAGGAAATGGAGGGACAGAAGGGCAAAAAGAAACCCTGCCTAGCTAGAAAGTGACAGAGCTGGGATTTGAACCAGACTGTGTGGTACAGTAGAACTTCGACGTGTGATGGTCATACAGGTGTGCCCATGAACATGTGTTTAAGTATGTGCTCAGCCATTTCCGTGGCAGGCAGCATCACCAAGCAGTCTGCTAAAGGGTGTTAGCTCACAGTAACAGCTGTTGTGAAGCCACAGGTCTGCGTGTCTAAGTGTCTCCACAGGTGCCTGTGTCCATCTGGGTGGCTGTTGTTGGAAGGCCAGGTGACTGTGGCCAGCCAAGTGTGTCATAGCTGTTTTGGTACTGTTGAGGGGCATAAGGACCTGGTGCTCAAAAACAAATAGTCTGGGGTGGGAGTGCCCACCTGCAGTCCACAGCTAGGCTAGAATCCAGCTAATCTCACTCAGCCAGGAGGTATCACATTCTAAAATGTGAAGCCTAGCCCTGTGGAGTCCCCCATCTCACCACACTAAAGTCCCCAGAGTGGGAAGACTTGTTCCATGATACAGTTTCCTCCCGTAACTTCCAGGAAGTCCCCAAGCCAGAGACACTGAATCAGAGACCTTAAAGGCAAAGGCCTCCAGACCCCACTATCTCCCAGCTGGGGGAAGGAATGCAGTCTATTCCCCTTTAAGGGTGGTAGGGCTGACCCAGAAGACAGAAAAGGGAAGTGCAGGCCAGCTGGACTGGGAGACAGAGAGGGCAGGCTTAGAAAGGCAGCTGTGTCTGGGTGACACATGGTGTGAGGCTCAGAAGGAGGAAACTCCAGATCTCCTCGGGTCCTCCTGGGGCTCCTTATCCAAGAGTCCCAGTCCCTCTAATACTCTTCCTAAATCTTTATTCCAAAAGCTCCATATCGTGGGGTCCTTGGGCACCCGAAATTTCCCTTCCACTGCTGCGGATATGCAGCTGTTGGGGTGGGTCAGCATGAAGCTTCAGGTCTAGCTGGAGGGGTACTCAGGCTTCCCATCCTCCCAGAGTCCCATGCCTCTGGACAGACCTACGTCCCACAAGACTACCAAGCATTCCTCTTCCTTCTCCAAGACCTCCTTGTCAACCTCATGTAGGGTCCTGCTTATACACTCAGATTTAAAACCCCCTCCCCGGGAGTCCGGATCCACCCTCCCTAGTGACCAGCCCTCCCAGCCAGCAACCCTATGGAAGGATGTCTCACTCTAGAGGACCCAAAGTCCTTTCCTGTCCACGTGGCAACTGCCATATTCCTATCACGGGGTGTCCCACCCCGCTCAGGAGGGAAGAGAGGATGTCTGACCTTACAAGATCCAGGAACGAATCCACCACCTCCTTGCTGGGGGGCTCTTCCGCGGGCTGGGTGACAGAGGTGTTGAGGGCAGCAAAGGCGGCACCCGGCTGTAGCGCCAAAGCCAAGCCCACGCCGAGCGCCGACGCGAGTAGTGTGGTTACCAGAAAAAAGAGCAGCACCCAGGCGCCCAGGCGCCCGAGCGCGCTGGGGTCCAGGCTGGCGGCGCCGCTGATAAGGCTGCACACCACCAGCGGCAGGATAATCATCTTCAGCAGGCGCAGGAGCAGCTCTCCTGGGAAGGCGAAGATTACCAAGCGATCGGGTCTTATCGTGCCGTTGGCCCCCGACACCCCCAAACCCAGCGCCACGCCGGTCACCACGGCTGCTACGGTCAGCAGCACCAGAAGGTTGGATCGCAGGAAGCGACGCACCTGGCGGCGGGAAAGGCAGCAGCTACCGGCCGTCGCGCCTCGGTCCTCTGTGAGACCCAGCTCTGGGCCACTGTTGGCGGTAGGCTCCGCCGCCGTGAACCCCTTGGGGTCGGCCTTGGGGGGATCGACCACCATGATGGGCTGCGCCGGGTTCCTAGACGCCAGGAATTGGGGAGCGTTTGGGGGCTCTCTCCCAGGACGCCCGTCCTTAGGGTGGAGAGTGGGGTTAGAGCGCCCAGAGACTGCGACCTTGCAGGATGCCTTGGAGTTGGGAGCTGAGCTGCTCTCAGGACAGGGCGTTGCGGCTCCTGTGCTCTGGCCGGCGGCGTCGGACGCCCCCAAGCGCCTGGCTTTCTCAGCCCTGGGCGTTGGGCATACAGTTTTTCAGACTAGGACGTGAGGTCCTTGGTTGGCTCGCGGAGGTAGGGAGCGCCTTGGCGGCGGAAGTTGGCAGGAAGCTAAATCCAGGTGGCGAAGATTCGGGACGTCTGGCTTCGGGAACCGAGGACCCTGGGTCCTGGAATCCGAGGGTAGTGCGTCGGAGCCGGGAAACCGGGAAGCAAACCCCAGGAAGAAGGAGCTTAAGACTCTTGGGTCCAGGAGGTGAAATTCAGGCCCCTCGCTACGGAAAGTACCGGGACTGAAGAAAATAGTGAACCGCCAGAGAGGGAAAGCGCCCCGGGAGCGCCGCGTAGCTCTGAGCCCGCTCAGCGAAAGCTGCCAGGATTAATGGCCGGGCCTGGGTTTGAGAAGGCGGGGTCAACCCGCAGGATCCAATTGGCTGTGGCGCGTTCCGAACTCCCCGGCGAAAGAGGGGCGGGGCTGAGACCCGAGAGGGGCGGGGCTGAGACCTGGGAGGGGCGGGGCTGAGACCCGAGAGTGCCCCAGTAGCCCAAAGTAGGCTAAGAAACGAGGTCTGTAAGGGTGCGGCCGGGACGGGCGGGACCAGGGAGGACCAAAGGCGGGACTGAAGGGGCGGGGCATTGGGAAATTGCTTTTTAGCGCCAAAGAAATAGCTTTGTTGATTGGGGCTTGTTAAACCACAAGGAAATGCAGGTGATCCTCAAGTAGTTCATTTGCAAATCAGCTCAGCCTCGTATTTTTTACCGCTTGAGTTCTGTCTTTTGTTGTCTCTCAGATTTTAAGTACCTCCGTTGTAAAATGCAGGTGACAGAAGCCTATCCCTTATATGATTGCTGTAAAACTTGAATGAGACACAGTTCTTCATGTTTTTGTTTTGAGACAGGTTCTTGCTGAGTAAATCAGGCTGGCCTTCAACTCACCACATAGCCCAGGCTGGCCTAGAACTGTCGGCGATCCTCTGCCTATCTCAATCTTCTGAGTGCTCACTGGATAATGTTTACAGTTCATTTACTTATTTATTTTGACGTTATCTAACACCTGACACAGCCTCAAGTTTCCCAGTTTCCTGACTTGGACGCAGATGAAAATAATGAAGTTTGCCGGGGCCCAAACTCACCGCCTGAGCAGGGCATTTGACTGGTTTTCTCTGAGCCTGCCTTGCACCCTCATCCTCCATCGGAAACTGTTACTGACTCCTGCTCTTGATGCCTCTCCAGGAATGGAGATTTCCTTCGAGGGACTATCATTTACTCTGAGCACAACGTCTGGTCCTGTGAGAGTACGGTTAGGGACCCAGCAGTCACTGTGACAGTTGTGGCTCTGTCTCCCTAGGTCTTAAAGTCCAGTGGAGGAGACAGAGCCATCCTCACAATGATGACACAGCGACATGATTGGGAGGCAGGGGTTGCGTCAAGGAAGACGAATACAGCTGGAACAAGAAGTCAGATTGCTATAGTTTGAAAATGGTTTGTGGGGTTGGGGATTTAGCTCAGCGGCATAAATGCCTGCCTTGCAAGCGCACTGTCATGAGTTCGAACCCTGGTACCGATTAAAAAAAAAGAAAAGAAAATGACTTGTCCCCAATGAAAAAATTTTGCCCTGAATGGGAAGCTGCAGTGGTGGGAGGCTGGGAGGCGGAACCAAGGGGCTCTATCTTGAGGTTACCTTCCCCGCCCCTAGACAATTTACCTGTGGCGCGAATTGAAGTCCAATGGGTTACTTGTGCATCAGTAATGCCCCTTAGGCACCACCTCAAACCTAAGCTATATGTATGCCCCATACCACGTGTCCGGCAGAAAGAAAGCCAGATCCCGGAGGTCATGGAGTCTCTCCGCATACTTAAAATAAAGGCCACTTTTTTCTCATATTGCTATCTTTTTAGCCGCGCCGAAAATTCTATCACCCAACTCATGCAGGGATTTAATCCCCGAAGATTTATGGTAATAGTATAAGGGAATTTAATGTATCATGTTTCGGGGTGTGGGAGATTAGATTAGTAGGAGGGATCTTGATGAGGAGATGAAGCAAGGTTTGGTGGCTCCTGCCTCTAATCCCAGCCGTTTTTTTTTTTTTTAATCCCAGCTCTTTGGGATGCTGGGGAGAGAGAATCAAAAGTTGGAGGCTCTGATTGGACAGCTTAATAATTTCAAAATTAAAAATTAAAAAAAAGCTTTAAAATAACCAGCCTTCTAGGGGCTGGGGATTTAGTTCAGCAGCATAAGTGCCTGCCTTGCAAGTGTGTGGTCGTGAGTTCGATCCCTGGTACCGATAAAAAAAATAAAAATAAAAAAAATAAATAACCAACCTCCAGTGTTTCATTAGAATCAGGAAAACTGACTCATCTGTGGCCTATTCCAGATAAAGGAAATGACACATAAAAACCACAGAGCTGAAGAGCTGGGAATGTTCCAAAGCAAACATCTAACCTAGTTATCTCCATCCTCTGGTGACCCATTGCTCCGTGCTAGATTAGGTCCAGACTCCTCAGTTGGGTACCGATTGATTCAGTAGTTCATGCCTTCAATTATTCCACAAAGCACATGAGCAGAATAGAACACCAAGACCATTTAATAGCAGGAAACGCCCCACCACCACCACCATGTGCTGACACTGACCCTGGGTGGTTCCATGATTCATCTACCAGTTTGGTCTCTGTATCAAAGGATGCTTGAAGCCCTCATATAAAATGATACAGTGTTTCCTAGCACTCATGCAGATCCTCTGCATGTACCTGCATGTGTGCATATCTGTGTGTGTGTATGTGTGTGGGGGTGATGGGAATTGAACCTAAAACCCCACATGTGCTGGGCAATTGCTCTGCCACTGTGTGGGAGACAACTCCAGTGACTCCCTTTAGAGAATCTAAAACAATTGCTGTGACTTTGATTACTTGGAGACTCATTTTCTTATGCTGATATGTAAAAGGCTTCCTTCTCTCTTCAATTGGCTCTGAGCATTGCAAATACAGCTAGCCAAGGTGCTAATGTGCAAAGTCTATAGCCATCAGACAGTCCTGTTTCCTCGCATGGTGCTCTCCCCTTCAGGATTGAGCTGGTGAGATGTTAGAGCAAATAGCTCCAGGAATATCAACTGGGTAGGAGCCTCAAATAAGAGGCTATGACTCCCCAGGGCACAAGAGTTTGCATATCAGAAACCAAACCGAAGCGATAGCCCCCCAAAACAAGTCCACTGCTATCATAATTGGGTTATATAAATTGATCCTTCTGCATATCTTTATCTCTGCAAATTACAGAGATGCCATTCTTGCACCTGGCCAGTCAGCTCAAGTTACTCAGTAATCCCCAACATCCTGACTATCTCTCATTCCTGAGTGACCCCACTTTCTTCACAAGATAATAAATGCTAGGAGAGGCCTAGGATCAAGGCCTTTGCCTGCATGTCCTCACGAGGATTGGACTTGGGACCCTTGGCTGCCCATAACTTGGAACATGTCTTGGTGTCTTTACTCTCACCATGGGTTGGTTCGGTGGTGGTAGACTGGAATTAACTTGCTAGGATTCCAATAACATCTCAATGGGATTACAAATATAACCATTTGGATTGTGAGGAAAACTAGAAAGAGGATTACAATACTTGTATGACTGAACCCAATATTTGGGTTTACAATACCACTGGGCCACATTCCCAGCAATTTTTTTTGTCTTTTTCATTTTTATCAGTACCGGAGATCAAACTCATGACTGCCTGCTTGCAAAGCAGGTGCTTATGCCGCTGAGCTAAACCCCCAGCCCCACATTCCCAGCAATTTTTGATTCCTTTATTTTGAGATAGGGTCTTGCTAAGCAGGTAGCCTCAAAATGGAGATCCTCCCACCTCAACCTTTTTTTTTTTTTAGTTTATTTTTGATCCTTACATAATTCAGGTTGGTCTTGAACTCATTGTGCAGCCCAGGCTGGCCTCAAACTTGTGGCTGTCCTCCTGCCTCAGCCTCCCAAGTGCTAAGATGACAGGCATGTGCTACTATACCCGGCTTCAAACTTCTGAGTAGCTGGAATGATAGGTATATACTGTATAATTTTTTTGGTGCTGGGGTTCAAACCCAAGCCATGGTACATGTGAAAGTCTACCACTGAGCCATGCTTTAGTCAAGTTTTTTTTTTTTTTTTTTGGTCTTTTTCCTTTTTATCAGTACCAGGGATCAAACTCACGACTGCCTGCTTGCAAGGCAGGCGCTTATGCTGCTGAGCTAAATCCCCCCAGCCCCTGTCAAAAAAAATTTTTAAGAAGGGAGATGCTTGCCCTTTTTGTATTTTCCTGACATGATGACTCTACTATTTTGAGTACATTATAAAGACCAAAGAAAGGTGAAAAAACATAGATGTAAGTACTGGTGTCAGGCACAGTGGCACACATCTGTAATCCCAGGAGGCCAAGGCAGGAGGATCACTGAGTTTGAAGCCAACCTAAGCTACATAGCAAGACCTTTTATGATCAAAACAGAATAAGCAAACAAAAAAAGTACTCCTAATTGATCCAGAAGGCAGTATCTGTTTTTTTGTTTGTTTGTCTTTTTCATTTTTATCGGTACCAGGGATTGAACTCACGACCGCACACTTGCAAGGCAGGTGCTTATGCCGCTGAGCTAAATCTCCAGCCCCCAGAAGGCAGTATCTGAATGACTCAAAAGTTTTCATGTGTTTTCAGCTGTAAATTGTAACAGCCCTTTCTTTAATCTTTATACCTAAAAGGGTAAGAATTGTTCCAGGAATGCTTGTCAGCAACACCTGCTTTTTCATCCAGCTCAGAAAAAGATATTCTGTAATAATGTGCAAAGCTTGTACAATAGCGTCATGTGAATAGATTGGTAAAGTTAGCAAATATATATATATATTTTTAAAATATATTTTTAAAACCTGGCTCCAGGGGCCAAGCACTAGGCAGTGCATGGCCACTGAGCAGCAAATATATTTTTTAAAAAAAACAGATAAGAAGTACACACTGTCCATCAACTGAGGAATGGATAAAAAGATGTGGTATTTTTATACAATGGAGTACTACTCAGCCATAAAGATGGAAAGACTGGACACTTTTATAGGTAAGTGAATACAACTAGTTACCATACTCATAAGTGAAATAAATCAGACACACATGTGTAAACATCATATTGTCTCATTAGTGTGACAAACTGAAAGAAAAAATATATGTGTATGTATATAAAGAAATAGTTAAATAGTTATACTGCTGATTTCTCTGATTTCATTGAAGAGAAAGGTTTGTGATAGCATTATTCGGATATTTGAATGCAGATGTCTTGTGCTCTTGGGAGAATGATTTGGGGATGACAATGCATATTGTATGTATCATTGTTGCCTCCTAATTGACGCGTTCTGAAATTTTATTGTACTTTTTTTCTTCTTCTTCTTTCTTTTCATCCTTGAATAAAATGGATTTGGAAAAATATAAAATAAAATTGGTTTAAAAATCCTTCTGTCTCTGTCTCAGACAGAAGCTTTCTTTCAATAAATACTGCTCTTTAAAAAAATTGGTTAAAATGCAAAAAAAAAAAAAAGTGCAGGCTGAAGTGTGTCTATTTCTCAGAAGAAAAAAGCAAGGTGCAAGCCAGCACCTTGTCATCTGCAGGTGTGTCATATGTGGTGGTGCATGTTTGTAATTGTAGCATTTGGGAGGCTGAGGCAGGAGAATTGCTGCAAGCTTGAGGCCAGCCTGAGCTACATAGTGAATTCGGGGCAGCCTAAACTATATAGCAAGACCCTGTCTCAAAAAAAAAAAAAAAAAAAAAAAAAAAAAAAAAAGGCAAAGGCAGGTATGATGTCACCTTTCAGTTCATTACCTCCTTGCAGGAATTCTGAGAAATCACACTGAGGAAGGAAGCTGAGGTTTTGCAGTTCAGCGCAGGGGCCGGCAGAATCTGCCATCCTGGGCTTCTGTTTCCTTCTATTTCCCTGTTCCATGGCTCAGTGAGCAAATCACTCAGCTCTCTGAACTCAGTGAGCCTAGTATGCCATGCAAAGAAATGGGGATGCTTCCATAGAGGGGGTGAGGTGGTCACAGGGCGGGGTGGGTATACCGTGCTCTAACCGAGGCCCCCAGGTCTCAGCCCCAGGCCAAGGCTGGGGCTCAAAAGGAGACTGCTTGCCTAGCACAGGAGAGGCTCTAGGTTCTTATCTTTAGTACTGAAGATAGAAAAAACCCTCCCTCCTTCCCTGCCCAGGTTCTATAAAGCTGTAATGACCACCACCCACTACTAGGGATTGGACCCACTGATTTGCTCACTGAGCCATGGAACAGGGAAATAGAAGGAAATAGAAGCCCAGGATGGCAGATTCTGCCAGTGAATGCTGAACTATATTTTCAGCCCTTTTTTAAAATGATATATATGTATATATTTATTTATTTTGGTTTTTATGTGTGCTGGGAATTGAATTCACAATCTCACACTTGCCAGACAGGCACTGTGCTGCTGAGCTACATCCCTGACATTTTTATTTTAGTTTTTTGAGACAGTCTTGCAATGTAGCCTAGGCTGACATTGAACTCACAGAGATTCTCCTGTCTCAGCCTCCCCAGTGCAGCGACTACAAGCAAAGGTGTGTCATCACTCTTGGCTTTTTTAATTTTCTGTATACCTTCGAGAACATGTTTAATATACATCAGTGCTCTTTGTCTGCTACAAAGGGTAAAAGGGAATCCTCTCATTACAAGCTGACAAAGGTAAAAAGTAAAACAGTTTTACAATCCCGTGAACCACATGCTCAGAAACAGGGCCAGGAATGCACCTCGGTGGCACAGCGCCTGCCTGGCAAGAGCAAGGCCCTGAGTTCGATTCCTGGTGTCAAAAAAGAAACAAGAAAAATAAATAAATAAAGGAAACATTTGAGTTTAATACAAATGCGGTAATTCTAAGTTATTTACGACTACTTGTATAACTTCATACAGATAATAAAGTAGACTAAAATGCAAAGAAGGGAGAAATTAAAGAATGTGTATTGTACAAAACTAAAGTAAAATAAAGTGCATCCTAATATTTGGTAGAACTTCAGGCATTTTATTTTGCTACTGGGAATCAAACACAGGACCTTGGGCTGGGGAATTTAACTCAGCAGCATAAGCACCTGCCTTGTAGGCAGGCAGTCGTGAGTTCATCCCTGGTACTGATTTAAAAAAAGAAAGACAGACTCAGGACCTTGCACTTACCAGGCATGTGCTTGTACTACTTTATTTTATTTACCCGGCTGGCTTCAAAATTTGGATCCTCCCAAGTAGATGGTAAGGCTGTGCCACTTGGGACCCGCTGGACGAACTTTCACAGACAAAGCCTCTTGGAGCTCTGGCTACGAAGAGCTGAAGCAAGTGGGCTGCTTGCGTACATGGGTTGGACAACTTGGCAAGAACTTGGCTCAAAACTGAAACAAAGGGCTGGGGATTTAGCGTATAAGCGTCTGCCTGGCAAGCACAAGGTCCTGAGTTTGATCCCCGTAACAACAACAAAAAAAAAAACCTAAAATAAAGGCCAGGTATGGTGGTGCACGCTTGTAATCCTAGTGATACAGAGGAATGAAACTCCTGATCTCGATGTCCGGTATGACTTCGTGTTTTCTAAAATCGAAGGCTGAATTTTAGGAACAATGGAGGTTAAGAGCAGAATATATGTATTGAGAGATAGAAAGCTTCTGTCTGAAGAGAGACAGAGGGGGTCCTGAGCAGGTTGCCAAAGACTCTGTCTTTTCTAGGGACTTCTACAGAGCAAAACCATGAGGTGAGATGGGTCCAAAGTGGGTAAAACAGAGGAACTCAAGAGGCAGACAGGCAAGAGGTGGGACAGAACTATGGTCAACTAAGATTAACTATTCAAGTAAAATTGATTAAATTGGGGACAAATGGGGGAAGAGAGTCACTTAGCAAGTGGGCGTGGCTTAAAAGGGTAGTGCCTCTTTGTGTAAGGGGTTGAGATGGCGACTCCTGGCTTCCTCAAGGTGACCCATATGTATTTAGACTACCAATCCCTGATGTTTATATTTAGGGTGTGGTTGCATTTGTTTTGCCTTCTTTTTTTTTTTTTTTTTTTTTTTGGTCTTTTTCATTTTTACCGGTACCAGGGACCGAACTCACAACTGCCTGCTTGAAAGGTAAGTGCTTATGCCACTGAGCTAAATCCCCAGCCCCTAATAAAATAAATTTAAAAACCCTTAAAAAGGAATCCTGTGGTGAGAGACCTCTTGCAGGGCGCCGGCTCCCACAGGCAGACGTGGAATGAATCCTCCAGCTGGGCGTCTTACCTCTGACCCCACCACAGTCTTGAGATCTGAGACCTCTGGGCAACAGAGGCCGGGGATGGCACACAGCTGGGCCTCAGGTGTCACGCCACCAGGTGTTGGGGCATACATCTTCCTGGCTGTGGTCCTAGGAATCCAAGCCAGGGCTAGGGAGAAGCATCCCTGGCCATTTGGCCACGTGGACATATTCTGCTCTGAGGGTGCTCACCGCCACCCTCACTAAAGGTCCCAGACTGACAGGGTGTGGAGGGAGCCACCCGGACCGAGCACCTCCTTTGAGCCTACGGTGGGCAGTGCCAGAGCAGCACAGCCAGGGGGGAGCCTGGGTTGAGTTTAGGATTGGCTGGGGCCGCCGCGCCCCCTGGCAGCCCAGGCAAGCACAGCGGGTTTCCGACAGTTTCCCTCCTGCAGGGCTTTGCCTGGTACCCGGTTCCAATTTCACCACTGGGGAAAATGGCCTTGGAGTTCCGGGAAGGGGTGAGAGGGGCCAGGAGGAGGCTGGGCTGAGTAGTGGGGAGCCAAGGCCCACAGAACAGAGAAGCCCTTCTACTGCCACGTGTGAAATGACCCTGTTCCTCTTTGTGGTGTTTTTTTTTTTTTGTTGTTGTTTGTTTCATTTAGTTTGTTTTTAAGACAAGGTCTCCCTATGTAGCAGGGGTGGCCTTGAGGCCCCCATGATCCTCCTGTCTCAGAGCCAAATTAACAGTGAAGGAAAGGAAAGAAGGAGGGGACAGAGGTCAAAGGCCTGCAAGTGAGAAAGGTTTGCATACTTGGTGAAGAAGCACACAGCTGGATTTGAGTGGAGTAGAAAATTCAAGAGGGAAAGTGACAAGAAACATGGCTGAGCTGGGGATACAGCCTGGCAGCATGAGGTCCTGGGTTTGATTTCCCATATCAAAAACAAAAGAGGCTAAAAAACTAAAGCCAGGTGCCCTGGTGTTCATTCTTGTCCCCCAGCTACTTGGAAGGCTGAGGCAGGAAGACCTTGGAGTCTACAAGACCAGAATGAGCTGTATTATTTCATTCTCTCAAAACAGAAACAAACTAGACGTGGTGGGGCATGCCTGTAATCCCAGCATTTGGGAGGCTGAGACAAGAGGATCTTTGGGAGTTTGAGAGCAGTCTGGGGTTACAAAGTGAGCTCAAGGTCAGCCTGAACTGCATAGTGAGACCCTGTCTCAAAAAGATTAAAAAATTTTTTTAAAAAAGCAGAAACAGGGGCTGGGGATTTAGCTCAGCGGCATAAGCGCCTACCTTGCAAGCAGGCAGTCATGAGTTTGATACCCAGTACCAATAAAAAGGAAAAAGACAAAAAAAAAAAAGCAGAAACAGAACAGAACACATCTGCACAGGGCCTGCAAATCCTTTTGCTTTTTTTGGTCGCATCACCATCTTCCTTCCTCTTCTATGTCAAATGGCCTCCTGCGTCTTGCGTCAGGAATCTTGCGATGATCTTAGGGTACCTGAGTGATCAGCAACCACCTCACCCCAAGATCTTGATCCTTACATCTACAAAAAGGCCTCACGCCCGGGCTGCATTGCTGGGGGATCCAGCTGTAGTGAAACTGGAAATCAAAACAGAAACCCGAATTTACAGAAAGAAGGTTTCAAGCAGTGAATGCCCCTGGTGTAGCTGACTATCCCTGCAAGTCTCTCCTTCTGGGGTCTGCAGTCTTGAAGGCTGTCTCGAAGGCCAGGTAGATCTAGGGCTGGTGACTCTTGTTTTCCCAGTTTTAGACAGTCACCTACTAAGTGACCGACAGCCAGCTGCAGAGCTGGGAGCTGAGAACAGCACTACCCAGCATTTCACAAGACGAAGGCCAGACATTGTCTGCGTTGTTACCCGCTGGGTATTTGGTATCTGTAGGCCCAAGACAAGTCATAGGTTACTGGAAAAACCTCTTTTTTTTTGAGCCACGATGGCCTCAAACTCAGTATGTAGCCCAAACAGCCCTTGAACTTGTGGCAGTCTTGCCTCAGACTCCAAAGCAGGGATTAGTGAGCTGCACCACCACTCTAGACAGAAAAAGCGCCCTAAGTCCCTAACTGCCCCAGATTAAAAACAGACCAGGCTTTGGAGGAGCAACAGGTTGGCGGGCCAGGAGTCTGTTGATCTTTGTCCTGAACAGGATCTCTGATTCTGTCATCACCATGTCCTCTCGGTTGCCAGGTATGGTGATGGTGATTTCCACAGGGGTAAGTAGTGGATACCTGATTCCAGCCCACTCAGGGAACTCTAGGCAAAAAGAAGCTGTGTAAATCCTGGGGCTGGTCGGGGGCTGGGGATTTAGCTCAGCGGCAGGCGGTCATGAGTTCGATCCCTGGTACTGGAAGAAGAAAAAAAAAAATCCTGGGACTGGTTAAGACCAACTAGAAAGTAAGTCTGAAAGGGAAAAAAGGAAAAAAGAATGGAACCAAGTATAATCTTACCTTGTGGGGAGGCTGAAGCAGGAGGATTGAAAGTTTGAGCCCAACCTGGACTGTTTCCTGTGTTCGCTTCTCTCATTGTAGAATCTAGAAAAATGAAATGGCTTTTTTTTTTTTTTTTTTTTGGTCTTTTTCATTTATATCAGTACTGGGGATCAAACTCATGACCGCCTGCTTGCAAGGCAGGTGGTTATGCCACTGAGCTAAACCCCCAGCCCCCAAAATGTGACAGTGGGCAGGACTCTGCTAGAGAGGAGAGGAAGGCAGGACTAAGAGCAGGTGGCTGTGACCCAGCGCATTGTGTGCCTGTATGAAGGCGCTGGCCACAGCCATTGCTCACTGGAATTCATAGCACTGAGAGACGCGCCTTCCTTCCCGCACTGGGGAGCCCTGGCCCTGTCTGGCTTAGCACCTCCTCCTCTCCTTGACTCTGAGTTTCCTTTCTGGCTGTTTTGGTCAGGACAGACGAGGAGCTGTAGCAGTGAAGGACTCTCAGCTGGCTTGTGGCAAAGGTTTATCTCTTGCTCACCCCACGCATCCGTCTAGGGCTTGTCCAGGCTTCTGTCTGCACACGGTAATGTGAACGGCAGCTCTTTTTTTGCTTTCTTTCCTATCCCCTCCCTCTTTCCTTGTTCCATTTGAACATTTTCTTCCTATCTCACAGTACCTCTTACACATTTTGCTCCTTATGAACACTTTCATTTTCTCACAGCACAGGAAAGGTGCTGATCTGCAGCTCTTAGAAAGCATCTGCCTTTGAGAGGGTATAGTAGTAGCACAGCGCATATCTTTGACCCCAACACTCTGAGGTTGAGGCAAGAGGATTGCAGGTTAAAGCCTGGCCTGGCAATTTTATTTTATTTTATGTTTGTCTTTTTGAGTCAGGGTCTCGCTATGCAGTTCAGTCTAGCCTTGAGCTCACTTTCTAGCCGAGGCCGGTCTCAAACTCAAAACAATTCTCAGGGCTGGGGATTTAGCTCAGCGGCATAAGCGCCTGCCTTGAAAGCAGGCAGTCGTGAATTCGATTCCTGGTACCAATAAAAACGAAAAAGACAAAAAAAAAAACCAGTTCTCCTGTCTTAGCCTCCCTAGTGCTGGGATTACAGGTGTGCACCACCATGCCTGGCTTTGGCTTTTCAGTCTGGCCAATTTAGCAAGATCCAGTCTCTCTCTCTCTCTTTTTTTTTTTAACCGGTACCAGGGATCAAACTTACAACCACGCGCTTGCAAGGCAGGCACTTATGCTGCTGAGCTAAATCCCCAGCCCCAAGATCCAGTCTCAAAACTTTAAAAATAAAATAAAAAGACCTGGGAACATAGTTCAGTGCAAAGGCCCTGGGATCAATCCCCAGTACCTCGAGACAAAAAGTAAGAATAAAAAGCCAGGCACAATGGTACACAACTGCAAAGCAGTAGGAGAATCACAAATTGAAGTCCAGCCTGTGCAATTTAGGAAATCAGCAATATCCTGTCCCAAATGAAAAAATACAGAAGGGTGGGGATGTGGCTCAACAGGAAGGCCCCAGGTTCAATTCCCAGTGCCACCAAAAATAAAAATGAAAAGTACTGGCTTTGTAGGGAGCAGAAGAGCATTTGCCTAGCGCGGTTCAGCTCCTAGCATCACAAGCAAATAAGCAACAGGCAAAGCAGTGGAGCCACTCTTGCTGAAGTTTCCTATTGCCATGCAGAGACTAAGTCACTCTCTGGCCTCCAGAGAAATCAGGAGAAAGAGGAAAAGCCCAATTTCCCAAACAGGCCGTTTTGCTGGGGAGAGATGGGCAGTGGTTATTTATCTACCCCGGCCTCCTGGGATCATCCTACAAGGAAAGTAACTTTGTGTTTTGTTTATAAGGAAAGTAACTTTGGATCATCAGTGCGCCTTTTGTTTTCTGTTTGTGCTTTGGTCAGCCCTTTCCTTCTTTCTTTCGTTTTTTTTTTTTTTTTTTTTTTCCAAATATGGTCTTGGTATGTAGTTTGTGTAGTTCAGGCTGGTCTCGAACTCTAACCTTAGGGTCCAGGCAAGCCTCTTGCAGCAGCCTCCCTGGTGCTGGGATGACAGGTGTATGCCACTAGGCCTGACTTTTTCAGCCTTTTTCTATCTCTAGAAGCAATCTCTTCTCCTTGGTCTCTGTGAACACTTTTATTTATGGAATCCAATGTTGCCTGATTCTAGAATCCCTAAAAGAAGCCAGTTGAATTCCTTAGAGGTGGGTGACATGGCACAAGACTGTACTATCAGCTACTCAGGAGGCTGAGGCCAGAGAACTGAATGTTTCAGGCCAGCCAGGACAACTTAGTGAGACCCCATATGAAAAGTTAAAAATAGGCCAAAGGCCAAGGATGTAGCTCAGCAGCTCAGTGGCTTCCTGGCAAGCATGAAGTCAAGGGTTCAAAAAAAAAAGGCTGGTATGCATGTCTATAATTCCAGCATTCTGGGAGGCTGAGGCAGGAGGATCCCAAGTTCAAGCCAATTCTGGGGAATTTAGTGACCTATTGAGACCCTATTTTAAAATAAATAAAAAGGGCTGGGGATATAGATCAATGTGAAGGCCCTGGGTTCTATCTCCAGTGTCACAAAAGCAGAGGAACAAGACAATAAGTAAATAAATAAATAGGCCTGGCTTTGTGGCTTGGAACTCCCTGGGTTCAATACTACATAATGAAAAACAGTCCTAAGTTGTATTTCATTTTTTGACACTTTGAAACCTCAGGTGTCAACCAATAATCCTATTTATTTCAATCTAGAGTATGAAATAAATTAGTGAATCTCATCTAACAGTTAAATTTAAGGGGCTGGGGATTCTGCTCAGTGGCATAAGCACCTGCCTGGCAAGCGTGAGATCGTGAGTTTGATCCCCGGTAAAATAAAAAATAAACAGTTAAATTTAGCAGGAAGCATTGAGTTCAGCTCCCCATATCAAATAAAATGGAATATTAAACACTGGAATGCATTGTAGAACTAATCATTGTTTTGTAACATTTTCATTTAAATCGTATGCCTTAGAGCTGGGCACGGTGGCACACACCTGGAATTCCAGCGCCTGGGAGGCTGAGGCAGGGAGATTATCACAAGTTTGAGGCCAACCTAGCTAGCTATATGGCAAGACCCTGTCTCAAAAAACAAAAACAGACAAAACATGTGTGTGTGTGCACACACTGGCCTGCAAGGAACACACATCTCACTGCATATCCCATGTCTCTGGTTCAAAGCCACATGATGAACAGGGTCTACTGGTTTTGCTGTCACTCTCCAGCCTTCTCAACCCACCACACTGCTTCTGTGTCCGCAGCAGTGCTGTCCTCCTGTCGCATCTTCAGGTTTCCCCTGGGGTTCCCCTGAGTGCTCCAGATCCCCAGGCTAGCCCAAGTGTCCCCTCAGACCTTTCCCCAGCCCCCAGGCCTCCCTCCAGCTCTGCCCATCCTGCCCAGTCACTGTCTCAGTCACTGTCTGAGGACAGGTCTGGCCCTTCCGTTGGACCGGCTGGGAGCTGTCTCTACGTCTGCTGTGGCCCCGCAGGACCCTTCGTGGCCCTGCCGAGAGAGCTGGCCCACAGTGAGAAGGCCAGAAACGTGAGTTGACTCAGAAGCTGGAAGGAAAAGAGGTGGCCTCGGCAGGGACCCTCAGGCACAGGGAGCTCAGGGCCCCAGGGGCCTCTGCCTCTGGCCCTGGGAACTGGAGCGGCCACACTCTGTTCTTCTTCCAGTCCGCATGATTTATTTAAAAGCTGGCTTGTCTGACCACTCTGAAGGCCTCACCTCCACCCTCTTCACCCTGCCCTGGTGGCTTATGGCAGTGTTGTGCTCAGGTTTTTGCACCTGGAAGAGCTGAGGTATCCTACAGCCTTGCTGGCCTCCCCGCTAACCCAGCATGGGGGTTGGGCAGGGAGCAGTTCCCCAGAGGAGCAGCATGGCCATCACTCCAGGCCCACCTGGGAACCCCACCGGTGTCCCTGGCCTTGGTGACCTGGATATAAAGACATCTGATGCGTCTGAGGCAGGCAGGGCAGGATCCTGGCAGGGGGGAGAGGGATGCCCACTTCTCAGCTGACCTTGGGGAAGGGGTCAGTCCTGAGGCACAGGGGGGCCTGGTTGGAAGCTGGGAGAGAAAGCAGCCCTAAAGGGTAGGTGATGAGGACCGGGGATCTAGCTCAGTGGCACAGCGCCTGCCTGGCAAGCGCAAGGTCCTTAGTTTGATCCCGCTACAAAAAAAAAAAAAAAAAAGGTGGGTTACGGTGGAACTGGAGGGGACAGTGGGAAGACTGCCCTGTCCTCAGCCAGTTCTTAGTGGACATTCAGCCTATTCACAGCATCTATGTGGGTGCCACCCCCACCCAGAGCAGCTGGCCATGAAGAACCAGGACATTCTGAGCCGGGGACATTGCTGCCACCGATTGCCTGGGGCTATCGGAGCTCTGAAGTGGATTTCCTTCCCAGGAGCTGACTGGACCTAGGGGATCAATAAAAACAAATGAAAACAAAACAAAACAAAACCTGCCTGGCTTTCCAAGCCAAGACTGGGGCCTGGGATTGGACTTTTGTTTTTTTAACTCAGGACTGAACCCAGGGCCACCCACAGGCTAGGCAAGCGCTCCTCCACGGAGCCCTTTTTATCTTTCACTTTCAGAGAGGGTCTCTAAGTCACCACAGTGCTCAGGCGGGTCTAACTTTCCATCTTCCTGCCTCAGCCTTCTCAAGTGACACACAAGAGGTGTTAGAATTTGTACTTTAGCTGAGTGGCTATTAGCAGGCCCTGGGCAAAGTCAGCCCGGGTCTAGGGAAATAGTTCCAGCATTTCAGGGAAGGGAAAGCAAAAGGTGGTTGTCACCTCAGGCTCAAAAGAGACCCAGGCTCAAAAGAGACATCATTTTGAGGACATCACACAATTGGTGGGCTCAATCCTATCTTGGTAAAGACAAGGAAACTGGATCCCACATCTCCACAGCACCCTGATGTATGTTTGTAACCCAAATATTCTGGGAGGCAGAGGCAGGAGGATCTCAAGTTTGAGCCCAGTTTAACAATTTAGTGATCTAGTGAGACCCTGTGTCAAAATAAAAAAAGAGCTGGGGATGTAACTTAGTGCAAAA